TCTATATAACATGAGCCTTTTAAATCTAGCAGACAAATCCATCTCATCTGAATCCTCATCAGAACTACACCAGACACAACACAATCCAATAACCAAGCAAACTACTTGATAAACATTCAAAGAGTATCCATTTAACCTTCTGTTCATTTTACAATTTGCTATCTTATGTTTTTATTTATAGACTATAGTATATTAATATCAAAGATATTCTAGTCGTAGCCAAGCAAATCCTCTGAATTAGTAGAATATCAAAAAGACTTACTTTCTAAGTATGTCTATTCAATACCAGCCCAATACCAAACCAATACGACCACTACTTAGCTCCTATAAGATCAACCTAATGATTTGCCAGCTAATTACGCCTTGCAACTTTAATAGAGTCAATCTGCTTCGACTAATTTAGTTTTACATATCTACGCTACAATTCAATATGACGTCATCCTCACATACAACCATATTTATTTAACAAATCGCATCGATACTCGTCTCAAGAAATGTCTTTAATAGAGTCGGTGTTGACCAATGAGCCATATCCAACCCAATACTAACACCATCTAATCTATAAAAGCTTATCTAAAACTCTCGAGAGAATATAGTCGAATAAAATATAGCACCGTCCGCTTCTAAATCTACCCTTAGGGATAAAAGGTTGTATTCCTGGTCCTAGACACAAAAAGGAGGCCCATTTGGTTGGTATCTTGGTTCAATAAAGATAATCTCCAAGTCTCACATGCTGAGGGCTTTTGTATTTCAAACTGGGCGAGTTTCATGCTCGGCGTGCCACATCAAATACTAGAAGTGAAATACGATATGGTTGGTTTGGATTAGTGATTGTTGGTTTAAAAGAGAGGCGAATATACTGGATTCATCCAACTTTGCATTGTTTCTTATTAAATGTGACTTGCTATGACAATCGGCTTTTTGTCATTTGGTCCTTTTCCTATATGAACCATACATTTAGATATGAATAAACCTAGCCATTGACAGATCTCTTGATTCTTTGCAGTTGAAACAAACCATCAATAGATTGTGCTAGACACACATATTTTTGGCCTTGAAATGCCTGTATATAAACTAATGCGCTGTTGACGATTGCATTTATTGATCTTGTTTAAACAACGGGAATGGAGAAGGAGCGGTAGCGGTTAGAAAAGATGTAAACGGGGCAGCCGTGGGTGATCCAGTGAAAGTTTCGATTGGCTAAGTCAATGGCTAAGAGACCCTTTTCTGTTTTGGTATACTGGGTTTCTTTAGTGGTTAAGACACCAAAGAAGAAAGAGATGGGAATGTTGTCCTGATAAAGAATACCGCCTAAACAGTTGGCAATGCGCAGAACATCAATAACAAACGGGATGGATTCCTTAGGCCGGGCTAGAAGACAGTCTTGTGGAATGTCAACGCGACGCTCCATAGCTTGAACTAGATTCTTAAGCCGACTGCGACTCCGGAAGAGATAAGGCGGCAGTGATGTTAGAGGCAAATCAAACGGAGCAGGAAGTCTTCTAGAGCCAGAGTGGACATCACCTAATAGAGCGCGGCCTAGAAGGCACGATCCAGCTGCAAGTAAACTACCGGCCCGAACTGTTAGAATACTGGCTAAGGCATCGGGTGGAATAGTTGTACCAGTATAGCTCGGATTAGGATTGAAGTTGAAATTTATGTTGGTATTAGGACGGGGCCGGGCAGCAGGCGGTGATGGGGTTGGGGTTGGCGCAGGAGTATCAGCAGGAGCAGCACCAGCCGCCTCGTCTGTATTAGAATCAGTGCGAGGTTGGCCATTCGCATTTTCTCGGAGTTCGTTAAAGTTCAGAAGAGCACTGTTCTTAGGCGTGGTGCAATAAACGTAAACAGCTAAGATAATCTCGGCAGGTGACATTTGCGGGGAAAGGTCCGGGACTTGTATCTTAATACTAGTTGAAATCCCATTCCAAAACCTTTCGCGAATGAACTGCTTCATTAATTCAGAATGAAGATTAAGTCGCGTAAAATAAGACCTAACTAGCAGTTCCAACTCTTCCTTGTACTGGAAAAGGGTCCCAAACTCTGCTGATGAAAGAGTAAGAATGCGATTGTAAAGACTCTGAAGATTCTCAGGTGTATAAACAACATCATAAATGCGATCAATAGCAACAGTTAAATCCTTAGTGCCCTTGACAACCTTCTCATAAATATCCGTGGCTACAGCTGCTTTAAAGGCAATTCGGGTTTCTTTTTCAGTCCAGCCATGGCGCACTCGTTTGGCATAAAAGGTTTCAACCCAGATGAAAGTGTTTCTAATATCTAAAACATCAAGAACAGCTATGGGAATATCTTGATAATAAACGGTGCGCTTAAGCAGGTACATCGGTCCTCGATAAATGATCTTCATCTCCAGATCAGTGGTGCGATAGGTATTATGGGGGAGAAAGCGTTCAGCAAGGGAACCATTAGGCGGAGTAGGAGGGGCTTCTTTAATGCAGCAAAAAACCATTGGCCTGCGCTCAACTGATGATTCGATAGGCGGGATGTCCTTAAGGGGACCTTTATACTTTAGTCTTGGTTTAGAGCGAACAACTCCATTCTTTCCAACATATATATCGTTCATGTGTAAAGCGTACATAACCAGGGCAAGTCAGAAGAATAAAAGCTTATGAAGGGCCTCTTACCCAATATAGTAACCTCCCGCCCAGAAAATTCTGCCAAAATTACCTAATTAGGTAATCGACCAAAAGAGTAATGTCCCAATTAGGAAAGAGCTAGGCCGGGCGGCTCAGAATGGGTTGTTGGACGAATGCTTAGTGGCTGGATTCGGCTCTAAATATGTATTAAGAGCATCGCGCAGTAGAAGAACGCCGGGAGTCTGATGGAAAGAGTCTATTTGACAAGTAGCTAAAGACTTAGTAAGCGTAGGCGCTAAAAGTGGCCGAGTAAGCCAAAGGCGCAGGAGAGAAAAAGAAAGACCCTGAAGAAGCGAGCTCTGCTGGCCCTCCCGGAAGACTAGCCAGTATCGCTGGCACTCACCATCTAGCATGGCTGCGCAGTCATCCCAGCCCAATAGGGTGGCCAAGTAGGACTCTTCGCCGAGAAGTTTGCGCCGCAGGCTTAAGTACCTGATCTTGTACTGCGTAAGAATTGGCGTAGGTGGCATCCCCGCATGGTTAGAATCGGTGGCTCGAATTGAGCTGGTGGCACTAATGGGCAGATCACTAGACACATTTAGATGACTGCGCAAACGAGTAAATTGGACTAGCAACTGCTGGGCCAGATCCGAGGTTAAGTTGGCCTCTTTAGCCATTAAATGCACTACTAAGTATCCCTGAGTAGCAATAATTCCGACTAGCTCACTAACTAATTGCTCAAGACATATTCGATCTTCGACTAATAAAGACTGTTTAAGTAAAGCCTTAGCTGCCTCCAGCCCACCCACTAACTTATTAATTCGTTCAAGTAGCTCATAATTAGTCACGGGCCGTGGCAGTCTAGCTCCGACCGAAATACTAGCACTCATCATAGCTTGGTAGGTCTGAGTCAACACCAGAACTTCTGGAGTGCACTGCAGAGTCGAACTTAATCTTTGCAGAAGAGCCGCGCCCTCAAGCGGTCTTTCAACCTGCTTCTTCCTTTTCTCACGGAGGATAAGCGTCCGCATGCGCGCAAATAGGTCCATGTGAAACAAACCTTGTCGCCATTTACAATTTGCATCATTCTGTCTTAATATCGACCAACCCAAGTGCGCCTCTTTGGTTTAGTGGTATAACGTCAGTCTTGTAAACTGAAGGTCGGCGGTTCGATCCTGCCAAGAGGCTTCCTTTTTCCGCCCGCCCAACTAACCAATCCCCCACTAGATCTCCTCACCTAACCATCACAATATCACCACAATACTAATCAAACACTAAGCTGTACGCTGATTTATTGAATGCCCTAACCTTCTCTTAGACAGCCCATTTACGTGCTGACGCTTTAAGGATGAAGCCGAGAGGGATCACGAGGGAACATTGAACACTTATGGATATCCCCTGTTTCCGTCAGTAGTTTTACGACTCGTTCTAACCCAATCCCACAGCCAGCATGCGGTGGCACTCCGTAGATAAACGAGTCTGTGTAAGGCCGCACACTCTCCTCGGCAATACCTTTCGCTCTAACACGCTGAAGAAGGACTTCATGCTCGTGAATTCGCACGGCTCCGGATAAGATCTCTTCGCCCTTGAAGATAAAGTCGTAACTCTGGGTATAGTTACTGTCTTCCGGTAAAAGAGCCGTATAGAAAGGCCGAGCACTAGCAGGATAGTTTACCAGCACAAACAAGTCGGTTTGGTAGCGCAACTTAACTTGCTCGCCCAGAAGTCGTTCATCCTCCGTGCCAATATCAGTCAAGTAGTCCCCAGATCTACCTATCTCCCTTAAAATATCAATCCCCTCCTTAAAGGTCAAAATCACCGGAGCATCCGTAACAATCGTAGTGTTACTACGACCAGTTATCTCTGTAATTGCTTTCAACTCCGCCTCATACTTACTGCCTACGCTTCTAATCACAGTTTTCAACACATCGTAGATCTCTCCTACTACATTTATATAACTCTCACCCTTTAACTCCCGCTCCAAATCTACTCCAGTAAATTCAGTCAAGTGCCGGCCTGTATTAGAATTCTCAGCTCGGAAACATGGACCTATCTCAAACACTCTTTCCAAACCGCCTATAACCGCTAATTGCTTGTACAACTGAGGCGACTGGGCTAAACTAGCCTTCTCCTTAAAGTAGTCCACCACAAAAACATCCGCCCCTCCTTCTGAAGCACCTCCTAACAATTTAGGCGTCTTAATTTCCAAGTAGTTCCGCTCAACCAATGCACTTCTAAAGGCCTGTAAGACCCCCGAGTAGATAAGAAAAATACTCCTAGATTCAACCGATCGTAAATCTAATGACCTTAAATCCAGTCTTTTAGATAGTCCTACCACCGGTAATTGTGGTGTCTCTACTCTTTCCTGAGCCGTCCAACTTAAGTCCTTCAACTGGTAAGGCAGTTCAGCGGCTAGTGAGACAATCTCTACATCCTCTACCTGTATCTCTCTTCTCTTCACCGTACAAGACAAGATTTCCTGCTTTGTCTCAACTAACTTACCTCTAATCCCTACATAAGACTCAGCTGTTAATTTACTACGTAATTCTAACCCCAAACCTTCTACTCCACTTCCACTATAAACGGCCTGGACAGTCTCACCCCCTTCCCGCAACACCATAAATACTTTATTCTTACCCACTAACCTAATACTAGATATAAATCCATAAATACTTACTAAACCCAATTCAGCCTGACTGGCTAATTGAGCAATAGTTAGTGTAATTAGTCTATGTTCTTCTAATGCAGTCATTCTTATTAAATTTTTAGTTTCATTATAGATGCAGGACGAGTGTAATGGCTTTATCTTTTCTTGTCGTGGCAAGCCTAAAGATACTTTATTATTAGGTCCTGATAGTCGGACTAGCAAAACCTCTAAAAGTGATAAAACTTCTAAAAGTGATAATCGTGTTTTTGCCTTTTCATTTGCTAAATGTCCTAATAAGGTAATATCAGTTGGAAAGACAGGGGGTGGAGTTGATTTAGATCGGAGTAAAAGTAAGGTTAGTAAGTCTAGTGTTAATAAGGTTAGTAAAACTAGTGCAGCAACTATTACTGCTAATAAGGTGGGTAAGGCTAGTGCAGCAACTACTACTAATAAGGTGAGTAAGGCTACTACTAATAAGGTGAGTAAGACTACTACTACTAATAGTAATACTAACTCAAGTAAGTCGGCAATGCCTTTGTTTCGGTTTAGCATAGGTGGTGTAAGTAATAGTAATAATAAGAGTGATGTATTGTGTAAGAGTAAGGGTAAAGGTGATGTTAGTAAAAGTGACGTAGGTGTAAGTAAGAGTGACGTAGGTGTAAGTAAGGGCAAAACAGTCGGGCGGAAGGGCAAGCAGGTTAAGAAGAGTGAAGAAGTGGTGGTGAGTAGTGGTGAGTCCTTTAAGGATCGGCTGATGATGGCTGGGGGTGTAAGTACTAAAAACGTAGTGGAAGATAAGAATTTAGGAGATAAGAATGTAGTGGAGGATAAGAATGTCGCAATAGATAGCGCGGCTGTAAGTGAGATGGTAGAAGATGTAATAATTAAGGATGTAATCGTAGATAGTGGAGATAATGTTGGAGATGTTGTGGTTGATGGGGATACGGTTGATGAGGCTAAGAAGATGACCACTCTTGGACTGTCTCTGGGTAGTGTAGTTAGAGGCCGGCGTATGACATTAGGAGGAGGAGTAAGTGGAGTGCTAGAGACTCCTTTGAAAAGAAGACGGGTGTCTCTGAATACTTATACCTTATCACAAGAACAAAGACCTTCTATCTTTAGCTTTCGACGTAATAGTGTGGTCGATGGGGAGCAGATGTATAATGGAAGTGTATCTCCAAGTGACTTTCATAAACACTCTAATGAAGATCTGTGCACACGAGCTAGGATTAAACAGGTGCTTATTTGGTGCACTAAGTATGTGTCTTGTCAGCTAGTGGATGAACTGAATGAAATACCTCGAGAACGAGTTGTGGCTATCTGTGAGAAGTACCTTAAGAAAATACCCCGTTTGACTATTAGTCATCGGGATGGAATTAGTCAGCCGATTGAAAGTACTGGTGTGCAAGAGGCTATTAATTCTTTGCAAGGTGACACTTATCGCTATGGAGTGGAGATAGAGAAATGGGAGAAGATTTATGGCCAGACATTACGGGCCTATCGGCTTACAATGCCTTTGCTAGGAACGGGAGAGTCTCCGGTAACAATGATGGCTTCGGGTGGCGAGACAAGGTCTATACTTGTCTCTTTTGATATGACACTCATTCCGAGTTCCTCATATGATGCCATGTCGTTGCTGTTCCGGCGGATAGAAAGTATGCGTGCTGCGCTTAGTACATCGAGATACTTTGTGGTTTTGACTGCTGAGTATATTAAGAGAGTCACAACGTCTCTCTTGGAAGCAGCCCATCCCCAGGATAAGGCTCGAGCCAATGCCCTTCTCCAGGCCCTCTGCCAAATGGCTCGTAAAGAAAGAGTGTAATAAAGCAAGTCTACTACTACTAGTTATGGTTATTGTTAAGTGCGTGGTTGGATAGGCAAGTTCAAAATAAAGATCTAGTCTTGTATTGGGTTGAGTTGAGTTAGGTTAGGTAGGTTTTGTGTTCTGATGCTGGTGTATTGTATTGTGCTGCTCTATAGACCTAGCGGCTCTAATTCTAGTGGTACCAAATCTAATTCTAATGAGTGCGTTGTGTAGTGTGGGATGAAATTGAAGGGTTCGTGTTGTGTTGATGTTGTGTTGCTGTTGCTGTTGCGTTGTGCTGCTTGTTCTAGAGTGGCTGGCTGGCTGCGAAGCTCTTCTGGTTATGCTAGACTGTAGCTGGATTTTGTTGATTGTGATATGACAACATTAGCTAGAATACATTATTTGATGTGCATGTAAGTTAAAGTTTTTTGAATCGTAAACTTTAATGCTATCTAGGTATCTATTTCAATTAACTTTTGTCTATCCAAGCATCTTATTGTGGCTAGTCTTGGCTGGACAGAAAAAGGCCTGTTGGTGTGTACTACCCCCGTTAGCATACAAGCTGAGCCGCCCTATGCACAAGTTGTGCCTTCTATTGATATAGTAGATGGTAACTATCTACTTGATGGTGGCCCATCTACTGCAGAGAATCTCTTTGGTGGAGAACCGCCCGCTGGAGCAGCTAATGATGTTGGGGCTTGTGCTATTATGCTTGTGCTCGACTTACCAGATGAACCAGCACCACCTCGGCAATACTTTGTCAGAAATTACGATGGGACTATGGTTATATTGCCTTTTTTGTTATTTAGGCGCTTACAAATACTGCAGATCATCGTTGATCCACTTGCTCATATTTGGAATTGTTTCCTGTCTGAAGACCAACTATCATCTATGTGGGAACTCCAATTAGATGAAATCACAACCAGTTCTATGGTGCTAAATTCTAACAAGATCAACCAGTCTCCATCGTATGTTCACCAAATTGTTTTTGAGAATAATTGGAATGATATTGATTATATGATTGTTCAGAATGATTTAGTCCATCTTCATCAAATTAAGTGCACTATCCCAATATATATTAAGGGTTTAAATATGGAATATTCTGTGGTATCAGCTAGCCTATTGTCTTTTTTGCTACAAATACTGGATGTTCCTCTGCTTCATATCGACTGACTAGACACTTCTGTATCAACGCAAACAGTTGATGTATCCCATATTTCATTCTTGACAACAGAAGTTACGCCCCAAATCAAAAACCGGCGTGTTATTGTCTATTCTTCTAAGGACATATCCACCCGTTGGCAGCCTTTCTATGATGTGCTTAATACCAAATATTACATATGTATACATCCCGTGCCCTAGGGTGGCTACACGCCGTTTTCAACCAGTATTACTTCTACCAAGACATAACCAGGCTGGACGCTCGCAGGATTTATTGAATAAAGTATCTCTCTCTGCTTCTACAAATGTATTCCGCACTGTATTTATAGTTTGGGGCTGTACTCTACCAATCTCTAACACAAACTAACCCAAACTAACCCAATGGAACTGCTGATGAAGAGTAAAGATAGGTTGGCTTGCGCCTATTCCCTGTGAAACATACTGTAATGCAACTAACCCCATATCAACTCAATACCAATCCAATACCAACTCAATACAAACAAAGAATGATGGTGGATACTCTGAACACCACAATAAGCCTATGCGCTCCTAACAATCTTCTTTTAACCCAATACTAACCCAATAACACTGCCACGGTCCACCCCACATAACTCAACTCAACACAATAAACATTTGTTGCTCTTAAAGATATGCGTCTCTATTCTGTTGTTAATTGAAATACCAATAGCAAATTGCTTAAAATAGTACAGAACGCAACCTAATTTCAAAAAAGTAAGCTATTGTATAATTTAAATAAGTTTATGTTATATTTGATTTAGATTCAAAACAATATAAGATAATGTAGTGTGCTGACAAACTCATGGGGACTTAAACCCACACACTAACAGAACTCTGTCCAACTGCCAATACACTACTAACATAACTTAGCATAGCACACAACCAACTTAACATAACATAAATCCTCTGTTCGCGCACTATCTCTTGTTTAGGTGTAAATATAGATGTAACTTATATGGTTTATTGTAGGTAGTTAGCGCCGGGAAAGAGCTTCGCGGCACCACTTGACCTTGTTTTGATAAAACTCATTGAGCGACTTGGCACACTTGGCATACTGCGAACCCGGTGCATTATAGATATAGCAGTTCTGGACAATTTGCTGGATGTCTTGGTCCATCTCATCAAAAGAAGTATACTGGTCGCTTTGGATCTTCTGTTGAATCGTACTGAGATCCATTGGATTTTTAATCACCTGATAGTAATCTGGCACGTCTTGTGCACTAACCGGCTCTAAAAACGGCCATGCTGTGTTGTGATTTTGCAGCTCGTTGCACAAATAGAGAAGCAGTTCTTTCAAACTCCCCCGTGCTCCTAAAGCCGCCTTCATTTGCTCATTAAACCCAGACTCGGCCAGACCTGGAATGTCTTCTATAGCGGCTAGTGACTCCGGCATAACGTATTCTTTGTACATTTCAGGGCACCGCTGTTTCACCATCTCAATCAGCGCGGCCCGGCGTTGCTGCAATCGCCCATACATCTGTAAATAGTCTAGCTCCGGCAAAACCCTGCCTTGCATCATTGTGCCGCCTTCATAGTCCTTGATCCGGCCTTGCCATTCCGTAAAGGAAATCTGCTTGGTAAACCCTTGCTTCTTAAAGTATCCAATTGCATAGTTATCAGCATAGGTCAAAAGATAGATGGGCTCTTTTCCTCTTACTTGGCCTGTTCGCTCTTCCTCGGCCCGAAACTCTTTCTTAATCGTTTCCCGTAACATGCACATCATAAACTCACCAAACCCTTTGATTTGTGACTCACTGTTCACCGCACAGAAGACTATCTCTACAAACGAGTTGTCAAAGAAGAGTCGGTAACAAATTCCTCCAACTATCTTCTCTTCCGGCCCTTCCAAGAGCACCATCGATTTGTGCTTGACATCAAAGACCAGCCGCGTTACATACTCCTTGGGCATCTTCGGCAGCTGTTTCTGGAAGAGAGATCGCAATTCTAGCAAAACCTTTCCCGCTCCCAATGCATCTGCATCTAAACTACTAATTACTCTTGTATATATCTGGCCTTTGCTCAATAAGCCCAACAAGTGCGCATTTCGCGCAACCTTCTGAGCGGCCTCAGCCGGCATGGCAAACATTAAAGAAAATCCTTCTGGCTCGCCACATGTCCGTCTCTCCCTTTACTCTGCCCTTCTTCTAAGCCTGCCAGCAGCCGTGTCACCCGCTCTATGCCCTCCGTTGAAGAAGTTTTGCCGGCCATATGCAAGGCATCTCTGGCAAACCGTTTGGCTGCCACAATTAGCCCCTTAGCTGCCAGGTACTTAGCCACAAAGTAGCTGGCTCGGTAGTATTGGGCTGCATCTAGTTTGCCCATATACATGCCACCGGCCAACAGGATCTCCTCCAGTTGAAACTCTCTTATCTCGGATCCTGACCATGCCCTTCTTTGTTGTGCTATCTTACAGAAGATGTTTGGCATTGGCTCCTCTGCCACGAGTTTCTGGGCCGCTCTGTACCCTCGAATAAACTCTTCCGGCTGGGAATTTTTGGCCTTCAGCTTCAGGTAGTGAACAACCGGCCCAAACGTAGGGTTACGGAGAGAGCCGCTAGGCCCAATCAAGTACTCATAAAACGTCCCAAAACTGTCTAAAATGTCACCAAAGAGAACAGCGTACCTAACAGGATTGTGCGGCAAGATATACAGCTGCTTATTCTCGTCATGATATAAAGCAGCAACTAGATTAAGCTCTATATATCGCAAGTTGGCGGCCAAGAGCTCCATTTCTTTGTATTTTCCAATTTAATATTTAGATGTTCTGGTCAACGTGGAGATGTCGCCAGACCATTACAGCCGTTGAATCTGATGCTTACAAGAGTAGCTTGGTAAAGGATGGGAATTTAGTCCTGGGCCGGAATCAAGGGTTTTTGGAGGTTTACAAAATCGGGTCAAATTTACGGAAACGCATTGAGTTTCGCAGCCACTCACCTTGTTTTGACTATCTAAGAAGTGCAGAAATAGCCGAGTCGGTAGATGCAATTGGAATGCTTCCTTCAGGTAATAAGGAGATTTTAGTGCTAAGTAGCAATGCTAAAACAGTTAAGCTATGGAACATTCATTCAACTTACCTGAGACAGACGGAACCGTCGGCCGTGGTGGAGTGCTGCTCTGATATTTCATCGTGTGATGCAGGAGGTGAAGAAAGAGAGCGGCGCAAGGATAACAGCCGTGAACGGCTTAGTCGTATTTTCTTAAGAGAGACCCGAAAGAAGCACTCGGTTGCTTTAGAAGCACAGGTTAGTCCGGAAAATACCTATAGTTTGCATAGTCTTTCGGTGGCGGCCAATGGAGAAAGTTTCTTGGTGGCCGATGAGTTAGCGATTAATATATTTAGTTCCCGTTTAGAGCCGCTCTGGAAGACTGTTAATCTAAAGCCAGCGAATAACGAAGAGATAAGCAAAGTTATCTGTACGGCGAAGTTTGTCGATCGGTCTAGCCATTTGTTTGTTTATGGAGCCAGTAATGGGTCCGTGGAGATTCGTGATTTAAGGGAATGCACCAAATCTATGCCAGCGGTTGAAATATGCCCGCAGAGAAGTCATGATTTCTATGGGGAGATAATTAGGCCGGTGTCGGATATTCAGTTTATTAATGATCATGTGTTTGCGGCGCGGAATCTCTTAGCTGTACAGATACACGATATAAGGGCGCCCCATGGATCTGTACTGGAGCACGATGTGCTGCCTTTGGCGCGGAAGAAAGTATCTGATCTGTACGATTCTGATGAGATCTTTACTAAGTTTAAGCTAGGCGTGGTTGGCAATAAGGTTTATACGGGGTCTTTTAATACGGGAGTGGCTGTGCTGGATATCAAGGACGGCACAATTACTCGGTCATTCTTAGAAGCAGAAATGGAAGAGGCAACTCGGATTGTCGATAGGAAGAAAATTACTTGTGTCTCAGCCGAGGAAGACTGCTTAGTGGCCACCATGAATAACCAATGCTATATATTCCGTCAAGATAGCAGTCCCGGTCATCAATCCGAAGCTGAGTCCGATGAAACTTCAAGTCTAGATGATTATAACGATTTGGAGGATAGCATGCTTAGCACCGAAACCAATTAAATGCTTGTCTAGTCAAGTAGTTACTTAAGTACTTAAACATATGTTCAGTTAGCTTTTTATTTAGGTGCGCACGCGATATTTATGTGAGGTTGCAATTAAGGTAGCACTAGAAAGTAGCTAGGTAATTAGGTGGCTGGACAATCAAGTGAATAAATAGGTTATGTTAGGTTGTGTTGGTGTTGAGTTGTGTTGGGTTGTGTTGGGTTGTGTTGGGTTGTGTGCTATTAGTGGGTTAGCGAGTTATTGACCTGATTAGGAAAAGCAGGCCAAAGAGAAGAACAAATAAGATAATGATGTTCCTTCGCCGTTTAGATACAGCGGCGAGGGCATGATTAAGCTCAAAACTACCCTTCTTAAGGGCGACTTTGGACTTGCTAAAGAGTTCGTCTATTCGTTCTAATTGCTCGCCTTGCATAGAGATATGCATGGACACTTCAGTGATTACTTTGCCGAGCTCATTGATATGCGTTTCAATGCTTTCTAGTTCGCGCTTGCGAAGACTGCTGGCCTCTTCCCGAAGAATCTCGCGCTGTTTTTCTTGGTAGATTTGCTGGCCTGTGTGGTGACTGTGGGCAGGCGGTCTTCGGGCTCGCTGTTCTTCTTCATCCAGAGCGGTCCTGATCTTTTGCTCCTTGCGCAGGATATTGGCTAGGGTAAGGGAAAGGCTGGCATACTGTCGGCGAATGTTCGAGGTAATCTTCTGCTGCATTTCGCTTTCGGTTCCTGCGGCTGCTTGATTGCCGGCCGGTTGGGTTAGGGCGTAGAGCTGCTGAAGAGAATCTTCTATCTTCTGAATAATGTGTTTATCAGAATTTTGGCCCTTATCTATTGATTTCTCGAGATGGGCAAGTTGCTCTTTGATCTCAGAAATTAAGGCGGCCGAGGAATGGCTTGGGGCAGCTACTTGTCTTTGAGGACGGCCAGATGCTTCGGCAAAAAGAAGGAACTCTCTTGTTCGGTCCATAAAACTTTAGTTAAAAACAAACCCGTCTATATGCATTAGCTTGTTTTCTGGTTACTTCCTGCCCTTGTTGTCTCAGCTCATGAGAATAGAGGTTTAGGAATTATAGATCTAAGGAGTTTATGTGTAAAAATAAAAGGAAGCCTTCCAAAAACGAACAGAGCTGTATTTGATTTGAGTTTAATATTATTTTGCTTATTCCCAGGATAGTAATAATCACAATTGGGTTTCTAGTTACAAAACAAAAGAAGACTGCACCAAGACCGCAAAGTATGCACTACTAGGAATGTACAACAAAGGTGCTTTTATTTTGGCCTTACACCGGCTTTAGATAGTATTACAAGGAGTAATTGGGGTGAGAGAGACAGGGTAAAATTGGTGGGAGCGGCGATTGCGAATGAAAGGAGTTTGTGTGCTATCGGGTAATTGGGCGAGGTAGAGGACTCCGGTAGTACGCCCGCGCTTGAACGAAAAAGATGACCTTAGAACGCAACCAACCACAGACTCTTGGCCAGACATTGGAAAACCTTCTGGCTCGGAAGAGTTTAATGACTCAGCCAAAATAACAGGCGAGCCAGGCATGAAGGATCCTTTATCAGCTACAAAGAGATAAGGAGTAGCCTGGGTTAGATCTCCAGTAAATAAAGGTAAAACATCAACCGGTCGTTTACCCCGTGGTTTTTTAGCCAGAACATCTAATTCTGCCTGGTTAGTTGCCTCCCATAAAGAATGACCACGACGAGTACTTAGCAAGTCAAAAGGATAAACCACCCGGTCTAACTCCGTACCAATACGGAACAGTTCCAGAGTACTAATAGGCACAATTCCGCCCACTACACACTTCTGCATGACTTCCATACACCGAGCTCGGTTGATAAGCAAAACCACTCTAGTCTGGTCAAGTGCCATACAAACATAAGCTAAGGGGCCCGTCCGGTTCTCTACTAACTCCCGAGCCGACCTACAATTAACATACCCTGTTGCAGCATACATCTTCTGCTCACCATAGAACATAAAGATACACAGATCCTCCAAAGCCGGCATCTCTTCATTCCCACCTATAACTTCACACTTATTCTCATTCTCATTTACACTTTCACCACTACCACCTTGATTTACTTCCGCTTGTGTATCTTTAATAATAATACACTCAGTCGAGTTTTGCCAGACAATTGATCGACTGTAGTTTGAAGAATACTCCACCTGCGGCGACAAAACATCCAATCCTACTCCACCGGCCAAATACACTTTACAGTACGAAATATCACTCAATAAACCCCGAGTGCTTAGAGCTGCCGCAATAAACTTATCACTCTTCATATGCCGTTTATAAGGCAGAGTTGTGCCTAGGTTGGTGTGCATAAAGAACCTTTTGGCGTACCAGGTATGTGCATGTAGCTTCCCAGACCCCCAAACAACTCTTTGCCGAATTGCCCGTCGCCGACTTTTCTCACCCCTTCGTGCCTCCTTAGGTATTCTGCGCTCATCAAAAGAAGCTGTTCTTCTTCGTTTATGAAAGGGTAGTGTTTGAAATAACATCTTGTTGCGCGGTTTCTCTCTAATCTCCCGTTCAATTCTTTGAATCTCATCAGCACAACCATTAGCGTAAGCAATGGCGTGGAGTTCAACTGGCATTAAAAAAAACCACCGCACAGGCCACAGTTATAGTCGTAACTACTCCAACCATCTCCAAAGACATAACCACTACTCCTCTTTCATCCGCACCCATACTCACTGAAATGTACCCCAAGTATTTAGGCACCTTTTCCAAATGAACTTTAGGCAAAATGAACGTCCCAGCCACTCGGGACGTACTAGGCACCTTCCCGACAATACTTAAACCCGTGCTTGATACGCCTTGCAAAACCACCTCTTCCTTCCCCACATTCACTTCCAAGTCACTATCGGTCATTTTAATCAGCCGCTGAAAGACACTCAGTCCAATCGTAAATAAACTCGGCGGGGCTAAACTCTCGTCCATACTCGGAGCTTCATTCTCCAACAAGTAAATGTGCCGTTCAAGCAATAAACCCTTCCCCGACCACTGAGCAACCAAAACACTGCCCTGCACGCGCAAATGCACCCGATCAGTCCCCGGCAAACCAACTCTAAGATAAGGAATACTAAACGGCCGTCCTGGCGTGTACTGCCGCGTAAACATCCGGTCAATATAATGCTCAACCAGCACACTCCGTGCCGCATCACTCGCTCTAATACAAAACCCATTCGGTCGCGCCACAAAGGTTAAACGAGTAAATTTAGCCGACATACCTGCATCCACCGACTGGTACGCGCTCTTCTCTAATAAGATCTCCATGCAGGGGTACTATTTATTTGCTCTTCGGGAAGTAAGCGCCTACACAACAAATGATATTACGATGCCCAAACGCCGCTTTAATAATTGGCGTGCTCTTAGTATAGTAAGTGGCCACAACTTCACCTTTATACCGGTCCCAAAGTCGCACACTATTATCACCAGCCGAAGAGACCAGTAAAGAAGAGAAGAAAGAGAAGCTCACTGAAAAAACAAACCCTGTATGTCCCACATACTTAAACAACATTGCCCCCGTAGCAATATCCCATAACATAACACTCTTATCCTTACCTCCCGATAGTAACTGCTTCCCACAAGCAGATACGTCCAAGCACAAAACTGTATCCTTATGACCCACAAACAGCCGCACTAGTTCCCCGCTCTGCAAATCATGCATCCGCACCTTAAAATCACAACTACCCGTAAACAAGTAGTTGCCATTCGGATGGAACTTAACACACATAATATCACTTAGTGCCGAAGCAAACAACCGAACAGGCTTACCACTCTCTACCGCCCAAACACAAGCATTACGATCACTGCCTCCCGAGGCAAAGTAGTAGTCATTAGGAGCAATGTCAATATCCCAAACCGGGAAGAAGTGACCGCGATAACTAGCTATCTCTGTATACGTATCTAGTGACCACAACCGAATACTCGTGTCCTGGGAACAAGAAAGGAGAAACCGTTTGCTCTTAAAGAACTTCACACTATACACCGGGCCCGAATGTCCCACCAGTCTAGCCACCTTTCCTATATCATCCCGTGAATCATCTGGCTTCCCCGTTCGCATCTCCGGAGTTTTCAAGTAAATACTAGGCTTAAGCCGCAATAAAGAATCTTCCGTTAAAGAGTGCACCTCAATGAACGAGTCTCGATACCCCAAAGCCAACAATTTCATATCACTAGAATAATCAGCACAACAAAGACCTTCAAACGTATTGTGCACAGTATGGCAGCAAATACTCGGCATTTGGTTCTTACTAACATTCACTCGCTTAGATAAGTCCCGAAGCTTTTCTATCTCTGCAGCTATCTGCGAAGCACCCGGAGAAGGACAAGGAATTCTATCAACTGGAGGAGGCATGTTCTCCAATCGCTTCTTCTTCAACAGAGATAAGAACTGGTCTAAATACTCGTACTTATACTGTTCCTCCGAGGAAATCAACTCTTCAACCTTAGGCAGAATGTAGTGCACACCACTGTGGATTGGCGCCCGATTAAAGTCAAACTCAGTCGCACCAGCAATACCTATATCTACTACTTCCTCAGCTAACTTCCCCGTATACACCCGAATGTCCAAAAACTGATTAACTATCTTTAACATCCGCACTAAACTATTGGCCTCTAGAAAGCTAATAAACAGATCAAATGCATACTTACCCATCGAAAGATGGTACTTATTGGCTAAAAAGGCTAAGGCTAAAGTGTTCTCTTTTAAATTAGCTAAATCACGGACCATATCTATTTGTCTTAACTCGTTAGAATGAGTCTCAGTAAAATCGTTCTGATAAGTGCGCATAAACGTACGGGCTTCATTATCACGGCCTTTAGAAACGAGTTCTAAGTATAAATGAACAAAAATAGGGAATAACAAGTTGCCTAGGTCGTTTTTAAAGGCATCTAAAGAGTCTTCAACCCATTGCCTTAGCTTGGCATATCCGGCATCTAGTGCCCCACTTCCATCACTTAGCGCAGCATTGCGCATGGAAAGGCGAGAGTAGATTTCCTTGTCTGCGACATAATCGGGTAAAGACATCGTTGTCGCTTGGGGTGTCATGTCATTGGGCCGTCTGTACCCCCGGCGTTCTAGGATACTTCTGTCATACTTCTCCTCATCCATTGGTGGTAGCAAAAAAGAAGAAGAAGGCTAGCTGTCCCCGGCGTTTCGCATTGCATCTAATCTGGGCACCCTTCCCGAGATACGCATGTCGGCTTCTTAGCTCAATGGTAGAGCGCACCCCTAGTAAGGGTGAGGCTACGGGTTCGATTCCCGTAGAAGCCTACTTTTTTCTTGGTTGATTTTAGCTTGACATTTGACGTGTTTACTGATTTGGCTGGAGATTTCTTAGAAATTTGACAGCATTTTAAGATTAAAGTCACACGGAATTAATGGTGATTAATCATTTAGATCGGAGTGTATATTAAGATTCTTTGTTTTACTATTAATGAACACGATGGAGTTTTTGCAGCAACAATTCAAAGGCAACAAAATCATACTAACATTTATTGTTGATTTGATAAAACATTCAATAGAATGGGAAGATCTATTTAACAACAATGTAAACGAGAGCATCTACATAAACCTTTCTAAATTTAAGCATTACATAGAAAGCAATAACCAAAATGGCCAGAACCAAATACTAGATGTTTTATTATACAACCTGTTCCTTCCATATAAGCGAGTCCTCACTAAGCGCGTCAATATTGCTCAATTATTGGAAAAACATCAAGATAACATAAAGTATTTGACGTATAAATTGAAGTCTGATCTAAAAGATATCACGGTCGCCAATTATAATATAGGTGAGCAGGAGCATACTGGCAACTTTAATAACTCAGCGGCCGAAAACAGTAATATGTCCGATACTAGCTCGCCTTTATCTACACAAGAAGCAACCGATCGTTATTTTGCCTCCGCTACTAAGGGCAATAAGTCGCAAGAAGGGAAGCCAACAAACTCTAAAAGAATGAACTATCCCAAAAACATATCCGAGATTCTTAAGAGATGGCTTGTTGATCATATCGAAAATCCATACCCCGATGAGAAAGAGAAGCACTATTTAATATTGAAAACTGGTCTGTGTTCTTCTCAAATTAACAATTGGTTCATTAATGCTCGAAGAAGGATCATTCCAAAGATAATCAAGAATTCAAACTATGAAAAGTTAAAGATTATTGATCAAACTCCGATTAATAACCACCAATCTAATCTAATTTAATCTCATCTCATCCTATTCTTATTATTACAGTTGCAATACCTCTCCAACATCAACTCAACCCAAGCCAATGTTAACTCAAACAAAACCCTCACATTAATAAATCCAACTGTATCGTTCAATACTAACCCAATATCACCTTAACGTCAACCTAAAACCAACACCAACCCAATCCTACACCTCTTTAACCAGTACTAACCCAAACTAAGCCAATATCAACTCAATACTAACCCAATACAACCATCCAAACGGTTTTTTATTTATGTTCTGTACGTCGTGTGAACGATATCTCTCTCCTTTAGATCAAACATGTTCATTTTGCTCCACTAAATGCCAAAGATATACGACCAGAAACGCAATGCAATATAAGACCTTTACCGCAGTAGCTACAACTGAGAAGAAGAAAGGGGCTAAAATCAAAGAATCTTGCCCACAATGTAAAAGTGAGTATATGTACTACTATACCATGCAACTCCGATCGGCCGATGAAGGACAAACAGTCTTCTACGAATGCGATTGTGGCTATAAGACTAAACTAAATACTTAAAAGACCCGTTGGTCTATTCAGCACTATCTCAATAATAACTCAACTCAATATATACTAAGTAACTAGAGTAAATTTATGCGTGAAAAGAGTACTAGTACAGAAGAGACGCTTAGTCATTCTGATTCAGCTCATAGTTTAATTGAAGAAGCAGATGAAATGGAAGATGTAGTTGAGGCTAAAGAGGAGAACATTGTAGAAAGTCCTGATATGCCTACAGGCCAAAGAAACGGTATGGCTAGCCACCGCAACCATCCTGACCATGTCAGCCGTCAAAATCACCCCAGCCGCCAAAACCATCCAGGACATCCAAGTCATCGAAGTCATCCCAGCTACCAGAACCATCCAAACCACCCGAATTATTCCCACCCTAACTATCCTAATAATTCACACCCAAATTATCCAAACAATTCTCATCCTAACCGCCCTAACTCAAGTCATCCTAACCATCCAAACAATTCCCACCATACTTATAACTACCCCGGGCAATCCAACTCAAACCACCCTAATTCCATCCATCCGAACCATCCGTATGCCAATCACCCGAGTCATCCCAGCTATAATCACTCTAACCCACCCCATCCCAACGCAAACTACCCTAAGCCAGGTCCTCCTCTTCCCAACTACCCCAATGTCAACTATCCCAACCAACCTCACCCCAACGCCAGTTATCCTAATTCAGCCCACCATAGCCCAAATCAATACAACCAAAACTACCCCAAACCAGGCCATTCTACCCCACCCCATCCTAACTCAAACCATCCACACCCTACCCATGCAACCACCTCACCCACGTCTACCACACCTACCACGCCGCCCAACTCCAAACCACCACAACCGTACGCTTCACCGCCCCTCCAACGAGGCAAGATTTGGCAGCACAAGATTGAACCTTATTTAGATGACAGTTACCCCCTTAGTGAGAAGCGCGTCCTACGGGTCTTCCAAAGCCGGGTCATAGAGAAGATTCCTTTCCGGCATCCGTATATGGACCAGTACTACATGAAAGAAATAGACCGACGAAACCCCAGAAACCCTTCCCGACCTTTACCAACCGAGAAGACTTTAATGCAAGCCAGCAAGCGAATTATTGACTCTCATTTAGTTACAGTCCGCAACCGTTTGCGCAAACGCCTGAAGGAAGAGAACAAAATGATGCATACCTCTCGTCGGTTACACGTTCGACTGAAGCAAATAGGATATGCCACTGAGAGTTCTGAAGTCTTCTCAGTAGCCGCTCGTGAGTACATTCTCCAAAAAGAGCTTATTCTCTTAGAAATGAACAGCGTAGTCAACACACTTTCGTCTCTCTATGCCAACACCCTCGTAGATGCCCGATACCTCCAAAAATGCACCGAATTCCTTGAGCGCAAGCCTTTCCACAACCAGCAACCACCCAAGTCGTCCTAATTGTTACATTTCTACATCCTTATCAACCAACCACTAACTCAACTCAACTTAACCCAACTCATCTTAACTTAACTTAACTCCATCTAAATCTAAATAGTGTATCTTTATTGACTTGGTTTAGGTGATGCAATTAGTAATGAATGGGTCGTGCTAAACGAAATAGTACTAAACTCAGTGAAACAGTAGGTGAACTGCTAAAAGCCATAGGATCTTACTGCACCCAAACACTAGCCTACCACCAGCCCAAGGGCCCTAGCCCAGACTCACTTATATCAGCGTAGACAGTTCCGGATGCTACCGTTTTAATAACCCTTACTTTACAGAGATCGCCCGGTCTTATGTACAGAAGAGCACCGTCGTACTTCCAGGCCCATAACTCAGCATACTTTCCAGACTTTCCAGGCAAAGTCTCCAATTGCGAAGGCACTGGCAACTGCGAGGAAGGCACTAAAACTTCCGGTATCAGTGGATGTCTTAAATAAACACCAGTTGCGTCCTGTTTCTCAACCACACACTTTAAAATCTCGCCCGGAAAGGCCCGGTAAGCTACCAGCTTATAAGCCACTAGAGGATACAAAACACCTTCATAAATAGTAATATCAGAAATAGACTCTATTCCAACAGGAAATAAAGCAACGCCTTCACATCCCAACTGCCGCCCAGGAATCTTCACCTTCAACTCGGCCAGCAAAGCTTCGGGCACATTTTCCTTCTCCGGTGATATTGAAAGTCGCTCTATGTGCAGCATTTCAACGAACATAAGAAAATTTGCACCACTCGCTCAGCTGCTCTCTTCGTATCTTACTCCTATCTCTAAGGACCACATTGGGTTAGTATCACTCCCTAACTACATAGCTCTATCTAAGTAGCATCTTACTATTAACCCAATACTATCTTAAACCTCTTTCATGCTTATTTTTGAAGTGTAATTAGATAAGCCCATTTATTTTGAATAAAAGTCATCGGTTGGGATTTACGTCTACAATTTTAATAATCCTTTTCCAATATCTAAATAACAGTTAAATACTATATTAGTACTGCATTGGTATTATCTTAATACTCTCCTAATACTCTCCTAATACCACCTTAATACCACCTTAATAACATTACACTATCCTAATACCATCTTAATAACACTTTAATAACATATAGCTAGTATCTTAATAATATTACACTATCTCAGCTTAATACAATTAAACTCAACTCAACTTAACCCAACTCAATACTAACCCAACCCAGCCCATTTGAGAGCTTTCGTCAGTAGTTCGGTTAGAGCCGGCAAATCAATCCGCTTATCAGGCGCTGGTACAAAGATTGTGCGGCAAATTGTAGCTACTAGTGGCGGAATAGCCCCCATATCCATCTCGCAGTGCACTATCTTTGGATACAATGAGTACAAAGTACTCGCTTGAAAAGCATCCTTGCCCGTGACTAAGTAGTACAATAAACACCCAAAACTCCACACGTCCAAAGCCGCTAGATTCACTGCACCCGGCCGGCTCTTAACCATCTCCGGGGCCATATAAGCCGGAGTTCCTTCAAAGGGCAAACTTCCCTCCTCTATCCACCCTGACTCCGAAATAATCGCACACCCGAAATCCACTAAAACCACTCCCTCCCGTCCTAAGATTACATTCGCTGGTTTAATGTCTAAATGGTACACCCCCCGGGCGTGCATACCCTTCAGTACCTCTAAAATAGACCGCGAAATCCGCAGAGACTCGGGCACGTCCACAAACCGCTGCACTTCCTCTAAAGAATGGCCCGTATGCAAAGATAGCACTAGAAATACCGTATTGTCATCCTCCTGCCACTCTTTCAGCACAGCCACACCCGGCACACCCGCCAATCTACCTAAGGCCGCAATCTCTTTTCGAGCATGAACTGTGCCCCTAGTTCGCCGCTTACCCTTATGCACAGCTTTGATCGCACAATAAGACCCATCCACCCGGCTTTCTGCTAAGAACACTAAAGCATACATTCCTTCACCAATACACCGTAATAACCGATAGCCTTCCACCTTGTAGGCCTTTTCCATCTCTTTTTTCTTTTGCCTAATGGATAAATACAACGAGCTACACCAGGCGATTCTTACGGCCCAGAATCTGGCTGAAAGACCAAGTCAAGCAATCAAGGATTTTACAACCAGCAGTTATACTAGTGACTTAGTTCTGTATAAGAAAGAGTCTGTACTCTTTCCGCGTGAGGTAATGGAGATCATACATGAAGGCGAGTTTAATATTGGGTTGGTGGAAGGTTTGAGTTTGGTTTGGGTTGGAGCTAGGGGTCGAGTGATTTTCTGGAACTACACAACTCTACTAGTGCATGAGGTAGAGATGCGGACGGAAGTAGTAGCAGTGTGTGCGGCTACACCTAAGAAAGGCGTGTTTATGGGCAATGTACTTGCTTGCTTGTTACTTTTTTCGGAATCAGATGTATCTTTGCTTTGCTACTGCCATGATCCTGTGGCGTATGTAAGCATTGATGTCTCGGTGCCTTTACCAGTGCAAATGACATGTGTTTGTGAAACAGATGAGAGTCGTGTGTTCTTAGGGGGTGTAGATGGCAACATATACGAGTTGCGGTATGGGGATAAGGCCTGGATAGGTAGTCGAGGCGCCCGGATTATTTGCCACACTACTGGCTTGTTGGCACATTTGCTGCCCTTTATCTATGCAATGGGAAAGCGACCGGCAGTATCACAAATGAGTGCAACTAAACGAGGGCTTATTGTTCTTTATGCTGATGGATCTATTGATGCGTTTGAAACCAAGCAGAGCTTCAAGAAAGTCAGAACGGCCGACCTATCTTCTTTAGGGCTAGGAGCAACCGAGCGATTACAGCTGATTCCGGTGCCAGGTGCCGGGTACGAAGCGGCCTTAGTAAGAGAATCGGGTGCCCGAGTCTTTTTAGATAGTTGTGGTGTGATTATTGGGAAGCGAGATTTACCGGCTGGTCGTTTAGCCCGTAATCTGCGCCGTACTCCAACTACGCCTATTGTAGATGAAGGATTCTTCCCTATTGGCCGGCACTTGGTTATCTTAGGCCGACGAGGTCCTGAGAATGTTATTTCTGTGATTAGTCCTAACTGGGATGGCGGGAATTGTCCTGAGAACTGCTCAAGTATGCTCTTGGGCGGCTCGGGATATACTCTGGCCGGTCGAGTGCATAATGGTCGGCTGAATGTTCCGACGGCTGAAACTGCCCTGCACGGGGAAGAAATAGCCCTACTGGGTCAAGATAAGGTTGATGTTTACCAGTTAATGGACGGAGTGGAGTACGTTGATCGAGCCAGTACATCTCCTGATGCCTTCTTTTCCTATAAGCAAAGAAGTGGAGTTGAACATACTTTGCTGGTTGGGTTGTATGGTATTTGCTTAGGTATGGCAGCTAGTGCCGTAGAGACTTTGTTCCGGAAACACACTGCGTTACACCTGAAGGTTATTTCAGAGTGTTTAGGTGTGATTATTTATCGCTTATGGATGGTGCCGCTGGCTGACGTTGTAGCAGGTACTGCGCCGGGTGGAGCGAGCGGGTATCTAGACGATTTGACTGAGGCTTTAGAGCGCTTAAAGCGTCTTAAGGCGTTTGTGGTACGTGAAGCGCCCGATGTTGAAGCACTGAGAATTCCTAACAGTCCGGCCACAGTTATTGATTTATTAAGTGATGCTATTGAACTCCTTTCCTTTATTGAGATTCTGTTAGAGACTGAACTTCCCCATATCTTAAGAGAGGCCGAGAAAAACGTGGCTTCTGTTTCGTTGATCAGCTTAGCGTCACTAATACATCCGTTCTCCATGGAAAGACGAGCGGTGCTTGAAGCACTTATTGAAGTGTATTTACATAGGAAGTCCTCGATTGAAGAAGTATCTACTGCCTTGAACGAGAAGTGTCCTTCTTTGTTTGCGGTGAGTGAGACTCTCCTGCTGAAGGGCAAGGAGGCGCTAGAACGAGCAATGATGTCCGAAAGCTTAGAAGATCGCAACTGGTACTTAGAGAAGAGTCTTGGTTTCTTCCAGAAGACCTCCAAGGCCCATCTAGGGTATATTATTGAGGCTTATGACAAAGCCAAATATTCTAAGGGTATATTAAGGACGGTTACTATGTACTTTGCGGAGATGAACCAGCAGGAGGTGAATAAGTATCTGTCTAAGCTGGAGTGTACGGTTGACTTGTTAAAAGAAGCCTTGAAAGACGAGCGATCGGCTTTCTGCAACGCTATCTTAGACTCGGTCATTGAACGGATCAAGGAAGATGCTGCTTCACCAGAAGTTCTGCTGGATGTTAAATCGCCCTATCTTGAGGAGTACTTGGACCGGCTGGAAAGTACTAGTGATAATCTAACTCTTTGTGATCTGGTTTGGAAGTACCATCTTCGGAATGGCAATTACAAAACAGCCTCACTCTATCTATTCAAAGCGGCCGAACGTAAAGTGCCTTTTATTCTCTTACAACAACGAATTGAGTACTTGGCCTTGGCGGGAACTATGCAGCAGGCCGCTAATGGTGCCCGGCAGGAAGAAGTTGTCATGGGTCGCATTCGTGAGTTCACACCGGCCCTAGGGACCTCTGCGCGTGAGCGTTTGGATATGGCTCAGAAGCAGGCTAGTGTAATGGCCGCAGTTGCAAGTATCTATGAGCCGGGTAAAGCTACTCGGGCCCAGGAGTTCCATATTGATGAAGTCTTCACTCGGATGGAGAATGAACTGCTTGGCTATGAAGAGCTCTTTGACATCTGTGTTCGTTGTGGCTTCTCCCTTCTAGCTCTAGTTATCTCCAAGGCCGGTGTTATTGATGATGAGGCATTGAACAAGACCCTTTGGGAAGATGCGCTATCTGGTGATTACGCCCAAAACGTTGCTTTGTTGAAAGGTAACCGGGATATTTCGGCCTCAGCTCGCTTGGAACTCCTAGTGAGCATTCTGCTCAAGAAACGATTAGCTGAAACGGAAGCTGAGAACATGGGCGAAGTCCTTTACTCTTTAGGCTTCCCGCCAATAGCTATTGCACGGGTGATGGAAGGCATGGCATCTAGTCCAGAGTATGCTGACCCGCATAGTAAGCGAACGATTCTTAAGGAAGCAGTGACTTTCTGTGAATCGCGCTCATTGCCGGAAATCTCCCATCGTCTGCTAGCCATTCAATCTTCTCTAGGCCTTATTTAATACTTACTCGATCTCTTCATCGTAGCTATAAACATTAAATGATCGCGTATCAATACTTTTTAGTAATTATGTTGGGTTTTTTGAAATCTACTGATTGTTGTTAGATAAGATTTCTTCTTTATATTCTAGGGTTTGCTCCTGGCACTATGATAAGAAGTGCTTTGTTGGATAAGTATTCGGATGTAGTTATTTTAGCATCTGTTTTTGATAAGACCTAAGAATTAGTCATCAAGCTAATCTTTTCGCTATCGCCATTCCAACCTAACCCAAAGTTGCTTGCTGCTATTGCCTCCCACCAGGCTATAACTCTCCTGTCTGTCTTAATCAACCCCTAGCCAGGTCCGTCCGTGGTTGGATGCCTGGTCGCAAACCAATCAATCTTGGCTTAGGTGACTGCCAGGCTTGGTACGGTCATTAAGTTTTTGGCACCTATATCTTGCCACTTCTATCGACTTATCTAAGAATAAAGTAACCTGGCCGGCCACAAGCAAAGAGTACTGACTAACAAGTAAATGAAGCTTTATTGTGGGGTCTCCTTCAGAAGGTTTGCATACAACTCCTCGATGGCATACTCCAGGACATTAGGAGCTAGAGCATCTGACTGGTGCTTTTCAAAGTACGTGCTAATTACATCCAGAGTAGTTTTAATGGTTTCGGGGCGTTCGGCTGAAAGTGATGCTACCAGGGAATCTACCATTCCATTGTTGCGAACGCGTTCTTTAGTCTCCTGTATCTGTTCAAGACTTAAGGTGTAGAAGTGCCGAATAGCTTGGAAAGCATCTTGGTCTTCCGGAGTAATGGGATATTCCGGGTAGAAACTGGATACCAGAAAGGCAGCAGCTTGCGGAGTAGAGCTAACACGAAGATAGCCGCATCCAGGCGCTAGTAAGGACAAGCACATTTTAATGTGCTGAATTCGGCCAAAGCGCATTCCGTACTGCTCGCGGTACTCGCCAGCAAAAGGACTAAAATCAATGATAGGATTAAGGCAGGTTACATTGCGCAGTGATAGCAACAAACGCTTGCAAATACTTAGAACCTTTAAATCACCAGTCGAGTTCAAAGCTAGGGATACACTAAGTAGTGTATAGTCCATAACCACCGTGGGCACATTCGCCCGTTTCTCTAAGCGATAGAGTAGAGGAATTATCGCTGAAACAAACTCTGAGTTAGCTCGGCCTCCCTTTGGAATATGCAGAAGACCGTGGCCAAATATAGCACCAGCAACAGCGTAGGCATCTTCTTCTAAAGTAAGCGGGCCGTCGGCTGCCTGAAGAGCTTGTGCATACGAGGATGGCTCCATCACTAGAACTTGCATAAGGGCTGAATAGAAGCGGCGAATAGGAGTAGCAGAAGGAGAAGACTCTTCTAACAGTCGAGCGACCTTCTCCTGCCGTGTTCCCATATAAACCAGACCATTAACAATGATCTCACAGAGTCGGTCGGGCAACCGCAAGTACTCCTTATCCTCAGCACCTGTGCTGATATAGGCTAATGAAAAGGCTGCAGCTATCCGGTGGTATTTGTCGTAGTATTGCACTTTGGCTCCCTCGCGCGGTTTAATAGCACCCTTTCTCTTCATATAAGCGATAAGAACCTGCTTTGCAAAGAGGTCGTTCTTGCCCATATAAAGAATGCCTAAGGCTAGGGCACTCCACATCAACATTGCGCTGTTCATCTCCTTAGACCGAAGGTTGAAAAGAACGATCCCAGTAAACTTGCGGTTGGCCGTTCCCTTAAAGACAAAAGCATTGCCAAGAATAGTAGCACCGACGAGGACCATATCGTAACTTTTGGATAGAGAAAGCAGTAGAGATCGAGCTATAGTAGTTCTTTCACTAAAAGAAAGGGGCTTAATGCCCAGCGCGTCTTTTAAGCCCATTCCAAAGACTGAGCCGGCCAGACACATCAGTGATTTAGAGCCCATCATGTCCATATGCACTGTTGAAATAAAAGGTCGATTGGGAATGGAAAGCGCGGCAGCTACGGCAAAGTGGAAAGAAGGCCAGAGTTTGTCCCACTCGTTAAGAGTGCTGATCGCTACAACATGGTTGTTTTTCTTAAGGAAGACCTTCATGCTAGGCACTTGAAAGATATTGATTTGGGCATTTCGGCCTAAAAGAAAGACACCACGGCCAACGGACGTAACCACCGAAAAGATAAAGGCCTTCTTGCGTCGATTCTCTGTATCGTACTCATTAAATGGAAAGTCACCGACCTGCTGTCCCGAAAGAAGCTGCTTGCACTCTTCAATGGCACCCGTGTTCTGAATGCGCTCGGGAATGCTTTGAATGAACTCTGTGTCTTCAAGCGTATGCATGGATTTAAGACAGGGCATTGACTCTCTTTCGTGCTCGCTGGCCTGTTGGTTCTCGCGGATAAGGGAGTAGCCCGGGTTCTTGGAACGTTCTAGGTACTTCTTGGAGTAAGGTAAGAGCTCGTAGGAGTAAAGATCCGCTGGAACGTCTTTAGTTGATAGAATGCGGAATAGTAGAGCATGTCGGGGGCTGTCGGTTACTAAACGATCGTGCAACTGTGCGAACAAGGGCGTGTACAAAGAGCTGGCCTTCGTTACAATGTGTATGTAGAACTCCAGCTTTTTGGCAGTAGCTAGTAGAGTTGGTTTGTCAAGGCGGCCAATGCACTGGCTAAACAGAGCATCAAGTGTAATATCGGGGTTTTGGGCCTTCTTGCGGTGTACCTCCATGCGGTCCTTCCATGGCAATGAGTAGGCTAGGGCTTCCTGGCCCTTTGACTCGTACTTAAAGAACCGATAGATGTGCCGGGAAACATAGCCCTTGCCAAGACTCTTTATCTGCTGCCTAGCTGTTTTAGCCACTACGGCGTTCATACTATCCTGGTTGTGCTTATCGAAAGAAAAGACTAGGCCATCTTCATCAACTACCTCACAGCCATTGACCAAAAAGACGGTGCTATGCTTGCTAGCAATTGGAATGGCCTGAGTAACTCTCCCAGACACTGGTGTATACTTAGTCTCTTGCCTGAACTTGGGTAAGGATTCACCCTTATCTAGTTGCAAGGCGATGATCGTAATTCCTGTCCGATAAACTAGAGCAATTCGAGTGCCTTTCAGCCAAACACACTGTAACTTTTCTTCCGGGCGCATTTGGTAGATGGATGTTGTCTCTCCTCCTCTCATTCGGAACAGCTCTAAAGACCGGTCCTGGCCCTCTCCAGTTAGGACACAGAACCAATTACGACTGCTCGCCATTAGCCAAAACTGCTTGGGAAAGGTATGTACCTCAAGTATTGGTTCATAAGGATGGGTCATGTACTTAAGTGTCCGGCTACTATCTTCAGCAAACAAGACGCCATTATGGAGAAAGGTTACTGTCCGAAGAGCGCCTAGTGGATGCTTAACTATTTCACCGGTACACTCAATAAAGATGATTAAACGCTCAAACACCACAACAATACAACCATTAATCCGGGCACACTTAAGTATTCGTCTTTTAAAGCGATAAATCCTGCTATCAATATGAAGTGTATTCCTCTTCCAGCGCATCTAATAAAAAACACTTGGTGACTAGTATTTGGATTGGGTTAGTATGGGGTGGTGTGATATGATATGATGTGGTGTGATATGGTGCAGTGTGTTATGATATGATATTATGTGGTGTGATATGATATGGTGTGATGTGGTGTGATATGATGTAATTTGTTGTGATGTGGTATGGTATGGTATGATATTATGTGGTGTAGTATAGTGTGATATGGTATGATATTATGTGGTATGGTGTGGTATGGAGGTATTATATAGAGATAGTGCTAAATTGACTTAGCCCAAATAGATGCTAGTATAGACTGAATACGCGCTAGTTTATTGTAGCTTTGAAGGGGGTGGATAGCTGCTAGGATGGACGGGGGCGCATGTGTTTGCGGGCGCGCCTTCGGGTGGCAGTGGATGCAGGAATGAGTGGCATTGGCGTGGGGTGTGAGGGTTCAGGGAGGTCAGATAAATCGGAAACATCGGGGATACAGATAAGGTTTTGTCCTCTAAAGATCCCATGTTGGACATAGATAAGAGCTGAAAGTATATCATTATAGTCGGTGAGGTGCTCGAGTAAGTGCGTCGGCGGCTTTTTGCCAAAAGCAAGACTAATCGGCTGGCCATTACTGAAGAATACTAAAACATAATTGTGGGTAGGTAGAAGGCGGTAGCGATTAATAAAGTCAATGGGCATATCTCTAAGTTCGCATGCTAGAATCCTAAAATAGGCTGTGGTTTTTGCCTGGACCATAGCGAGGTGTCTATCTATGCGCTGGCACAAAGCGGTGCTAGCCGCTCCAAATCGGACGAGCACGATTTTCCTGTCTTGGAGGACCGTTTGGAAGTCTTCTGGACTGAGTAAGTTGGGGATATGGAAGGACATGCTTGCTTTTTCGGAGGCGCAGTCTTTGCTTTTATGATCTGATCTCTGCCCGGCACGTGGGACAAAGATTCTTGCTTTTCTGAAGCCAGCGACGCAAACAGCTCTGGTGATATTTGTTGCTACAGAACGGGCAAATGGTATCGGGGAACGTCTTAGAGAACTCATCTAGAAGGAAGAAGCAGATACCACACTCTTCTTCGTCATTAACACTTTGATCGAGTGCAACTTTCCAGAGGGCCATTGCTTCGCCAATTCGGCAGAATTCAGAGAGGAGCATTTGGATGCGAAGAACAAGGCGCTGGAGTTTCTGCTTCTTTACTCCAATACAGGAGATGATTTTGATCTCGGGGGTAGTAAGTGGATAGTCCTGGGGAAAGCGGGCGTTGACTTCAAGAACGGATTCTTCAATATGGTACGTTGCTATAATAATATGCGATTGCGCGATGGTTTTGACTTTGAGATTAACACCGGCTAGAGGTCTTGAAACCTCTTCTTTGATGATAGTACGCGATACTTGGTTAATGAAATGTCGCTGAAGGAGCTGCTTCCGCCTGCTGCTCTGGAAGAAGATTCGTGTGAGAAGCGGGAAAGATCGGGCAAAAAGAGCAAGCATGTCTAAGTCGCTGGTTTCACTAGCAATTAAGAAGGCTAGCCACTGGCATTCAGAACGAACCATGGCTGAGAGTAGAGTACAAATAGCGATACTACGTATTTCATTGCAAATCATTAAGAACACGCGCCATTCAAAAGGACTCATCTGGCGGATGTTAGTAATGGCTGGAATATCGAACATAAGATAGAAAACTTCGGAGTCAACTGCGCCTTGCTCTACCTGGGAAATACTGTATAAATTGAAGGCAATATTTGCGTAGTGATGGGCAATGGCTTGTAGGACTGGATTGTACGCTTGAAGTCTAATGGAAGTAGAAGCTTTGGTCCAGAAAGAGTCGGATTTTAGGGCTAGAGATGCTGGTTCGGGGTTAGCAGCTAAGTAGGCCTGGAGATGTCTAAGAGTCTGGGTGCTGAGATGCTCAAAAGGCAAAGCAAAAAGAGCGGTGGTTGGTGGTAGGTGCTGCAAGAGATACGACCGGACTCGTGGTGAGACTTCAGGGAGCAGAGTTGTGATGTAGGTCCAGAGTGAAGACAGATCTAGTGAGCTGGTTGAAGTCTTGTGGGTGTGGCTGTAAACACGTACGGTGGCAAAAAGAAGAATGTCTCTTTCTTGGCAGTTGGTAACCTTCAGAGACTCTATGGTTTTTGGGATATCGGCTAGATCGTCTGTGGCCATAGGCCGACTAAGTAGTAGGTTTAAGTAGAGAGAATAAATTGGCGTAGTTGGTAGTTGTGGGAATTTAGCTGTAATATTAGTGAGGAGAGCTGGTTCGCGACCGGCTGTAATGGCTTGCCAGAAGAGAAGAGATCGCACAACCCGGCTGAATAGACAAGAGCCTTCAGTGGCCCATTTAGGAGGTGTGTAAGTAGGTGAAAGATCGGGGAGTGTTTCCTGAATAGATAAAACTTGTCTAATTAGCTGGGCATCTGGATGGCTGGTGGATATTTTGGCTAGGACCTTGTCCCAGCGATCATAAAGGCCTGGGAAGAGATAGGAGGAATGTTTTTGATCTGGAGTATTGGGAGAGATCGAATCTTCTAAAATAAAGGGGTCGGAAAGGAGGTCTAAGGTGCCAGCCGCACACTTATTGGCCTCGGCAACCAAGTACTTGTAGAGTGAAGTGGGCTCCAGGGCTTGTCGCTCTAGAAGATAAAGGGCATATTCTGGGGCAATTCCAGCGGCTGGAATGGAGTAGGTTGAGGTGAAAGTCTTGTGGCGGTACTCGGGTTCTTGATAAAGAGTAGAGAGAATAATGAATTCCAGGGCTGGAGAGATATTGGCTTGGACGACTTCGTAAATACCTTTGCTGATATCTTTGGGGGCATTGGCCAGTCGTTGTACAAGATAAGGATGGAGGGATGGAGGCAGAGCGACTAGAATCTCTTCGGGAAAGAGATTGTGTTTAAAGAGCAGATCGATGGTTTGAGTGCTACAAAGACTTGGATGAATAGCAGCTGTATAAACCTCTTCTTCAGGTGTTAAGTCGGCATTCTTAAAATACGCGTTGGGAAAGACTCGAATGCTTTCGGCTAGAATACCCTTATTGCGGAGCTGCTGGATGGTGAAGGTTTCGGGAATAGTGGGGTCTACTTGGTCAATTGTGTGCCCAAGCGTATCTGCGCGACAAATCTTCTCTTCTGGTGTAAGATGGGTGTAGATAAGTGGAGATGAAAGGAAGGGCGTGTCTTTGGGTTGGGATTGGAGAATTTTGTTGATCTTTTTGGTCTCATCAAGTTGGTTCAGGTAGGGAAAGTCTTCTTCTTCAATTTCAAGTGCTTCTAGTGCCGCAATTGGATTAGTGCGAATAATTCGCTTGAGCACAAGATGGCGGTTGGCCGATAAATTTACTAGGTGTGGGAGCAAAGATGGGTAGATTCGTTTGGCTTGATTGAGAAACTCAGAAAGACCGTTGACTTGCACTAGCTCTTGAAATACTTCAGATTGTACTAATTGTAAGACTATCTCTTCTGGAATTTGCCCGATCTCTTGCTCCAGACTACTCAAAGCATACTTGCCTTTGGTTCGTGCCCAGAGAAGCCACTTTAACTGCACAATCTCTTTGTTTGTGAACTTAGCTAAGGTCTGTACTAGTTGGTGAAGTGCTGGTGTGTCCAGTTGGATATCAGGATGAATTTGGTCTAATTTGCTGAACAACCTTCCTAGCTGCTCTACGTCTTCGGGCTTACCGCTCTTGCAAATTCGTTCTAGTAAGGCTTGGTCTATCTCGGCCACTCCCAAGTATTTTATCTCAAGCAGCACTATGCCGATGTGCTCTTTAATCGTGCACTTCTGTTTCTGTGCGGCTAAAAGAGTAGCTAGGCGCCCGGACTTAGCTAGTCGAGCAATCACTCGCTGCCCTGGCTTATCTGGTCTGTTCAAAAAGAGAGTGAGCCATAGATGAACTCTCTCCTCTAACTTATCAAAGGCATTCTTTTGAAGTAGTCCTAGTAAAATGCCTGAGATAAGTGCTTGTGTTGTCTCTGAGCTATCACGACAAAGTAACGGTAACACATCAAACAAGCACTGTTCAACTGAAAAGATGTCTAAATCTTCCAATTCATTCAAAATCCGTTCTAACCCGCTATTTCTAGCAGCAGGGCTTCTTTTCTGTATCTGTGTAAAATATGTTAAGACACGCTTATCAACAGAAGCACCCGTAGTTTGTTCAAAGGGATTCATATGCTTAAAAAGAAAAAGAAGCTTTTAATGCTACCAAATTACATATCGGTTTGGGTTGAATTGAATTTAAGTTATTGAGTTAGAGGTAATATAATGGAATTTAGAGTTTAAAAGTGATTGGCACTTGGTTGTACGTTCATAATTGTGATGAAAAGGTGAGTATACAGGCAAAACACTAATTAGGATTGTGAGATAGGGTTGGGTTGGTATTTGGATAGTATACGGTTAGTATTGGGTTAGGATTCGAATAGTATTCCAAGATGGACGGGATAGAAAGTGTCATGCCCATGGGATGGCTAATATCCATCAGCCAATACATACTCTATTAAAGACAAAGAGACAGGCCGGATTCTCTGTTCTTTATTCATATAGCAGGTAGTATTAAGGTGTAATCAAATTGATTGTCAAGAAGGTACAGCGGCATGTGTACTTCCCTTAGATTCATCAACGATTGTGAGAATGATTGCTAGTCCAATCTTTTAAATCAAGTCAATTTCTTTCAAGTGTCCTATATTAAGTTAGTGTCTAGTTGTGATGATATGGTTTATTAATGTTTGATTTAAATGACATGCATTTGGTCGTAGTTATAATAGGCAGTTCTCTCTGTTGAATTAATGGCAGATTTGGCCGTATCTTTAATGGGCAAGTATAAATAAACTCGGTCGTTAAGGAGTGTTCTGGCTGTGAACCATTCGATACTATCCGTTGGAGTATTAGCAGTGTCCTCGGGAAGAACAATGTTAGATCTGGGAAAGCTGACAAGTGTGCGGACTTTTTCGTACACACCCGGCCGTCGACAGAATGGGCATTCCTTCTTGGACATCACATAAGGATTACTCACACAATCGCTACAAAGCGGATGGCCGCACTTAAAATAGAAAAACGCAGTGATGTGGTTTTCTGGGTCGAATTCCTCTTTTGCAGTTAGATCACCAGGCGGCATATAATGGCTTTTATAACAAACTCGGCATTCGATTGCCGGCTTGTGCTTATTAATATCATCTATGATCCTTTGTAGGCGTGGATTGGTTTTGGATAAGTCAGGGGTTGGGATTGGGTTTGGTTCGGGGTTTAGTTCGAGGTTTGGTTCGGACTTAAGGGCATCAACATAGTTGGTATATTTAATCAGGTAAGTCAAGTCTTTGCGCTCCACCATAATAATAGTGGAGTCACCGCCAAGGACGTGGCAGGGGTGTGCTAGTAACCCAATGAGCGGGGTTTGTGAATGCTTTTCCATGATTAAGATACTACAGAGCACCTCTAGACCAACGACCCAGTAGTTACGAGAACTTATCTTTTCCTTTTCATTCGCGGCTATCTGAATGCCTATTATCCGCAAAGTTCTTATCTCTTTAAATCGATAGACTGTCCATCGAATAATAGTCACTATACTCGCTTCAGTTAGTATTGGGTTATCACTGAAACACAAGGTCAGCTTCTTGAAACCTTTCTTTAAATCCTGCGACGTATTGGCTGGTACTTCGTTGGGCCATGCGAGGTAGCTGGGCTGGAAAGCGACAAAGTTAGATTCTAAAGCGGGTAGAGTGACATTATAAAGTGTAAATACGCTCTTGGCCACCATGCTAATTTGGTTAGAATCAACAGATGCGCTGGCGAGGTATTCCTCAAACTTCATAGCTAGAAGGTTGATATGGTATTTCACGAGCTCGGATAATATTTCACTATACAACCCAAAATCAATAGTAGTTAGCTGCATATACAGTTTGTGTAAGCCGAGGCTGCTAGGTGATTTGGGTGGTTGCGTTACTGTTTCGATGTAATTGAACAGGGAAAACTTGCTGTCTAAGAGCGGCTGTTTATAATGCACAACCTCGTCTAATTCAAGAAAGTCATTAACCACAAGTGCAGTGATATTATTAGATACAGGATGCGACAGAATTTGGGCTATGGCAAGGTTTTTGAAGTGCTGATTCAGAATGTACACTTTCACTGGGCCAAAAAAGTCGTAGTGTTGGAATATCCAATTGATGATTTTCTGATCGACGTTGTCAAGCACCAAGATTTTAATGTTTGGGCGATATTTGGGCCGATCGGGAGTCTTTTTTGTTAAATCGTTCATATCAAAGTTAGTGAAGGTATAGTTCTTGTCACAAGCATTCGAGATCTTAAGCTGGAAAACAGAGACACTCTGAAGTAAAGAAAGAAGCCTAATAGCTATATAACTCACTGGCTTAGATGACGGGTTATGGCCATTAATATGGATAATCCTGTAGCGTATATTCTGACAGAAGCAGATGTGCCCTTTACGTTGGTACTGCAGAACCATAAGCATTAGTTCGGGATGGTTGAGTTGAATATTGACTGTTTCTTGAAGCCGCTGGCCGGGATGGCTTAATCTTTGCCCATGGCACATAATGTTTAGCTCGTGTATCTCAGGCGGGACTGCCGATATGGCTGAAATAGCAGCCCAAAAATCTAAGGTGTGCTGAAAATCAGAGCGGTTGGGGTTATAAGAAATTCGGGTGTATTTGGTCAAGATTCCAAACTTAGCATAAGATGTAGGGGTGTAGTATTGGACATAATACTCCAGAAGACGACATGGCATTTCAGTTGAGATTTTGGAAACGACATTGTAAGCCATAATTCGGGGATCAGTTAGTGTTTTTAATTGGCTGATTCCTATCATTTCTTCAAGTGACTCAGGGTTAACGTCAAAGCCGCGAAGAGTATGGACGTGAATTAAAGTCTTGCTGTAGATTCCGAGATCGAAAATAGTCTTCCATGTCGCATCCAGAGCTATTATAGGATGTTTCTCAATGGCATCTTCAAGACCCAGTATCGTTAGATTTCTACCGTCTATGTTATCCTCAATGGTGATGCTATTACACCAGTATGGAAGCATTTGAAGAACAGTGAGATCAAGGGTGTGCATCTTATAGGTCAACGAAAAGCAAAGGGTATAGCCATCGATTAATGGCAATTGACTAATATAAGAGATATGTTTAAACTGGGTGTCCATTATTGTGATAGATGAAATTCGCCGCAAAATAGGAATCCCACTATTTATCAACCCCGGAAGATTGTTGTGCATCGTGCTAGAGACCTTAAGACAAACTGCTTCGTCATAATTAGCGTGGTGTAGTGTGCTTTGAGCTTCTTCCAAACAGGCGGTCCAATCTATGTAATCAGGGCTTGCGTCTTTTTTCAGGTCGGAATCAAAGCAAACTGACAGGGATGTACAGCACATCATGTTAACAACTCGAGAAAGGATTAGCAGATTATGTTGATAGCATTTGGGGTTTGGGTCTTTATAAACAATATAGACATCGGAAGCCTTGAAAATGGCAATCTTTCTTAATGCATTTAAAACTACCTTGGCCGTTTCAACATCAAGATAATAAGACAGTATAAATTTAACCCGGCTAAAAGAAGCTGTTATCACGCATGTAGGACTGTTTGCTAACGGGTTAGGCGGGCGTATAAATAAAACATCCCCAAGATTATTCCTGGACAATTGCTGTGTATTGGGCTCATAAGACGCGATATGCACATTCGTGCACGAACCAGAAATTATGAAGCCAATTGAATTCAAGGCCGTCATTGTTTCATTTGAAATTGACAGAACAATCAATTGATTTCCAAAAATCAACTTATCGACCCCAGCTAATAGTGCCAATCCAATACACAGCCCGATACTAATCCAGGACCTAAGCAGTTTATAACGGACAGTTTTGGCTGATTGGGTTAGTGCTGGGTTAGTAGCACTGGCATATCTAGGGGTTAATAAGCGTTCATAAGTGCCAAAGCAGTCTAACAAGTATGTTGTCTTAATCTTTGTGTAGATATCTGATAGCTTATTCATATGTAAAGATAAAGACATTGGATGTGGGAAGAAAAATAAAGCTATTCAGCTTCTTATCGTTATCTATTAGATTAGATTAAGTTGGGTTAAGTTGGATTGAGTTAGTATTGGGTTGGATTGAGTTGAGTTGGTTTTGAGTTTGTATATGTGTGGTATATGATTGAGTTGGATTGGATTGAGTTTGTATATGATTGAGATTTGGGTTAGTATAGAGCGTGGAGAAAGCTTGAGTACTCAAAAAGCCATAGTCTTCCTGGCTTACACTTATACCTTGGTATGCGGGCAATCTAACTAAGCAAAGTGCGTTTTTATTAGTGCTTCACTTCTATCGCTACTTCTTGGCCGGCGAGGGATACGCCTGGGCAATCAGTTCTGGGTATTTCTCGATCTCTTCCCGGACTGGCCGAATGAATTCAATCAAGTATTTGGCGGCAGCTTGCTTCAAATCAGCAGGATGAATGAGCCGGTTTTGGAAATCGGCTTCTAGGGACTTCTTGGAGTCGTAGGCGAGCGTGTCCTGGGTCTTGTATCTATCAATAACGAACTTTTCTCCAGCCGGTAGAGTGGGGAGAATGACATGTCCAATCAGGGATAGAACTCCATTTGGCTCGATGTTGCCTTCCTCACAGAAAGCCTTGGAGATCTTTTTCTTTATCTGAGCATCCGTATCAGTTAAACCGATCTTAGAACTCTCTTCACTGCTGCTCATTTTACCAGCACCAAGTCCAGGCACCATCGGATTCATTAAGTGGATCCGTTTGCGGTACCCGAGCATGGGTAAGTACTTCTCAGCATAGATAAAGATCTTCCGCTGGTCAACCCCACCGAATTGAGCATCCACACCCAAATACTCTTCATCCAAGGCCTGCATTCCCGGGTAGACTAATCCACTCAAATGAGGATTGTCCGTTTGCTTAACCACTTCGGCTCCAGCTCGCTGGGCATCATGAACAGTCACCAAGGTTGATAGTTTATGCGCGTCCATTACGTACTCCTTCTCGAGCTGAAACTCTGTGCCAGCCACAAATCTAATCTTCTCTAGTGGAGCACCAGCCCTTCTTAGTAAGGCCGTAATTACGACCTTATAGTACGCCGTTCGAGCCTTAACTAGCTCTAGGGGAGCCTTCATGTTATCTAAAACCGCATGCAGATCAGCCAAAAGAACAGTTACTTCACAACCAGCTGCCAAAAAATCAGCTATCTTCAGCATTGGCACTAAGTATCCAATATGGGGTTTTCCTGTCGTTGCAGTCCCCCAATAAACTTTAAGATCCCTTTGGGCAAGAATCTTCTTCAACTCTTCCTGACCAAGAATCTCCTGTAGACCAGCACTAATTAATTCGTACTTCTGTTCTACAGTGTAATGGTTAGCCATAAAAAAAACGGGGTGTCACTGATTAGCCCATCTCTACCCAATTATCTACTACTATCCTTTCTAATACTTCATACACGGCAGCACACACAAATCCAAAACCATCCAGTATCTGATTTGATTTCTGATTAAAAACCAACCTAGTTTCCAATACTAACTCAAATCTCAATCATATACCACGCATATACAAACTCCACTCAACTCAATCATATACCACGCATATACTAACTCAATCCAATCACAACACAACCCAACACAATACTAACTCAATCACAACACCAACACAACCCAACTCAATACTAACTCAAACTAAACACATCCCGATCCATTTATTAACTACACTCTTCCTGGTCCTCCAGTATGTCAGAGTCTTCACTTAGCTCTTCGTCGGGGAAGTAGACCGTGCCAGAGCCTTGAGCTTGAAGAAAAGGAAGGGATGCTGCTTTGTCCTTCTTCTGTTCCTCGGTGAGCAGAGGAGCGCCCGGGGTTGTGGACGGTTTCTTGTCCACCTCTATTTGGGTTAGCAAGTGTTTGACTCGATGGGACGAGTCTTTGATTTTTGATATCTGGTAGGCCTCGTGCTTTTGCGTCTTCTTGTTGTGAACACGAATGGTGTCTTGGTCAACATAAATAAGCTCGTTGGTGTAGTGCTTAAGGATCTTGTACTCCTTTTCACTGAGCATTTCTTGGTGGATAACATAGATGATACTTTCAACATCGCGGACTGCCAAGAGAACTTTGGGGCTAATATCCTGCAAAACTGTGTACTTCTTACCATCTTTAGGTGCATTATATGAGCGGCTATACACTTCTTCTAGCAGAACTTCATAGCACATAGTTTGGTAGAGTTGAGACATGATAGCCCAAGCAGGAGTGCCGTACGTGTCTATTAAGACGGTCATCAAAATTTGCCCAAACATTCTCTTAGATTAATTGCTGAAGGCCTCTACTCAACCCTATTCTATTCTGCTACTCATACCTTCCACTAGCAGTCAAGTCCTGTCAAAGACCTATCACAACAAACACTATCTGGCACGATCTCTGGAGAGTTATCTAGTAAATAGAGACAATGCCAAGAAAGTAGCAACCCAAACTGCATCCAACAACCATCTAGTTACTATTTAGAAGATCTATCAGTGGTTAGGCTTTTATTTAATGATATTTAAACTGATTTTACAGTATATGGAGTGTATAGCAAATTTTAACAATTAAAGTTTGTTGGTTCTGAATGTGAATTTGATTGCCTTTTTTAGCAAATCTCGAAAAGAGTAATATACCTATATTGGGATAGTGCTTAGTTAGTGTTGAGTTGGTACTTGGTTGGTACTTGGTTATGCATGCCATGCCATGTTATGTTAAAATAAGACCGCCGTAGGCGCAAAGTGCTATGAAACTAGGAGATTTATTAAGTTGGTGCTAAGTTGGTACTAAAATGACCCAAACCCATTAGCAAATCAATAGCAACTCAATACTAACTCAATATCAACTTAATACTAACTTAATAGCAACTCAATAGCAACTCAATCCCAAAATAACAACTTAATTTCTAGTAAATCGATAACAATCAAACATGATTCTATTTATGACTTTTGGCAATTCTTATCTTGCGGCTTAGTTTCTTTTTATCCTTCTTGCTGATCTTCTGGCGTCGCTTCTCGCGTTGGGCTTCCTTGGCCTCTTTCTTGCGGGCCTTGCGATCTTGTGAGGTTTCTGGGCTGTTGTTTTGGATAGAACTGGCCGGTGAAGATGAAGATGTGATTGAGTCATTTGAAACATTCTCTTCTTCGGAGCTAGATGATGGCGAGGATCGATTAGTGGTGGGAGCATTAAGAATGGTGTTCAATAGCTCGTCAAAAGGCAGAGTGTTAGCACCTTCTTTAGTAAAGAAAGCATTCACATTATTGATGTCCATTTCCAAGAATTCTCTAGCATTGGGATGGTCCCATTCAACACTCTGGCTGACGTCAATTAGGTAGACCGTGCTGTGCCAATAGAGCATGTTGTATTCAGAAAGATCGGCATGCACTAGACCGCAGTCATTGTATAGTCGGCAGAGGAGGCTAACCACTTGGTTGTAGGCATCCTGCAGCTGTTCTCCATGTAGTCGAGCATCTTTCAAGTTAGGAGCTATTCCACCCATTCCACCAGCTGAGACCGTTTGCCATGCCGCAGAGGTGCTATCATCACTTTCGTCATCACTATCACCACTTTCGTCATCACTACCCTCACTACTATCACTATTATCATCACTATCATCACCACTATCATCACTTTCGTCATTACTACTATCACTACTATCACTATCACCACTCATTACATCGCTCGCAAGGCTATTCTCATCAATTTGATCTTGGGACATGGCTTGGTCGTCCTCGGAGTTAGTGGTCGAGAGATTAGGGTTGGATGATTGGGATAAGAGAGTCGGATTAGGATCTTCACCAATCATCGTCATAATTAAGATGTTACGACGCAAGAAAAGGGGTTTTGGCGAAGGAATTCCCTTCTTTTGCAGTCTGTTCAAGTTGCGGACCTCTTTTTCAGCCCAGAGTTTAACTAGTTTACGAGAGTTTCCCTTAGAATATCTGCGGAACCGCCTCTCCCCAATAATGTATCTTTCGCGGTCCTTGAAGACCATAGTTGATGTTTTGTATATCTTTAAGACCACAGAAATGTCCTCGGTCGGCCAGTCTTGCTGAAGACACATACGGCTATAGATAGTTGGTGAAGCCACCCCCAAATAAATCGATGCTTCTTTCCCAACACTAACTACCCCATAAACCTCTTTGAGCACGCCCTGAACAAGCAGCTTATCAATGATCAGTCGTGTTTTCTTATCCATAACACTGCCAATAGTCTTGCGGTCATTGCTATCTCTTTTCCGCCGCTCAGATTTGTAAGATTCTTCCCGTTCTGACATGAACGAAAATATTGCCCAACCTAACTACTCTATTCGACATAAGCAGAGAACATCTTAATAATCTCCTCAACAACTTCAGTAGAAAGTCTTTCTTCTAGTTCTTCCACTACAACGTACAAATCAAGAATCTTAGCTGGCGGGTGGTTAATTAGCTGAAAAGCTTCAAACTCACTGATGCCAAAACGGACTAACCGATCTTTCATTGATACGGGAGCAAAAGGAACGCTTAAAACCGATTGGACTGCATAGCGCATGGTTTCTATCTGCGTGCATTCAGAAGGCGGAACTTGTGTCTTTAGCATTTTAGCGACTTCTTCATGAGAAAGCATACGAGGTTTGGCCATTTTTGAAAAACACTCTAGTCCATTTATTTCCATTTTGGGTAAGCTATTTATTGTCTTTTTGCTATTATCCTAGATCCTTCCCTCCTAGAGAGACATTGTGGGTTTTTCGCTATGTCTGCGAAGAGGGGACAAAAGGATTATTGTTTAAAGTCCTGACTGAGTGTTTGTAAGAGTTCGCGCATTTGGGTGGGGTTAGTGGCTCGGTAAGCAGCTGAAGTAGATCGGTCGCCAACACAGATCGGATAGGCATTAGGAGCATTGAGCAGAACCATAAACATGTCTTCATCAGTAAGATCATCACCGGCACAGATAGTAAATAGACTCTCTTGGTACTCTTTAACCACACAAGACCCCTTGTCAATGGTGAGTGGCCGGGCTTCAATGATGCCACGGCCGGTAACAACTCGGGCTCGACCTTGGAGGATCTTTTGTAGTGCACTTGCACACCAGCGGCCGTTTTCCTGGCAGTGGAAGACCACACAGGTGTTTTTGACCTCTATATGAGACTTAGGCGTGAACTGGACGTGCTCTTTGATGACTTTGGTGGCATCAGGAATCCAGGAAAGATCACAAGGGGTGGCGGTCCAATGACCTTCATCCTTCTTGTAGGCCCCATGCTCAGCGTAGATGGCAAGTTTGATATGGCCAAACCAGGCTTCTGCCTCTTCCTTGCTGCGACCGGTGATAATGATAATGCGGTTACGAGGGTCGGCGGCTAAGTGGGTTAAGAGCTGTATGATTTCAGGGGTGGGCTTGGCATCCTTGGGGTTGGGTACAATGTCAGTTAGAGTGCCATCATAGTCCAGGAGAATTAGCCGCTGCTCGGCCTTGTTGTAGCTCTTCTTTAAAGTCTTGATAAATTGGTCGGTGATTGGCTGGCAGGCATTGACTGGAGTGCCTTCTGTGCAGGAGCCAGTATAGGTATTGTTGTCACTACGGAGCATTTCTCGCATTTGGTGGATCCACTGGGCTGTATCTTGGATTGACTCTTCGGTTGGTGATCCAGCGGCGGTTAGGGCCTTGTTGATCACTTCGGCAGTAACATAGGGACAGTTAAGGGTATAAAAGAGGCCTGGAATAGACACGCCACTGGAATACGGCACTACGGCCAAGCGCGTGGGGTTAAGAGCAAGGTACTCATTCAGAACCAGAGAAAAGGAGTCAGCCGATGCGCCAGCGACACACAGTTTAGCACATGCCAGTAAAGCAAAGTAAGTGTACGTGTCTGGGAAGATTACTGTTTTCAAGCGGCCGGGGAAAACACTAGATATACGCTCAGCCAAAGCAGCTAGACCGGTGTTGGGCAAAGCCGAAGACTCGCCAAACACCACACAACGAATGAACTCGGTTTGGCTATCACGGTACTTTAGCAGGTAGCGAAAGACGCCTTCCAAATTGATGCTTGGGGATCCTTGTACTCGAGTACTCTCCACCAGCACAACTAGGTCTTTGCCGGCATAGAGTTCTTCCAGCTGGGCACAGGCCTCTTGAAACTTCGTGGTCGTTTGGATACTGCGAATAAACTCCAGCGGTGCTGCCGGACTGCTGGTGCACACCATACAGCGCAAATCTCCCGAGTAAACCACATGCGTTTTGCGTTTTTGATCCTTATCTAACTGATCTAAGCCGGGCAGTACATCTTTCAGGTACTCGTTGGCACAGGAAAAAGACTCCTTTGCTGGGCTTACTAAAGGCTCTTCTTCGCCCAGGCAGTCGTTGCTGAGGTCTGGAAATGAGGTTGTGATTAGAGAAAGCAAGTCTCGCGTTTCAGTTGGAGGCACTAGTTGCTCAGCACGAGCTTCACGGTCTGTTTCTGTTTTGTCCACTAGGACAATGCTCGGCTGCCCTTTGATTCTTTCTAAGGAAGAGGGCAGCAGCTCCTTATTCTGAGCATTAACAAGTGAAAACGCGGTTGAAATGAAGTTCTCGGCGTATTCGGCGGCTTGAAACTCCAGACGATCGCTGGCCAACATTGACAAGAGCACTTCTTTTGAGTACGGAATACAGCTAAACAGCTCATAGGCCGGGAAAGGAGCAATAAAGAGGAAGGTAATTCGGGCGTAGGGGAAAACTTCTCTGATAAGAGAAGGAAGCAGAAGCAGGTGTTTTCCCACAATCACAATTGTGTCATTTGGCTCGTAGGCCTCTTTTATGGTCGCTAGAAATGCTTGGTTGAATTGTAAATAGTCGGCATAGGGCTTATCTAAATCAAGGGGAAAAAGAGCACTTTTGCCCAGGGCATAGTGACATGCTCGTGAAAGGTGCTTAGAAAAGACAAGGTCCTTAGGATGCACAACATTCTCAACCGCTAGAAAGGAGAAGGTTGCGTTTTCTGGACTAGTAAACTTGGTTGGCGATTGCATGCCTTTAGGGGCATTAGTCCCAATGAAAAGAGTGGACGCCTGCTGTGTTTCCGGAGTACCATAAAGAATAGAAGAAGCAATTGACGAATGCGAGGGAGCAAATACCCACCCCTCTTTGTCTCGATAGTGTAAAGGAAGAGTGCCTGATACGATTAGAGTCTTTGCCATCATGAAAACAAAGAAACATGGCTTTATTAATAGTATCTAGAGTATGATTGGGATAGATTAAGGTCGAGTTAAGATAGAATAGGGTTGGGTTAAGGTGTAATAAAGTTGAATCTAGTCGAGTTATTGGGTTAGTATTGGGTAAGGGTTGTCTTTGGTTTGGATATAAGGGTTGGGTTGGGTTAGTATTTGGGTTAGTATTTGGATTGCTGCTGAATTGCGAATAAGAACTATTCCTGAACCAATGATTTATTATAGAAGGGCGATGCGGTTGTTAGACCGATCGATTGCAGAGTGAATTGGGTGGGTAGTGTAAAGCGATTGGTTGCGGTAGTGTTGGGTTATACGGCAGAAGGACTAGCATATCTTTGAGATGGCTGGCCGGAAATCTGGTAGAAGTCAGCATTGAAATTGGAATCAACGAACAAATCATCTTCGAAGGGTTGGTGAGAATTTAGCTCCTCGTGGGGGTAATACTTGCCGGGCCTATCAGAGAAGCGGTCGTCGTCCAAATGATCGAAACAATCAGTTGGTGGGCTGGCCATAGAACGAACAGGTTCAGGCGTCTGGGCTATTGGGTTAGTAGTGGGGGTTCTGAAGTATTGAGAATCTGTTTCTTTAACAACCGGAACGGAATCGAACTCTGGATGCTCACCAAGTATTTGAGGGGACCATGGGTCAAAGCCGGCGTCCTCAAGGGCTATCTCTTGGGCGAGGAGGCCTTTCGGAAGTGCTTCAGGGTTACGCGGTAGGGGAATAGGTTGGGTTGTCTGGCCAGAAGAACGTGCTGGTGAGAAACTGCGTCGGATCGGTCGCTCAATGACGGTCGTGTCGGAGCCGGGAGTGGCTGGCCGAGAGCTAAAGCGCTCCAGGCTATCAGGGGTCATGGCTCTGCGTTGAATCTTAGGCATTGCGGGCGCCTGATATAGAGTCTCAGCGTCATAGGAAAGGAGCCGTGGATCGTAGTGGGCAGGGAAGGCATATACTTGCTCGCGAGCGATAGGAGCGTCGTGTCTGGGCGAAGCAACTGGCTTAGCTAATGAAGCCTGACTGTGACCGGCGTCATTAGCCGTATTGTCTTCATATGCTCTTCTCTTTGTAGGAATACCACTAGCATCTGTATCATCAGTTGTAGACTTATTCATAGTGTCATGATTGGGCGTAGCACAGCGACTATCAGGGTTTAAGGATCCAGGGGTATCGTGGGAGGAATAAGAGGAGCTGATGGCAGCATCAGCATAACGGCTTGGTTCTGGTTGGGGAGTGGCAGGTCTTGATTTGGGCTCTGTGCCTGGCTTCTCTTTTTTGTCGTTGCCGTGCCGGCTGAATAGTTTGCCGAATAGACCTCGCTTTTCCTTCTTCTTAGGCTTCTCTTTCTCGGGATTAGCCGGACTAGCTTCTTCAGATTTAGACGAGTCTTGAGTAGGTTCTTCAGGTTTGGTCACTTTGATATCTGGTATAGCCTGTTCCTGGGAAGGATCGCGTTGGTGGTCAACAACCGATTGGGCGGCGTTGTTATTTTCTGCTTCGTTGTCTGGGTACAGTTGGCCGTGAAGCACGGTGGAATACACAATCTCGTCTGAATCGGACATGTCTGTGCCCTGCGTTGGATTGGCCGTAGAGATGAGTGGTATTTGATTGTATGGGAACCGGGTAAGAAGCATCTCTTGGTGGGCTGCACATTTTGGGCCAGCTAAAGGATTCGTCTGAATGCCATAAAGGAATCGTACAATAATACTGCGCATGCGGGGATGAAGCAACAATTTGTTCAGGTACTGGGCATTCTTGTCTGTTGGCTTGGAGAGCTTTGTCCTAATGGAAGCCGCGGCATAACATGCGGGGTATAAGTGGGTGTTCTTTGTGGTCGGGCAAACAGGTGTGGGAGTAGTTAGCCACTTCTGTATCTCGGGACTCATGGTCTTAATACAGTTAGCAATTAATGAGTAGTCCTGAACAAACGACATTTGCTTTTCCTGCAGGTTAATGCAGCTAATGAGCTCATCAGTCCAAATAATAGAAAAGAAGATATACGATTCGGCGTATTGCTGCGCCATGTATTGTAAGTCATCAAGAGTGAGGTGCTTATCTGGCATCTGAGTGATAATGTTTTTGGCTTCAAGGAGACTATCCAGGAGAGCGATTGTGTTGATTGCTGAATAAAAACTGTCTGTATAGATATGAGAATCATCTTTAGCATCCGCACGAGGCGGGTTGCTCTGTGCCCGATAATAAAAGAGCTCATTTAGATACTTACTCCAGGCAGCAATGCCGGTTTGGAAGAGACTATCAAGAGATTGATCACATATCTGGTTTAGAGCACTTTTCTGAGCATTTTTCTGGGCGATTAGCTCCGTATCAACCTGCTTCTGGGTGTCAAACCAAGATAGAAGACTGCTTATCATAACCAAAAGAGTTCCTGCAGTGGAAGGATTCATAGTAGGAAGTGTGCCCATCTATTTATAGCTTTATTTATCATTAGCGCCGATATCAATGCCCAATCAGGAAATAATTAATTGGCCCAAACTACCATATTCTCATCAACTCAGGCAAATTTACCCTCTCTTTTTTCAGCCTTGCACAAATGGCCTCTTCTGGCAACAATACTTCTATTTCCAATAGCGCTGGCAACAGCACAACAAAAACCCAAACAACCAAACGGCCACTGGTCAACTCGCAAATGTCTACTAATAGCCAACCGCGCACTTTACTATCTCAACTTTCTCCTACCCACAACAAAAACATCATTGCTCTCTTGCAGGATTACACTCCACCCACCCAAACCAACGGCACAGACTACCAAATGAAGCTGTCTCTAATTGACGAGTCTTTAGAGTCGACTAACCGCACAGTGGATGTCCAAGTCTTCCTCAAAAGCCCTGCTGACTTCCCCAAGAACTTAAAGCGGCTTTCCGTGATTGTCAAAATCCCCCAACTAAACGTCTCAGTTCATGCCACGAAAGGCAAAAGCATTTTACTGGATCGCAAACAAGGCATGTTCCTTTTCAAAGTCGACCAGGAAGGCGCCTCTTTCTATCCTTATGAGTGCATTCCTGCTCAAAAGTACCAAACCTGTCCTTCAGATCAACTGCATATCCAAACCGTCGCTGAAAAGCTAATTGAGCACATAACTCTAGGCCCTGTCCCTTTTCCCTACATCAAAACCGCCGGTCTTATTTTCACCGGATGCGGCTATGTGTATGATATTGAGGCCAAACCGGACTATACCCTTCTAACTCTTCAAGATATGTCCACAAAGGAGCTGCACATTCGTCTTTGGGACCGTTTACCCACCGAAATACCTAAACTCAATGACTTTATTATGGTCGAGTGTCTTCGTGCCAAAGAAGTCACTTCTAAGCACATTCTCTGTGATGTCAGCCGTAGTATGCCCTTTATCTGGAAGGCCCAAGACTCCCCGCTGATCAGTAATATGTACGCAGTATTTGATACTATGAACTATGCCCGCGTTGCTTCTCAAATCCAAGCCCAGGTGCAGCTCCTCACCGACAATCAGGCAGAGCCCGAGCTAACTCTGGACGAAATCATTGCTAAAAACGACGCACTTGTCCCAATCACTCGCACTAGTCCTATTTTCCAAGCAGTTCTCCCTCTACCGATCCATCGCCACTACGCCACCAATAACACCCGGACCCTCCATATTAACATGGCTGCTCTCAAAGAAAAGCACCCTAACGTGTCCGCCGACCAGATTATTCCCGTTGATACCGCCGAGTACCAGCAAGTACACGTCACTTTCAAGCGCCTTGACCCCTGTCCCCACCTCATAGCCAAAAGCTACGCCTACTTCGAGCGAACGCATGGCTTTGCGCGCCTTACCCTCTACCTAACCCAAGACCTCTGGCCACTCACCCCTCAATAAACCCCTTGTATTGTCTTACTAACCACCACTACACCATATTATACCTCAACTTGTAACAGCTTTATTGATTCTTATTCGTTGCTCATTGCTCACGAGGGGCAATGTAGTAATTCAAATACCCCATTGACATGTTCAGGGCTACATGCACGGGATAGTCTTCAGACATGCTAATCCGAATGTTGTGACCCAGAGATCCAAACTTACCAAACGTGGCCAAGTACTTGTAAGGGAAGCTTAGCACGGTGTCTTTAGCCACATTCAAAGTTACTTCTCGCTTTTCACTATTCTCGCCACTCTCCTCCATGGAGAAGAAGACTTCACTATCACCCACATCCGACTGCTGCGTAAAGAGCATTCCTTTCTGGTTGGCAGAGACTTGAAGAATCTCGCCAAAGGCTCCTAAGGTCCTAATCACTCGCTGCATCTCACCAGCTGATATTTCAATTGATGCGTCATAAACCTGGGCTGGGAAAGAGTATTCTTCCTCACCAGTTGACATAAGCTTTAGCTTGTAGCTGTACTTCTTGCTTCCTTCCTCGCAAACAATATTCAAGTCGGTCGCATCATCGTCTGCTGATAAAAGCACAGAAGATGCACCATCAACTGGTAAACTTCTAAAGATCTTTAGAATAGCCGGTAAAGGCACGCCTAGTATGATGTTTTTATCACAGCGGTAGCTTTCAAAGGCAGTATTCTTCAAAAAGATATCAACCATCGAAACGTGCATGGGGTCCATTGCTTGAATGTACAATCCTTCAGCTGTTATTTTAATATCTGAGCTCTTAATGATCTCACCAACACCTTCAAGTACCTTCTTTAAGAAGTTAAAGGAGCATTTACCCCCATCGTACTTCTCTTCTTCGGCCTCACTAGCTCCACTTTTCCCTATCTTAAGCTCAAACATGCAAGGACAAAAAAATAAAGCATTCTACTACTTTCTATCTCTATTCTACCCTATTCTATCTATTATAGGCCTTCCCGGCCCCTCTCCAACCATTTCCTAAACTGCCACTTATCATCTTCAGTCCAAGTAAGTGAAAAAAGGGTCTAGGCCTAACTTAACAACATAAACACCGGCTAAACCCACTTCTAAATCAGCAACAACTAAATCAATTATAATACCAACCCAATACTAGCTCAATACTAATACTAACCCAATACTAATACTAACACTACCATTAGATCTAAACCCTACTATTATTAACCCAATTTAACTTAAAGCAATTTAATGATAATCTAAGCTTAACGTAATACTCAACTTGATTCACCTTAACTTAACCTAACTCAACTCAACCTAACTCAATTCAATACTAACTCAACTCAACTTAACCTAACTCAATACTAACTCAATTGGTGTAGCGGTTGGGCCTAGAGGGTTTAGAGGATTTAAAGGACTTGTTCTGGTGGGGCCGGTTTGAATGGGAACGGGTGAAGGAAGAATATTTGTCGGCTGGCTTTTCGGACTGTTTGTCTGCTTCCTTCTCTGATGAACTGGCCGGAGCAGTGTTATCATCGGTCTTGGTCTCCTCTTCCTCTTGTGGATGGTTGCCTGGACCGAGTTTCCACTGCCGGGGGTAAGTATCCTTGTCCATAATAACTCGTTTAGTACGAGTGACCTGGCCGTGCTCCATCATACTTAGTTGCGGGGCCGTTACTAGAGCAACAGCCAAAGCAATAGCTTCTCCTTTGGGCGAGACTAGGACCACAAGGTCTTGATGGTTAAAGTTATCATAACGAAGAATTCCTTTGGTGGTAAGCTGTGCGCCATAGCAAAGAGCATTAATAGTACTATCTTTGATAATAATCCGGGGATAGTTAACCAGCAGACTTTCTAAAGGCTTAACTACCGATCGCAAGTACCGCTCGTCTCTCTTCTGGCTATACAGATAGTAAGAATCTAAAACATCATGCATTGTTACTAAGTTGTCCTCCGTAACAATTCCACTCTTAGTTCGGCGTAAATCAACCATCTCAGACTTAACTCCTAAATGCAATCCCAAGTGCACACAAAGCGATCTAATGTATGTTCCAGCTTCACAAGCCACTCGGAACATGCCTAACTGTTTCTTAGCATCAAAGTCTAAGTACTCAATCTTCGTTACGGTTCTAATCCGTAGATTCCGTTTAACAGCACATTGCTCGGGTGGCCGTTGTAATTGTGGACCTACATACTGTTTAAGCACCTCCTGAAACTGCTCCTTACTTATACCCTCATCAAAATGCACTACTGCCACATACTCTTTCCCGGCATTCTGCTGTGCTTTGGCTATCCTAGTGGCTCTATTCAAGCAAATGGGCAAACACCCGGAAACCATCGGGTCTAATGTACCACTGTGTCCGGTCCTTTCGCACTTAAAGATACTCTTAACCCAAGATACAACTTCATGAGAAGAGGGGTTACAAGGCTTGTCCAAATTAATCACTCCGTACTGCATATAGATATCAATGGGCCGGCTTTCGGGTGTATATCCAAATGGTGTAGGCGTATACTTCGTAGACATAACGTGCATTTCTTCTAAATCTTTAAGAAGTAATGGCCAAGTCTCAGAATGCGTTAATTTTGCATCATCTCCAGTCTGTAATAATTCGGCTATTTTAGTCGGTAAATTAATTAGTGAATCTACGTTCGTAACGGGGGCAGTCATTCAAGTAAAAAAATTGCCATTTGGCTTATGTATGCCTTAGCGGCTTTGAAAGAAACGGCCGTTCTTTTGGAATCTGGTTTGGGTGTTAATTGTGTTTATTCGCCTAGAGGTGAAAGTTTGGTTTGTGCGGTTGATGGATCATTATTTGTGCATCAGGTAGTTGAGGGATTGGGTTATACGGGTATTACTGCGGTTAATGCCGCGAGTGATTTGGTCGTATCTTATCTGACGGAAGGATCGGTGGCGCATTCGACCGATGTTAAGACGGGTGAGTGTTTGCGGTTGTTGGATTTGGAGAGTGGGAAGTATACGCGGGTATTTAGTGGGCATACGTCTGAGGTGTACAGTTTGTCTTCTTGTTGCACGACGAAGCGTATGCTGAGCTGTGCTGAGAATGAGATTCTTTTGTGGGACCAACGGATGAAAGAGGCTGTTGGGAAAATACCGGCGGTAGGGCATAGTTTAGCTAAGTATAGTCCGGATGATGCCAGTGTGATTACGGTCTTGTTTAAGGAGAAGTGTGAAATGAAGTTGTTTGATGCACGGTCTTATACGACGGGTCCTTATGCGACTAAGGAGTTGGATATAGATGGGGAGTGGCTGGATATGTGCTATTCTTGGAGTGGGCATACGGTGGCTTTAAGTACACCGGAGGCCTTGGTTTTGCTGGATGGGATTAAAGGAAGCTTGCTTGGATATTTGCCTACGGAGTATGCTCGCATTAGGGCCTTTTCGCCGGATGATGATTATTTGGTGTATTCTCGTGAGGAAGGTGTTTTATCTGTCTGTACGGCTAATAATTTGAAAGATGTAACTGAAATTTCAGTTGGAGGACCAGTGTCGTTTGTGGACTTCAATCCTGGGTATGACCAATTGGTTGTTGTGGGTCAAAAAGTATCTTTGTGGCAGGTAAACAGTGAAAATGAATAAAGATTAAGTTAAGTTATGGTGTAGTGTAGTGTGGTGTGGTGTGTTGAGTTGAGTTGAGTTGAGTTGAGTTATGTAAAGATTGAGTTATGGTGAGTTGGGTTGGGTTAAGTTGGGGTGTGGTGTGGTGAGTTGGGTTAGGGTAAGTTGGATGTTGGATGTTGGGGCCTTAGATAATAATTGGATTGAGTGTGATATGTAAGTGTTTAAGGCTTTTATTTAGTTGGGTTAGGCTGGGTGAGATGAAGTGAGATGAAGTGAGATGAAGTGAAGTGGGGTGAAGTGGGGTGAAGTGGGGTGAAGTGAAGTGAAGTAGGGTTTAGAAAGTAGAGATTGCTTGTCCATGCTGGCGGTTGTTGTAATTGTTATAGTTGTTGTGGTTGCTGTAGTTGTTAAAGTTGCTTTGATTGTTGTGGACTTTGCGGTATTTGCGGCTTCGATGGTTGTGGTGGTCGTTGGTGGTGCTTGAGCTGTTGTCATTGTCATCGTCGTGGTGGCGGGTATTCGAGTGGGTATCGCTTTCTTGATTGTCGTGAGAATCGCTTGCGGAGTCGTTTAGGGTATTGTGGTGGGGAATATAGTGGGATATGATGGCTTTAAAATCACCACGCTGGGTCGACTGGTCGTAATCATCGGCGAACTTGGAAAATCCACTGGGGACTTCTTGAAGTAGTTTAACAAACTGCTTTCGTTCATAAGAAGGATTCTGCACAAAGTAATACGTCCAGCTAAAGATAGAAAAGCCGCGGATGGTGCTGGATATAATATAGAATAGTTTGTTGGGATTGTTTTTGATGGTATCGGCAAGATGCTGGATTTGTTTTTCGGTGATGTGCTGGCTTTCTAGTAAGGGAATGTCGACTTCGGTGTATCTATTGCCCAGGTTGTTTTGTTTGTCGCCAAGGGTGGCGGGTGCAATATCCCTTATTTCGAACTTGGGGCCATCCTGCGTATGATCGGTGAGATTCTGGCTGTCAAAGAGGACTGCTGTTATGGTTCCGTCATTTGTGCCGGGAGTTGGAATTGATTCGGCCCCAATAATCTTTCTAAAGGTAGCTAGAGTAGGGGCATTACAATTTCGGGCGCGAGAGGAGTTATGTGAGTTGTTTCTGTGGGTATTGGCGTTGTACTCACATAGCCTGGCGTCTTTGCCGCACACGGGAAAGATCAGAGTGTCGTCTTTGGATTGAACCATTGGCATTGTTCCGATGTTTATACCGATTACGTCCTTGCCCTTTAGATGAACATCTTGGCTGAAGATATTATGTTCATGTGTAATAGTGAGTGGCCGAGTGAAAAGTACGTCCCGAAGTCCGATTTGATTAATGACCCGCTTGGATATATATCTCTCGCCTTTCTTAACACTGCCATTGACGATGTAGATGAATGCTGGCCGGGTTGGTTGTGATTTTGTAGCGATTAGGGTAAGGCTGATCAAGTCTGGGTACTTGTTGTTTTGACAGAAGAAGAGGCCAGGAGAAGAAGAGTTATTTGGATAATAGCCATTGCCACCATTGGTTGAATTGCTGTACGAGTTGTTATACGAATTGTTATATGAGTTGTTATACGAGTTGTTGTAGGGATTGTTGGGTGCACTGTTGTAGGGATTGTTGTTGTTGTTGGGGCCGTAGGGAAAGCTTTGTTGGCTGCCACCATTATAGCCGTTTGTGGGTGGTTGGTTGTTGTTGTAGGGCATACTGGGGTTGTTATTTAGACCATAGGGATTTGGCTGAGAGTATCCGTAGGGTGAAGGCGACAGCATGCCTGGAGGCCCCCCTCCCATTCCATTTGGCATTCCTCCCATCCCGCCGGGCATACCATTCGGCATACCGCCTGACATGTTATTAGGCATACCACCAGGCATGCCCGGGGGTCCTCCCGGCATTCCATTACCGGCAGCCCCGGCGGCCATTCCGAAAGGCGTAGGCAGCATACTATTTGGCATTCCTCCGGGCATGCCTGGAGGACCGCCTGGCATGCCATTGGCAGCGGCTCCGGCGGCCATTCCATAGGGAGTGGGCGGCATGGCCGGTGGGGTGAGGGACTTCAGTGCCCCGAGGAATGCAGCACATCGTTCTAGATGCAACAGTCCAATAAGGACAAAGCACCTGGTGCGCCGAGCTCTAGGAGTGCGCAAGAATATCTTCATTGTTTCGTCAGGCCATATCTCTCATATAGTTTGTTTCATTCTGTTTGGGCCCGCTGGACAGCCACACTTTGTAAAACAGGCCGGCGGCTTAAAAACAATACGACCGCTCTAACAGACACCCGAGTAAACACTAAACTCTCACTAGGAAGAACAAAGGCAGTCCCAGAGGAGGTTGTTCCTTTAGTCAGCTCATCCATCTCTTGCTTAGATACCAACACTAAAATGGACCCGGTATGGTCTGAGATAATAAGCTCTCGAGTGGCAGGAGTTACCTTCAGAATCCGGCCCTTAAAGTGCAAAATACAGTCTTGTGTAATAGAAAAGGTCTCTTCAATGGTTGTTGCGTGAATAGTGCGCATCGCAAGAGATGCCAATCGCTTCTCCATCCTCGGGTGAGTTAGAATTGGTGACCGTTCAATAAGTGTGGTTGCTTCCGTATAGAAAACATAATGCCCTGGTATATACCGAGGGTCTTCTTTGGACACAACCTGTACATTAGTTAGAAGCAGTAGCTCCTTATACTGAAATGGAGTCTGGCTAAAGTATCCGTCCAGAATGACTTCACAGTATGTCTCATCTTCATCAATGCACTGCAAATAAACGCGATTGTTCTTAGTAATTGTTCCCTTGGTTATTACCAGAAAAGAGCAGCTCTGGTATGTCTTTAAACACTTCACATACTTAACTACTCGGCTAGTATACGTATTGGTTGTCGGCATCCTTTCTTGCCGGCCTAAGAGAAAGCGGGTCAACAAAGTACAATACTGAGTTAGAGCTTTAACCTGAACAATACGAGGGGCCATTCCGCCAAAAATATCAGATGGCCCAATCTCGCTCTCTAAGTCTTCTTTACTTCCTAGACTCGCAACTACTACACCTTTTTCTACCTCTACAATCTTTCCTACCTCTACACCCTCTGGAGTAAAGAGCCTTGCTAACTTCTCATCAGCCGGCGAGTGCATACTTAAATCAAAGATCTGTCCTCGAGCCTTTAAGACTACCGAAACACTATATTGGGTTTTGTTCTTTCCTTTCTCTTTTACTATACTGTTGATTCTAACAATTTGGCCCGAAATACTCATTATCGCTAATAGCGTAAAGAATTTAAGTCTATCAGTAATAAACTTAAAATAGTAATTCCAAAGCTTTCTGATTCGGAAGACTTCTAAATCCTTTTTATCAACTATAATACCAATTTAACACAAACTCAAATCTAACACTACCACATTACACTACCAAACTACACCAGCACACTACTAACACAATACCAACAGAATACTACACTACATCACACCCCACTTCAACTTAACATAACTTATCTTAATCTAAAATAACATGTATACCTCTTTATTAGTCTGTGCTAGTAATGATCTGTGATACAAAGGAGACGGACTCCTTAGGGGGAGAAGTAGGTGCTGGGCACTTAGCCATCTCTCGCTTCTGGAAAATCTCAGCGAAAGCCAGGCCGTTGGCCAGTAGACCAAAGTACTCCGAGAAGAAGGCACAAATAGCTGAAGATAAATCAAGACAACAAAGAGAAGAGGCTGCTACTTCTTGGATCATTTCTGTAAAGTACTTTTCTATTTCGGCATAATGCACTCTTTCCTTCTTCCTGAGCAGAGCTGCCAGCATATCACCTAGGCCGCCAGCAAATTCCTGGAAAGAGGCCGAAGCCACGTAGAAGGAGATTAGAGTTCGGCCTGAGCTGTGCAGAAAGTGAGACTTTTCCAAAGGCACGCACTCCTGTAACAAGGAAACACCCGAGTCCAGGAAGAAGAGAAACTCTTCTAAAGAGTCCCGCAAGGCGTGCTTCTCCTCTAAAACAGAGGCACAGCGGTACAAATTCCCCAAACTATTCAGAGCCATAGCTCGCTGTTTATAGCTCTCCATACGAGCCACCACTGCCTTATTGCTACTTATCCCAACAATCTGCTTACAAAGAACCGCAATAGTCTTCGCCGCCGTCTTCAAAGCCGAAATCGGCCGGCCAGAAGCATTAACATCAGCCAGGCACCTTTTGGCCAAGGCCTCAAAGAACCCCCTCTCTATCCCAATACAGCCGTACTCTAAAGACTTACTACTACCAAAACTTGGCAATACTTCGCACCAAAAAGTCTTCATCTCTTGGTAGGCCAATACATAGTCATTCTCCAAGAACTGGTCTAGAACCGTCTTATGGACAGACTCATATTTCTTCAAAAAGGCGGCCTCGGACAGAGTTTCCTCAGGGACAAACCCAGCCGGAGCCACATTCCGAGCAGCAACACCAAAGTAATGGTACTTCGAATTGCCACGGTTACCCAACCGCCGGCTACGAATCGAGGGAAAGGTCATTTTAATTACCTTGCCAAACATGGCCGTGTTTAAGGGCATAATTCCTTCTTTCTTAAAGTCCTCGCAATAGTGTTGGTATATAATACAACGAGGAATAGATCCATCCTTGCAGGCAACATAGTTTAAGTTAAGCCAATTAGTAATCGGCTGATTCATGCTCTCAATGAACATACTCTTAAGCATTGTTTACAAATACCACCACACTTATGCGTCCCTGACAACAAATACACCGATTTATTTGGCATGCTTGACAATCCATTCTTCGACTGCCGCAAAGTTCGACATCGTCTGCGAAGAAATCGAGTAGCAAGCAATATCTCGGCCTAGCAAAGAGTCCAAACCAATATCCAAAGCTATATCTTGGCACGTTCCAAACCCATCGACATCATTATGTGTGCACAGCACCAAAATCGGAATCCGAACATGCTTATTTCGACTAAGTATTCCATTAAGTCTTTCCTTCGCACGGCTCCAGGTCTCACTATCTGACGAGTCAATCACAAAAAAGAACGCATCCGCCAGCCGATAATGAAAATCAACTAAATTCTGGTACTGTTCGCCCCCGCCAATATCATAAAACACTCCGTGCACACCTTGTTTCACAAACCGCCGCAACTGAATCCCTAAAGTTGGCTTTTCCTTCTTCAAAACACGTTCTTGAATCATGGCCCGACAAAAAGACGTCTTCCCTGACCGCGAAACTCCAGCTACACAGATTTTAATCTTCTTTCCCCAGAAGTAGTAAACCAGACAGCTATAAAACCGCTCAAAGCACTCGGTTATCTGCATTTCTTTCCCAACTTCAATTCAACCTTCAAATATCCAGAATAGACCAATTAGTTAGCCAGGCGCAAATAACAGCTTTAAAAAAGAATTTGGCCCCCTTTGCCATGTATTTAGCGCTAGCCTTAGTATTAGTCTTTACTTTCATCTTTGGTCTAATTAGTATCTTTCTCTTTAGAAGACCAGCCAAGATTCGACAAGTCCTTCTAATGGGCGAACGAGGCACAGGAAAGACCAGACTCTTCCTAGCCCTCTCTCAAAAGGAGTCCAGCCATGCCCGCACTTTACCTACTCTAGAAGAGAGTGCCGAAAAGCTATCCAACACTCTAATTATTCTAGACCGACCCGGCGACGCACCCGACCATGTCCACCAATTGTCTTCACTCTCTTCAAGCGACATTATTCTTTTCTTCTTCCACCATCCCGCCAGCCAGCCACCCCGTCGCACTTCAGCCAAAATCATAACTATCTACACTGGCACCGCCAAGGACATTACAGCCGACTACCACTTTGACCCCGCCCAGGGCATTCCAGCCAAGACTCTCGCCCAACTAACCAAAGACCTCAAAATATAACACCCGTATCCTGTCTACTCAATTTACTCAGCCCATTCAATTTACCCACTAAAACCACAATACATCCACTAACACTACATTTTACATTCTACATTTACTCACACATATTCTCACTCAATTCATATCACAATATACTACACTAAACTACACTACACTACACTAACCCAAACCGACTAAATCCATAGCAGTCCACTTAAACCTACCTAGCACATTTAACTTCAATATACACTTACTTATACATTTATTTAGACACCTGCCATACAACACTAAATTATACCATCCCAACCCAATACAATAAAGCAAACCAAGCACAATATTATAGTACAACATTAGTACAGCATTAGTACAATACCAACACAATACCAACTTAACCCAACACACTACAATACAATATTAGTCCAATACCAACTCAACACCATCTTATCTTAATGCCGTGCCCCGGGGAAGGGATAGTACCTTTCAACCCAACATATTCGACTAAAGACCGATTTTGAAGAGGGCGATGGGTGTATTGGGTTAGTATAGCTTAAGTTCTCTTTATCGTACGTCATCTTGAGCTAGTCTGTAAAATCATAATATAAACTAATCTGAGACTGTGATTTCTGCTTCGAGATTTTAATCGCGTTCGCTGCGATCAGTGCCAAGCCGATAAACATTACAGCACTACACTTCTGTAGATAACTCTCTTTGAAATGGAGGCTGGCGAGGACACCACAGTTTAGTATGGGTTGACCACGGCGTGTAGTCACTTACCAACAAGACAGTAAAGTAGTAAAGTAGTGTAGAAATTGGCATGTAGATAGTGGTATAATAAACTGGGTTATTAGTATTGAATTAGGTTAGTGTTGGGTCAACTAAAGTGGTGGTTTATTGAGATGGTCGGGTGGCTTGTGATTTGGGGAGTCGTCTTTGAGGTTGAAATTGTTGAGGTTGAGGTTGAGGTTCGCTTAGTGGTTGGAATTGCTGGATATGTTTGAGTAGTTGGTGGAGCTCGGTGGGGGTGGAGGAATCGAAAGTAAGTTGCATGCTTTCGCGGATGGTTGTGGGATGCTTCGAGATCTTGTTGATATATCAATTAGTGGAATGGTATCTAGGTAGACAGAAATAGCAGTAAGATTATCATAGTTAGTATTGGTTGGGGTAAAGTCGGGATCTTCTTCTATACCCGTAGACAGGACTGAGCTATGGTTAGATTGTTGATGGTTATTGTTGATTTGAGTTGGTATGAGTGTCTGGGTTAGAGTTAGAAGCGGTAGGTGTGTCGTTTTTGGCGTCAGTAGAGGTGTTGGTGTTAGTGTCGGTATTGGTATTGGTGTTAGTGTCGGTGTTGGTATTGGGGGCTGGTGAATTGATGGAACGGTTGTGGCGGGACTGGGCCGGATTTGGGGAACGAGATTTGGAAGGTGTGTCTGGAATAGGTTTGGGATTGGGTATCATGTTATATAGAATAGTTACTCGGGCTTCGCTGAGACCGTAGATAGCATTGCGCAGTCTGTCTTGGCTCTTCGCGTAGTTAGCTTGAACCTTTTTAAGGTAGGAATGAGTGTCGGTTAGCTCTTCCACTACTTGGGTGGCTTCGGCGATAACTGGTGAGAGAACAGTGTCAACCTGGGCGGGTGGCACCCTGGCAAGGTGGTCAAGAATACTTTGTGTATTGGTTGTGTACCGCGCATCAGCTATGGCAGTGAAGAGATGGAATTGAGTGTAGATTGAATAACAACCCTCTACGAAGAGTTTGTCGGTAAGAGACCTTAGGTTTAAAATCTCTTTATCTGTGAAATGTGGCTGAGATGCATGAGATTTAGCATACTCGTAGAGAATGCCGATGTTCTCATGGTATTTGTCTAGACTAGAGATGAAGCCGTAGGCCGGGGCAACTAGTGGTTCGGGTAGGAGCTTGTGGTCAGCCAGGTAGTCCATGTATAGTTGGGCGTTGTGCACTGCATACTGTAAGGCGGTGAGCATATGTTGGTTTTGGCTGACTTCTTTGAGGAAGAGCCTGGTGGCTTCATTTGTGTAGAAGTAGTTGATGTGTCTTTTTCCAAAGCTCTTAAACAGTTCTTCAAGGGAAATGATGTGATTTGGGTGGTGTAGCTGGGTGTTGCAGCGAGCAGCACATCGGATCGTCCAAATGCCATGTCTGCGGTCTTTTTGGTGACGAGCAATATAGGTGCGTAGATTCCGAACGTCCCGGCTGAGTATTCTTTGGTACATTGGGAGATCGATAGTTTTGGCGGGATTCGTTGGATCATTGATAAAAGCAATCATTCTTTTGCTGGTTGATTGGATGTCCAGCTGAAAGTAGTTTATTAGGTCCTTATAGTTTTGAGCAAGTTTAACACTATTGGCTAGATTCTTATGAACGTATGGAGAATAAACAATATAAGGGAGGAGCTCATCAAGGGATGGACTATGCTTTTCCAGAGCATCTCGCTCTATGCCCCAGTATTGAGCAAGCATACGATTGGGGTCACCATCGAAAGACTTAAAATCGGGTAAAAAGGCGGGTGATATGAATTTGGATTCTTCAAAATCAACTAAATAGTCAAAAATGGCCCTCTGGTACTTGTAGTAGGATGGTAGAAAGTACCTAATGGTGCCTTTAGCGGGCGATTGACTAGGACTTGGTTTGAATTCAAGACTGTTTGACAGGGCTCGCCGCTCTCTGCCAGCAACACTATCATGATAAGGTCTATCTGGATATTCGGCGGCATGCATACCTAGTGGAACCTGATCAGGCATGGAAGCAGGTGCTAGGACTGAGTTGAATGTCTGGCTATTGGCTCGTTTCGATGGGAACTCATTAGGAATGTACTTTTGGTCTGCTTGATCGGGAGATACAAAGGCATCATCCGTTGCTGTATTGAAGAAGTCTTGTCTGGCTTTATGAGTGACTTCACGATCGTACGGTATACTAGGTGGACTATAACGATCAAAAACATTGTCTTTCTCACTTACACTCTTTCTCTGATGAGAAAACGGACCAGAGCTGGCTGGGTTTAGCATCTTGGCCTTCTGCTTTTGGTCGAACGTATGCAGTCTTTCTACATTATACGTATTTTCAATTTCAGCCAGTGTATGAGTAATCGGCATAGGAGAATTAAGGGGAAGAGGAACAAAGCTTACTGCATCCGCCGCCATAGCAGCTAGCACCAGGCTATCTATTAGAAGAATAGGGCATAAAAGACGTATCCATATTAAGTAATTATATCGGGTCATATCTATTTTTGCCTTATTTTATTTATACTTTCAATTTAGCCCTATCTAATCATTGATGCCGCCAGGTCAATTATGATCCTTCGATTAGATTGAATTAAGTCAAGTTGCATTATGGCAAGTTCTAACTCAATACTAACCCAATCCAAACCAAAACACCAACTAAACACCAACTAAACACCAATCCAAACCAATCCAATATAAACACTAACCAAGTCTATTTAAATTCTAAACCCCAAAACTAACCCAACCTACTACGAAATAAAATCGATTCAAATCTAATTTAAACTCACTTTAACACTAACTTGGTGCTTTATTGGCACCAACTCAACTTAACTCAACTAAGCATAACACAACACAACACAACACAACACCATCTTATCTTAATGCCGTGCCCCGGGGAAGGGATAGTACTTTTCAACCCAACATATTCGACCAAAGACCGATTTTGAAGAGGGCGATGGGTGTATTTATTCAACTCTGCTTCTTCGGGTTAGTATTGAGTTGGTATAGCTTAAGTTCTCTTTATCGTATGTCATCTTGAGCTAGTCTGTAAACTCATAGTATAAACTAATCTGAGACTGTGATTTCTAATTCAAGATTTTAATCACACTCGCTGCGATCAGTGCCAAGTCGATAAGTATTCCAGAACTATGCCCCAATAGATAACTCACTTTGAAATAGAGGCTGGCGAGGACACCACACTAACTCAACAAAACTCAATACAATATTAGTACAATATTAGTACAATACCAACACAGTACAGTACTAACTCAACACAACTTAACTCAACACAACCCAACCCAACACAATACTAACAAAACTTAACTCAACAAAACTTAACTTAACTCAACACAACCCAACAAAACTCAACACAACCCAATACAATACAATATCAACATAATACCACCACAACTTTATGTCATATCAAACCAAATGTATAGAACAGCGATTTTATTTTGCAACGATTTTTAGCGATGAATATCAAGAGTATTGTAACAGTTCCAACCGCTGAAGTACTAATTGATGCGTGTCTCAGTAAAACCAATAGAAAGACCCCAACTGAAGTCCATCGGCACTACAAGATTGGCCGCATAAGAGAGTTTTATACGCGCAAGGTTAAATTTGCTTGTACTATGTACACTAGTAAACTCAACGAGATCTTAGAAGCCTTTCCTAAAGTAGACGAGATTCATCCTTTTACGTCCGATCTAATCAATGTTCTTTATGACCGAGACCATTACAAAATGGCCTTAGGTCACATCAAAACGGTTTCTAGTAGTATTAGTCGCACGCAAAAGGAGTATACCAAGCTAATTAAGTACGGAGATACGCTCTATCGGTGCAAACAGCTAAAAAGAGCTGCTTTAGGTAAGATGTCTACTATGGCTAAGAAGCTAGGCAAGACTTTAGTTTACTTAGAGGAGGTGCGACAGAGTTTAATGCGAATGCCGGATATTGATCCTAGTACGCGAACTTTACTTATTTGTGGGTATCCTAACGTAGGGAAGAGTAGTTTTATGAACAGTGTAAGTCGGGCTAAAGTAGATATTCAGCCGTACGCCTTTACAACTCGTAATCTTTATGTGGGTCATTTTGACTATAAGTATTTGCGATGGCAGATTATTGATACGCCTGGAGTACTTGACCATCCAATTGAAGAGATGAATACAATTGAGATGCAAAGTGTGACGGCTTTAGCCCATTTAAGAGCGGCGGTGCTTTACTTTATTGATGTTAGTGAGACTTGTGGGTACTCAATTGAGTGCCAATTAGGACTCTTCCGATCTCTTTCGCCTTTATTTGAAGGTAAGCCGGTTGTTTTTATTCTCAGTAAGAGTGATGCTAAGCGTATCTCGGAATTACCAAGTGAAACACAAACGCTTATCAAAGAATTGATAGCAGATAATCCTTGGGTTGAGATATCATCTTTAGCAGAGAGTAACATTGATATGGCCAAGAATATGGCCTGTGAGTACTTATTGGACCAGCGAGTGGAAATTAAGTTGCAAGAGAAGCGCTTGGAAGAGTTCCGAGCTATGCTGGATATTCGTAAGCCGGAAATTGATCCTGAGTACAAACGAGTAGCTCAGACGGACGAGTTTGGTACTCGAACTGAAACACAGAAGCAATTAAAGGAAGAGGCCAGACAAAGAGGTGAAAAGTTCTTCTCTGATCTGAACAAGTCTTACTTTGTAGCGGCTGAGTGGAAGTACGATGCTATTCCTGAGATTATGAACGGTAAGAACATTGCTGATTTTATTGATCCTGAGATTGAAGCTAAGTTGTTGAAGTTAGAAGAGGAGGAAGACTATTACTTACAGGAGGTTTATGGCCGAGAGTACAACTTGTTGCATCCTTCGGAGAAAGATAAGAAACAAAAGATTATGCATTCCAAGATTGTGCATCGCTTGCGCGGTATGAACAAACAGCGCTCTTCTATCCCTGAACGAATGAAGTTTGCCGCGGAAACGAAGAAACTGGCTACTAAGGCGGCTCAAGCTCAAGAGGCCGTGGCTCCAGGAGCTCCAATGGAAGTAGAACTGCGCAAGGAGCCAGAAAGACAAGTCTTAGCCCTGACACCCACCCAGCGCAACTTACTGGCCTTCAAGGACACCTACGTGAAAGAGAAGAAGCTTAAGGGTCGTAAGAGTGAAAGTGATCGCATCCACTTAACCGAACGGCCCAAGCACTTATTCAGTGGAAAGACTGGTCGTGGTAAACGGCAATACCGATAGATCCATTTAGCGATATTCAATAAAACAGACCATACTATTTACTTATTTAAGAGTGTCTAGTTACCTAGCTTAGTGAAGCACGATTTACACATACACAGTACATACACTTATTCGCCGGAGCCATCGAGTAGGTTTAGTCGCTCACAGAGCATGGCAACGAAAAGAGAGTCCTTATCGGTGAATAGCAAATACTCGAGCTCTTCTGCCACTTGCGAGGATGCCTTGATGCGAGTAATGGCCCGTTCTACTTCAATAAAGCGTTGTAATAAAGTGCCACGCAAAGCTAACTCACTAGACATCAAGTTGGTATTGTTAGTATTGTTAGTGGTAGTATTGTCGTTGGTAGTAGTATTGTTAGTAGTAGTGGTGATAGTATTGTCGTTAGTAGTGGGGGTGGTGGCAGTATTGTTAGTGCTAGTGGTAGTAGTATTGTTGCTAGTAGTGGTGGTGGCAGTATTGTCATTAGTAGTGGTAGTATTGTTAGTGGTAGTCAGGGTTGGCTTGGCCAGGTTGCTAGTATCGGGGCTGGCGGGCCAATCGATGCTTGCTTGCAGAGTGTCTTGGGTGTTGGATAGTAGGAACCCGGCGGCATAGAACATGTTGCGTTGTAAGAGAAGGGATAGCATCTCTTCATGGAAAGTAGGTAGTGATAACTTGGCGAAGAATGAAATGACCTCAATTACTCGAGATTCCTTCTTCTGCTGGATAGATGCATCAAGAAACTTAGGGAAAAGGGACGAGTCATGAAGAAGAACCCGGCTAAGTGCTAGCGGGTCTTTAAACGCCTTGGCGTCCTCGGCACTAAAGATAGCATAGAGTTTTTCTAAGTTGGTCTCATCAAGTAGTCGAATCATTGCCGAAACTGTCTCTTCAAAGATACCGCTTGAGTGCGACTTGATACTGTCCAGAAGATCTAGGGCGCCATCAATATCGTCCGTATTCAGGAAATGGAAAAGTGTCTTCTCTAGACTAGTAACAAACTCCGGCTGGGTTGCATAGAGGTCAAATAAGAGATCACCAGGTATAAGTCCTTTACAATGCAGCATAATCAGAACAGGAAAGAAACAAACTGTAGTAAGCTTATCAGACAACAACTCAATTGAGCCCGCTGTTGCATAGACCCGAATAGGAGCACCCTGGAGAGCAGTCTTATTTGTCCAGAAAAAGGGCGACTCAACCGCAGCGACGGGAAAGGACAGAAGTGTTTCTCGGAATAGAACTAGAATAAAACTACCAGCCAAGCCAAGGGTCAAACTCTCTTTGGGCGTCCGGGCAGTAGACACATCGCGGAGTCCTGTTGTAATAAATAGCGAAGACTTCTTCTCCTCAGATAGAGTGTAGACTGTTGTGCCATATAAAGAAGCAGTTTCGACCAAAACCGGAATGCGTAGCCGCTTCTTCTTCTCAGGGAGGCCGAACTCTGATAAGAAGAGAGAAAAAAGGGGAGTCCCCTTCTTGGCCAGTCGTTTTTGCATCAGCACACTCAGCACATTCTCTTTAGCCTCGATATCAATCACCTCATCGCTTATCTCAAGACCAGTTAAATAGAAAGCGTACTTAAAGTCAGCTGTGTAATGAACCACACACTTGTCCTTCTTAGAGATAAACACATACTTTTCGGTCACAAACACGTTCTCAACCACCAGTTCATACTCAATTTCAAGACCGCGATTAAGCACCACAAGCTGTCGCGTGTATGAGGAGTGTAAGTAGATCAAGGTCGGAGTGTTCCAGGCCTTGTCCGGTGAGAAACCCGATGGGTACTTCTTAAACTGGTTGCCATGCATAACTAAGTCATTGCAGGACAGCAAAGCATCAATCGCTCCATTGTTGTCCCGAATTGAAGCAATTGTGGCCAATGAATACTGAATTGGCATGGAGTACTGTTTACCCGGCAAAAAGACACGCATTCTTTCAGGGGAGAGTAAACACACCCCTCTTGGCTGCACCTTTTCAATACTAAACAAGGTGTACTTGGTCACTCGCTCATTAGCAAAGGTATACAGAGCCATGTCTAGTGAGTCGTAGTAAAAGGCATCGACCGGATCGCGCAAAGTGCATATCTTTTGGCCGTGGCTGTAGATACAAGGTCGCGGTGCTTTTGTTTCGGAGCAGTTTTTGACCCAGACACTTCCTTCTAGATAGTGGTCCTTGTGCGGACAGATAAGATTGCCGCAAACAAAATAGGCTCGTTCTCGAGTTGTCTGGACTAAAATGTCTATTTGCTTGGTCTCAGGATCCCAGGAAGCTTCAATGTCCGTAAGACTCGGACAAGCCATTAGCACCACTCTTTTGTGTAATTGCGCCGGGTAAGTATAAAGTGAAACTGTTGCAACACCGGCATTGACAGCATAGACTAAGAGGAAACAATCAGTTGAGAGAAGAAACTGGCCGGGAATGGCGTATTCTGCGGCAGTCTCAATGATCATGCTGGCTTGTTTACTTTTCATTTATTTATTTGGCCGGGCATTGGCTCTATCTCTAACCTGATTGCTGATTACTGCCAAACACGCCACGAGCCGATTATATCAAAACGGCAAAGTATATAGCAGAGCCGTGAAACTGATAAGCCATGAAGTTTCACCGGAACGTCCAAAGATGGACTAGTCTTGTGCTGCTTATAGGAACTTTAGTATCTGCCGACAAAAGCGGCCCAGAGTTGGCAGATATTGCCCACGATGCAAATCCAACTTGCCACAAGCCGAATCTATTTAAAACAGCGGCCAAGTTAACTACTACTCCCAATCAAGAAGACCAAACACCCGCCGAGAAATCCCACCCCGACTCTGTTGTGTCTCGAATGTTATCGCACTTCAAAAGAGCGGCTTCATTTGTCCGCACCAGTCGATCGGGTCTAACTCCGTACCTCAGTAGTGGGATAGCTGAGTCAGGAGAAGCCGACGCCGCTCCTGCTAGTTCTGCTGGATCGCCATCGCCCGAGCCTAACCCGCCCCCTGCATCCGCACCAAGTCCATCGGCTAGCAGTCCTGCAGCCTCTCCCCCATCTCCGTCGGCGGACAAACCGCCAGCTGGTAATGCCAAACCTGCTGCCAAAGACCCCTATGCCGGCCTAGAAGACTTCAGTTCTTCCCCGGCAACAACTAGCCCAATGCTAGCCAGCTCAAAACCGACCACCAGTTCGGCAGCAGCAGTGCCTGCATCAACTGCTAGTTCAGCCAGCAGCACACCTTCTACTATGCCAGCTACTATGTCCTCTACTACGGCACCTACAACCAGCTCGGCCGGCGGCATAGGACCATCAGTGGCTAGCTCTGCGACCAGCCCGCCTTCTACCATGACATCTGCTACTTCCAGTCTTGGTATAGGACCTTCTACAGCTAGCTCGGCTGCTCCCAAAGAAAGTGGAGGTGTGCTTGATGCATTGTTTGGTAATAAGAGCAATACATCCACCTCCGGAGTTAGTAGCACAGTGCCTCCAACTAGCATCCAAACAAGTGCTAGTGCTGAACCGACCAAGACCAAATCCACTACAACCGAACCAACTGCAAAAGAAAGCCCCGGCATTATAGATACGCTAGCAAACCTCTTTAAGGGTTCTCCTGATGAATCTAAAAAGGCCGCTAGCCAAGGGCCCGATTCGCCCACTAAGGCTTCTTCACCTGGTTCGACTAGCACCACATCCGCCCCAACTAGTTTAACGACCAGTTCAGCTAGTGCCGCAGCTAATACTTCGTCGACTGCAGCTGCAGCGACTAGCAAAGCATCTACAACCGCCACCTCTTCAGCGGCTCCCAACGAAACTAGCAAGGGCATTGTGGATGGTGTTCTAGACCTACTCAATATTGGAGATAGCAAGAACAAAAGCACGAGCGCCGCCAGCAATACTAAGCCAACCCTCAGCAACACTGCGTCTACTTCCTCTACTCCAGCCACTACTTCTACTTCTTCTGCTCCATCCACTACCTCTACTTCCTCGGCTCCATCCACAGCATCTACTTCTTCTACCCCAACCCCAACATCTACTTCTTCTACCCCAACCCCAACATCTACTTCTTCTGCTCCATCCACTACCTCTACTTCCTCGGCTCCATCCACAGCATCTACTTCTTCTACTCCATCCACAGCATCTACTTCTTCTACTCCATCCACAGCATCTACTTCTTCTACTCCAGCCACTACCTCTATTCCAACCACTACTTCTACTACCTCTGCTCCAACCACAACATCTACCCCAACCACAACATCTACTTCAAGCTCGACGCCTGCATCAACTCATGGCTGTAATGGACATTCTTGTGGCGGTCCTCCGATTAATAACACCTACTATTATGGTCCTATTGATCAAAGTCACAAGAGCAACATCCACAACCAAAGCACTGTTAATAACACCAACAACACAAGCAACAACAACTACTCCACGAACAACAACACCAATATTAACAACAGCACCAACATGAGCCAAAGCGTCAATCAGCAGAACCACAATAATTCAAGGAATACTACCAACACCAACATTAGCAACAACACCAAGATGAGTCAAAGGTTCAGCCAGAAAAACAACAACATCTCCTCTAACACCAACAACACCAATATTAGAAACCGCACCAACATGAGCCAGAAAGTCAATATGCAGAACAACAACGTAGCACCGGCAAAACCACCTATTAAGCCAGCAAGACTAACAGCTAATAGAGTAGCAAACAGAAACAACAACAGCTCTACTGCCACTCAAGCTTCCACACAAAACAACTCCAAGGCCAGTCAAAACATCCAGCGTAACCAACAGTCACAATTCTCTTCCTTCGCCAATCGTTCTCAGCAGAGATATCAGGCCCGTTCTCAAAATAACAGCTTTGCCCAGAGATATAGTCAAAACAACCGGTTTCTCCCACCCCGGCTGTGCGAGCGACCTGCCTATAATCGGTTTGCCAACCAATCCAGACAATACAACCAACGTCTCCAAAATAGTCAGGCTACTCAGTCCAACCAAGTCAACCAACGATCCCAAGCTAACGCCCCTGCAATTAACCGTGGGTTCCAAAACCAAAGAGCAGCCCAGCAACAAAGCCAATATGCATCCTACCGAGCAAGCTCCTTCTCCTCCCGCCAAGCAAGTTTTAGCTCTAGTGCGACAAGAAGCCAGAACATACAAAGCCAGGCGAAGCAGCAGCCTCCAACGCCACCTCCAAGCCCCCCACCCGCCATAGCTGCAACCAATGGCAACTATCGCCAAATGCAACAAAGATCATCCTCCAGCAATTCACAGGCAAGTCGCATGCGCTTCTCCCAAAGGAATAGTTCATCACAAAGCACCACTAACACAACCAATACTAACCAAAATCTAGCCCGGCCACAATCACCACCCCCAGCACCGGCACCGGCACCAGCGCCAGCACCATCTCGACTCACGGCCAGAACAAACACCGCGAATCAAAGCAGTCGGTTTTCACGACAACTCTCAAGTAGTAGTACTACTAGGCAAACCCAAAACAGAGCTTCTTCAAGAGTACCGATCCCACCTCCAGCACCGGCACCTGCGCCAGCACCACCTCAGCTCGCAGCCAGAACAAACACCGCGAATCAAAGTAGCCGGTTTTCACGACAACTCTCAAGTAGTAGTACTACTAGGCAAACCCAAAACAGAGCTTCTTCAAGAGTACCGATTCCGCCTCCGGCACCAGCGCCGGCGCCATCTCGACTCACAGCCAGAACAAACACCGCGAATCAAAGTAGTCGGTTTTCACGACAGCTTTCAAGCACGAGTACTACTAGCCAAACCCAAAACAGAGCCCCCTCACAATCACCACCAAGTGCATTAGCTACTCGTCGCAACAGCTACAGCCAAAACACTCAAGGTTCTGCAGCGAGAAACACTTTCAACCAACAGTCCTCTTCTTTGTCTAGAGCACAGCGTGCCACTAACAGCGCAGCCTGGGCTAAGGGTAGTGCGATAACCAGTCGCACCATCGGAACACAGTACCAGCGATCAAATAATTATCGTCAAAGGCCTCCCATTCAAAACTTCGCACCTCATGGACACCATAATGCTAGAGTAGCCCTAAATGCCACCAACCAAGTATCGACATCCTCTGTTCCCGGAAACTGTGCTCGACAGCCTGTTGCTTCTAATGGCAACATGTATGCTCAGCAATCCCAAATGTGGAATCAAACCACGCAGTCCATGACCCGGGCTGGTGGCTGCGGCGTCCGCCGAGGCCGCTCATGCAATCGAAACATCCCACCTAACCCGACCAATCCGAATAGGCCGCCTAACCCGAATAACACGCCACCTACAGAAGAAGAGCGAATTATTGTTGTTGATCTGGACAACGCCGAGCACGAACTACCCAGGGCTCGGCTCTTTGATGAAATCATCCAAAAGAACATTCCACAACAAGAAGAGCAGCTTCCCGCCCTCCAAACCGTCTTCCAACACATTGTAGTAGGAGATAAAGCCATCAGAGAGCTCAAGGCCACCCAAAAAGAAACTGATTTCGGCTACCGGGTTGAAAACAACGAATTCATAATTGAGCCCACTTATGTCTCCTACGAGGACTTCCGAGCAAGCTATTTAGAAGCCAACACCAAGGCCTTCATGTCCTTCCTTATTGATGGCCGGCCAATCGAACTACCAATCACTCTAGAAGACCTGGACACAAACACAAGCACCAAAATTAGTCTAGAGCAGCTTGCTGATGCCGACCTAGACAAGTACACTAAGACACCACCACCCGCTACTCCCCAGCCACCCTTGAAATAAATCAACCATAGATTGTATATAGATAGGCAAACCCCAACCAGAAACACTAGCCTTTTATTAATTCTAACCAAACCACAATCAACCTTATTCAAACTCAACCCAACCTTATTCAAGCTAAACTCAACTCAACCCAACTCAACCTTATTCAACCCCACTAAACATTAACTGAAGTACTGGTTCATTTTATCTAGCCGACCAAACATAGCAGCCGGATAGCCTATTTCAGTGAAGCAGTTCAAAGGCAGCTCATTCAAATCAATATGCAAATGCGTGCTGTACTTCAACAGGGCCGAAATAATATCAGCAAACTCAGTCCCGGCCATTACCTCCCCAAGCTCGCACAAGAACTCATAAAAGGTCTTAAAGTCAGGTGTGCTTACCAGCAAATCACTCGAGCATTCCAAACAAATAGACAACTGCCGCGTGGATTCCTTATTGCACTTCTTGCACCATCGCCTCAGCTTGTAAAGAGTTCCTATCCGGTCAGCCACTATCTGCTGAACCAAATCATACAGAAACTCACGACTAAACAGCAATGTACATTTGGGACAACTCAGTCCAAAGGGCTGCTCCAGGCGGCAACATGGCGACACGATTATTGGCAACTGACTATACTGAGCTCCACCGCCAGTTCGAGCAGTGCGCTCCTTCTTATCTTCGATCCCAAACACCCGCTTAATCTTCGCCAGCGAGACATTTGGGAAGTGTTCCAGCATCCGCTGAATGGGTGGTATTATTTGCATGCGCACATAATAGTCAATGTCAATCGGGCTTCCTTCAGACAAGAGCTCAGGACGAGAAGCACCCTCATAAGCAGTCATTACAAAAGGAACAATATCACCCGGATGGAAGTGAGCTTTCTGCTCCTGATACAGACGTAAGGCCAGCATAACTTGGGGCTGTGCCCCTAGCGACCCTTCGGCATATTCAGTTATGTTCTTAGTCAACTTCTTTCGCATAATAAACCGCTCTTTAGGCTCGTTTGGCAGCTGCACCTGCAACTGCTCGAGATATTCCAAGATTGACGTTTCGGGATCACCAGAACTCAATAAAATACGAAGTACTTGGGACGTGGACGTACTAGCCACTTCAGCCCAGTCGCGACGCACGGTTTCCAAGCCTTTCTCTTCAACCACTTCTTCGCCCTGTTGCAAGTAGATCCCAAAGTACTTCTTTTTGGCCAGCATAACAACGGTCTTAAAGACCTTCTCAAACCCCAACGAAATGCGCTGATAGCGCTTGCTAATACTTTGTGATATTTGTGCAATGAACTGATCGGCCGGCAAAGGCCCGCTAACGGGTATTCCCGTATCAACCATCACCGAGTCAGTATCACCATAAATCACGCGGTAGCCAGCTTGCTCAATTTGCTCTTTAGTGCGTTTCAAGATCGTACGCCCACACTCGGTAATAAAGGCGGCCAAGGTCTTATTGTAGAACCGGAAGCCTTTAAAGCCCAGACAGCCGTAAATACAGTTAGCTACCAGCTTCACAGCATTCTGCTCAATATCCAATAGAGCTCGCTCCGCCGGATCAGCTTCTTTCATTTGGCGCTTAATAGCAGCTCGTTTCTCCACTAACTCCCTTACTGTCGGCGGCAGTAATGTAGTGGTGGCCGGGATTGTGTCCATGGACAGCTTCTTAGCCGTGGAAAAGCAGACATTGTACTCCTGAATGATCGACGGATAAAGGGAGTTGAAGTCAAAGAGCGCAATGTAGTTTTGGTCATAAAGACCCGGTCGCTCTAGAAAGACATAGCCACCAGCGTATGTGTCTCTAGCCGATTTCTGCTCTGCACACCGACTGGGAATTAGGTAGTTCTGCTCGTTCATGCGATGTAGCAGCAAGTGCTCCACTCGATCGGCCTTGCTGCCCCCGAAGATCTTATTCAGCGGGCATCCAGTTACAATAGCTAGTTTCTCAGCCAAGCCAAGCAGTTCTCCTTTTTTAACCACAGCTTGTATCTCAGCTACGCCTAGTCTTGACTCATTGATTCGAGCCATTCCAGCCACAGCTCCTGGAACCTTGCGTTGTTGCAAAGCCAACTCTAATGCCGATCCATCCTGCTCAACTTCCAGTGACTCTACTCTCACCCCGTATCCCAACACCATTTCGGCCAAAGAGTACTCGTTCAATCGATTAACCGACTGTACAAACCGGCCCAAATCACAAACCAGCATTTCTTTCTGCCACTCATAAGTCGTTTCTATCCACACTTTTCGGTCTATATTGCATCCTATCACCAGATCTACTTCTTTCTCCTCCAGCCAAGCACACATTTGCTTCATCAGATCCTGCTCATCCCTACACTGCACAACCGAGCTAGAATCCTTGATCTGCCCGGTTTCCATCGCACCATCCGGCCTATCCACTACATCAGGCGCTGATACTACCAAACTCACACATTCCAAATCAGATGCTTCACTCTGAAACTGCAACAGATCAGCATCTAAAGAGACTTTAGTGCGTTTGGAACAATTGCTCCTTTTCTTCTCCACCAGCACACTTACTATGCCAGGCCGGTCTTCCCGATCTACCTGGACATAAGCAATCCTTAACTCTGGCAGTCCATAACTAACGACCTCAATCCCAGCCATCAAAGCAAACCCATTCTCCACTCGATCAATCTTTACCAAACTCGGTCCTTTGATTCTTTTCTGGAGAATAAAGGATTCGATCGGACTATTGTAAACTCGATGAATACTCCGGTATTGCTGCAACGGCACAACACTCATTGCTCTTTGGTAGGACAAATCAACCATCAACCGATTCTCTTCCCGCGCTGCCTCTCCTCCAAAACACCACATCTTCTTCTCCCAGCTACACTTACTCTCTAGACCCTCTCGTGCCAACCAGGCATCCACCTCCTTTCCTAATAAGCCCATAAAATGACTATTTTCCTCTTTTGGTAAAATTGCAAGCTGATTGCCAACATCAGCAATTTTGATTAGCATCCGATGGCCTTCCTCATCTCGGGCAGTAAGTAGAACCCCGTATTTCTCATAACGAGATATGTTAAGTACCCAAACCAGCATAAATTTTTCAATGAGTCGCCGTAAACCCTCTAAGTCTACTAATAGTCGTAAAGCCGTTCACCGCGAAATCAGTCGTAGTTGCAAACTAAAGAATCGCAAGCAAGATTTAGACCAAATTAGGAAGTTTATTAGTGTTGGCGCCGAGCCAGAGCCGTTAGAGAACCCCAATAACACGCGGTGTTTAGAGTGTGACCGCGTAATGGAGATCAGTACATTAGATAAGCATAGACAATCTCGAGGACACAAAAGACGCCTCAAAGAGCTAGAGCAGGATGCATTGTTGGAAGAAGACCGTCGAAATGGCTTGTTTTAGCCTAAAACACTGCATTAAATACACCAACTCGGACAATCTCATGAAGGACGAGGAAAAGAACAGCTTGAATGTACTCTCAACAGACGCAAGGCAAGAATATCGCAGTTGGTTCTTGTTGCCAGAGAACAAGAGTCTTTTAAACTTAGTTTTAACTGATAAAGAAGTGGCTCGGATTAACCGGCTTGTCGTTGACAGAGACAATCTCGTGTCTACTCGAGCCGTGGCAGAACTTGCACCGCTCATATCACGGCTGTATTCTCGTTTAAAGAGCTACTTGGGCCATGGAGAAAGTGGCCGGTGCCAGTATGAAGAAGTAGAAACAAGCTTTTGTTTAGCTAGGCCGGCTCTACGAGTTTCAAAGAGCTGGGAAGCGCTAATGCAATTTCTGGATGCCGCGGATTTGAAGCCGGTTCCTGAACTATTTCGGGAGAGTGCATCAGCTAAACAGATTAATGAACTGTCGGCTAAAGTCCGAGATTTAGGGAAAGCGGCCAGTGGTAAAACACCAGCTGGCAATTCCGATAGACCTATGAATATTGGGGCTATAACTAATGCTCTAGGTGGGTATAGTGTGCTGACAGTTGCGGCTGTTTACAAGGTAATGGTCAAGGAGGAGTGTCCGATCTTTCCTTCCAAGTACATCGATTTATACATGCGGATAAATACACTATCAGATACCAGCCAAAAGCAGCTCTTATCACGGTTTGTGCTGTTATTTGTTTTATCTGACCAAAAACGAATAATGTTTGAGATTTGTTGTGACTTTTTACACCGCCTAATCACCAAAGAAGACAGTCCGCTGAAATTCAAGAACTTAGCGGTTGTTTTTGCGCCTCTCTTCTTTATTGATGAAGAAACTAGCTGTTTAGCAGCTGATTTCAAAGGCCCTTTAGAAAGTCTTCGCGACTACTTAGAGTTTCTCTTACAGAACTACCGTGAAATCCTCTTAATATAAATTACTACGTTGGTTTTGGGTTATGCAATGTGATGATTGCATTGTGTTTTGTAATGTTTTGTGTTATGTTCTGATTGTATTTTGTTATGTTATGAGATGATTGTATTTTGTTATGTTATGAGATGATTGTATTTTGTTATGTTATGTTGTGATGGTTTTGTGTTTGTGCCATGTTTGATTAAAACACTAATAATGTCTATTGGCCTAATTTGTTACATATCGTTTATTGGCACTCCTTTTATCTTAACCCAACTTAACCCTCACTAACTTACCCCTCAAAATAACATAACTTATCTCATTGCAACCTATCTCATTACAATTTAATCCATTACAACCTATCTCAGTGCAACGCAATGCTAATTTAGTAGCCAAGAGCTGTAAGGAAGGCTTGTGCGCGGCGACGTCCTAATGCCTTGCCTTCTGGTGCTGTTTTGATTTCAGCCAATTGTGGTAGTAGGATGCTGGGACTCTGGGCGGCTTGTGTAAGCTTGGACCAGCTCGGATAGAGAGCAACTATTTGTGAAGCCGCGAAAAATGATATGCCTCTAATAGCACTGATATAGGAGATCATTCGGTCTTTTGGCGCCCAATCTTCGGTCTTTCGTTTTTGGGCATGCAGCAATAAACTACTTAAGGGACTATCTACTTGCATATGATTATTGTCTATTTTCTCGGCTAAATAGGCACTAATGCCATGAAGGACTGCTAGGGTCTCTTCAATGGATCTAGTGGGCAGTAAAAGGAATCCTTCGATGATTAAGGAAAAGCTCGCGGTAAAATAACTCTTTGTTACGGCTAAATTAGCCAGTGGAATACTTCCTTCTATTAAGTAGATCTTGCGACCGGTAATGGCCTTCAATCGGTGTTTTTGTTCCATATACCGGCCATCCCTAAGTGAGTGCATCAAATCTCTAATTGTCTTCCGTTCGGCAATGGTCCCCAGAAAGAGTTCAGTTGATCCATTCACGCCCATCCAAACAAAATCACCAATGGGCAAAACTCGATTCTCAATCGGCACACCCAGTCGTCCTAATGAGCTTCCAAAGAAGAATGGGTTAGTGCCCGCTCGCTCTCGGCTGTCCACCAATAAGACCGGAATGGTCAAGTGCGAGGCTGAGTTAGGACTAGATTGAGTAAGACTAGGATTAAGCGGTGTACTTAAGGTATTGGTTACGGTAGAGGAGACCGGCCGAGAAAGAGTAATAGGAACACTGAGATTGGCGTTTGCATTGGCGTTTTGGCTATTTACATTGCAGATCGTGTTTGTACTGCCCATTCTTGCCCAGTTCATGGTTGCTGTGGCTAAAGAGCAAGAATGCTCCTGCCAATTAACAGCTTGCTTAATAAACAGAGCTGTCCGACGGCCAGCTATAGTAGGAGTCAAATTATCTAACCCCTTTACTAGACCATGTCGAATGAGTAATTGGACTATTCCTTTAACTCGCTTCTCGGTGCACTCAGCTACTAGCCGCGTCCCGTACTCGACCTGGTGTCGCAGAGCCTGGTCCATGCATTTATATCGTAGATAGCTCACTGACTTAACCGTGTCATTATAGCTAACACACTCTTCTTCCAGCACTTGCAATACTAAATGGGCCAAGCTAAATAGAACAGGAACCTTCCACTCCTCGCCCCCCACCACAACTCCAAAGACCCGCTTCCAGCTCTTCCGATTCCCACCTATTTGCACCACCTGCTGCTGATAATTCACTTGAAACGCCCCAATCTTACTAGGCTGAGTCGCACTTTCAGCTTGGTCTCGACCGCTATCCACATCCACCACTGTTGCATCGCCAGCTAGTCCGCCCAAGCCACTTTCAATAAGCAACCTCTGTACCTCGGCCGCAGTAGACTTCCCAATATGTTTAATCGCTAGCAGCTCTGCTAAGCTACTAATTGGCCCAGTGTGCGCCTCAACTGAAGCAGCCGCTCGCTTATACCGTGCCAGTCGATGTCCACTCCCAGTTATTCTCATTTGCACAACTTCTCTGTCTACTAAGCCCAGTAATACACGACGCACCTCCGGTGCTTTATCTTCAGCCATTCCGATTTTATTTTCATGTCCCATCTCCCCTTTGATCTCCGCCAAATCTATACTGCCCATACACAAGCCACTACCCGCGGTTATCCTTCTACCACCCCGACTACCACCTATTCTCTAGAAGATATTGCTTGTATTACTTATGCACGACTGCAACCTTATCTCTCTCCTACACCTCTACCCCGCAGCTACATCACTATTCTCGGCCCTTTCTCAAACATTCAGCTCTCTACTATTGAGCCATCTCTTCGTTCTTTCATATCTTCCCTTGCACTTACCTCACCTATCTCCCCAACCATTACCCAACATTCACACCAGCTTTCTCACTATCTTATTGTACAAAGTCCCGGTTCTCTCCATTCTCTCCTAGCCCAGCTCTCATACACTATCTACCCTCACCCCAGCAGCCATCCCCTCTACCTCTCTTCTACCATTCTCCCCAACGAACTTCCCTGTGCCACAACCCCAACCCATACTATTTCTCTTCTTACTACACCCCTTCCCACCCATCCTAGCTACCCGACCATCTCCCAACTAGAACAGTACATGCAAGACTTCCTCTTCTCCACCTATCCTGGCATTCTGGAAATCCAACAATCACCCACTCTCCCCACCACTACCACTACCACCACCAACTCATCCCATACCCCCACTCTCTCCACTACTACTCATCCCACCCCACAGAACACTACTATATATCGCCTCTGGATACATTTCTCAGAAATCCAACAAGCCACCCAATTCTATCACGCCATCACCGGTCAAACTCTTACTTTCCCCACTGACACTACCCCTAGCCCAGTTACACACTCCAATATTTCCACTACCAAATCCACCACTAAGCATAAGCCCAAATCCAGCCACCAACATAAATCCAAACCCCACCCCCAATCCAATATTAACACTACATTTATTCAATCTAACACACATCCATCCCCACCACAGCCCAATCCGTCCATTACTGTCCTCTTAACCCACTATTACCCTGACTTTTTATACCACCGCCATCTCTACTTCTAAAAAATGGAAAGAGAGACACCCACACCCTCACGAGCTGAAGTTCTTGCTAAACTACAACAAGAATCCCGACGACTCACTCGGGCCTATCAAAGAAGACTTCTAGCCACTAATGTCCGCAAAAACTACTGCACACTCTGGCTGCGCCGCCGAACCTATAAAGAAAAGCTTTCCCTTAATCGCGCCCTCGGCGAAGAGCGCTCCCCCCAGCAAAAAGACCTCTTCCTCATCTCTCCCTCTAAGCCCTAATCTCCACTACTACTACCACCACCCAAAACCAACCAATTACCACCTCGTAATCATAAGTTAGTACTTCATTAGCATTTCATTGGTATCTTAAGCAATAAACACACTATCATTTATTTACATCTCCACTACTTCATTACTATTTCATTACTATCTCATTCGTATCTGGCTACTATATCAACTTAACTTAACTCAATACCTAACTCAACTCACCCAATCTTATCTCTATTTTAACAAAATATTAACCCAATTATAACACCAACCACTCTCAAACCCAACCCACTTTATTTTACTTTTAATATTTCAATTAAGTCTAACCCAATTTAATTTCCTTCTACTAGTAACCCAAATAACAATCCAACTCAACTCAAATACCAACCCAACTCAACTCAACCCAACCTAACTCAATAAACTGAAGTTATTATTGTGTTTAATTTAACTTAATATAGTATTACCGCAAATTATGTTAAGTTTAAGTTTAAGCCAAATACTAAACTAAACTAAACTAAATCAAAACAAACCTAACTCAATTCAAAGACAAGTCAATCAAAACCAAACTCAATATAATCTTTATTGGAACTCAGTAGCAGGCCATTAAAGCCGTCCTGCTAAAAATTTACATGAAAATAGTAAGCATCTCGGAAGAGAAGCGTAAATACGACCGCAAAGAAGAGATTAAGGAGATTCTGGATGAGATTGAAGAGTCCCGAAATGTTTTGACTGGAGTTGATCTTAGTGAGAATTCGTTTAGTCCGGAGTGTTTATTAGCTTTAGTGCAATTACTTAGTACAATCCCACAACTTGAGACCGTGACTTTCAAAGGCATCTTTACGCAGCGAGTTAAGGCTGAGGTGGAAGAGTCATTAGGCTACGTAGTAGAGTATCTTTCTAAACTATCTGGTATTAAGTACTTTGATCTGTCAGATAATGCTTTATCATTGCATGGCATGAAGATCCTCTGTCCTTTAGTGGAGAAGATGCACACTTTGCAGCACTTAGTGCTTAACAACAATGGTATAGGCCGAGATGGAGGAGAGTATTTGGCAGAGGCTTTGACTGCTCTATCTAAAGAAAGTGTTGCTTTGCAGTCAATTGAGATAGGCCGGAACCGATTGGAGGACTCAGCTCGGAAGATTGGCAAGGCTCTGGAGTTATTCCCGTATCTAGATAGTGTAAAGATCTACCAGAACAGTATTCCTAGTGTAATAATTGGAGACTTATTGCACTCCCTAATGCCGTTGCACTTACGGGTGCTAGATATTGCCGACAACTTCTTGTTAGAACACGGCTCTGTTGTTTTAGCTAAGTGCTTGGCCCGTTGGAACATTGAAGCTTTGAATGCTAGTGATTGCTTAATGGGCGATCGAGGGCTGGAGGCACTAGCTCAAGGCATTCAGTTCCGGAGTAGAGTTCAAGGTGAACTCTTACCAGAACGCGAGATTGATTTGTCGTACAATGAAATCACTTCTTCTTCATTGCGCAGTCTGCAGGAGTTCATGCAGAAGACAGCAATGTGCACATTGATTCTAACCGGGAATGAGTATACTTCAGAGGAAGTTGAGCATTTAAAGGTAATTGCTGAGCAGATAGGAAGTGATTTGCTCATCAAGGAAGAGTCCGAGGACGAGTTTGACTTCTCAAGTGAAGAGGAGAGTCTGAAAGAGAAAGAGAAGGACTTTTCCGACGAGATTGGTATTCTCGGCCAGAAGCTAGCGGAGATGAGCTTACATCCCGACGAGCCGGCTACTACTTCAACCAAACAGCCCTAACGGCGCAGAATAGCACATACTCAGCTATACATTTAGCTGGGTTAACGTTGGGTTAGTTTGAGATAGTATTGAGATAGGCCAACAACAATAAATTACTTGCTTTAATTGATATGGTATTGTGTTATGATTGGTGTTGGTGTTGTGTTATGATTACTACTATGTTGGTATTGTATTATTTTACAACCACATTAATTCTATCCTAACTCAGTAGACAGTTAGGTGATTGAGTAATTGAATAGTGCAATAAGTAATTAGGCACACATTTGGCTAGAGATACGCTTGTTATAAATTAGACACTTAATTAGACAGCTATTCAACCCGGCACAATACAACCATCAAGCACTTAATTAGATATCAAATTAAGATAACTTAACATACTTTAACTCAACCCAACCTAACTCAACCTAACCCAACCTAACCCAATACCAATCCAACCTAACACCAACTCAACTCAACCCAATACCAACCTAACACAACCTAACACAACCTAACCTAATTCAAATAATAAAATAGATACTTATTGAGATAATAAAATAGATACTAACCCAACACTAACCTAATCTTAGTCTAATAGCAATTATACACACAATTAGATAGCCGGTTAGTGCTAAATTGAAGAGATTAAGATTGAGTTACAGCAGGACCTCCTAAATGCCACGTAAAGTTTATTTTTACGAATGAGAAGAATACAGCCGCAGAAAGGAGAGCCAAAGCATACAGACCTAGCTGATCTAGAGACGAAAGAGCCGTCAACTCAGCTAGGCAAGTATCTCCGGCTCAAAAAGGTCTTTTCCGGCCAGGGGGTATCGGAGTATGCGGGGGTTTCAACCACTACTGCCGAAACAGTCCGCTGGATAGAGATTGAAGGAGTAGAGGCCGAGAAAGAAGGGTACGTGGCCCGTCTAGAAGCCGTGCAGCAGCACCAAAAGGACAGCATTCCAATACTGCCCCGCATACTGCACTGGACAGTTCAAGGATCCTCAGTGCTACTAGTAACCGAAGCCCGTGCCGAACAAAGTCTACTATCTTTCCTTGAAGGCCTTATTCTTAATGAAGCTCTTATCAGACAAATATCCACTCAACTACTATCCGTGTGCGCATGGCTAGAGAAGAAGGAGTGCTGCACTCCGATTAGTATTGAAACTGCCCGTATAGATTGTCTCGGCCGTGTGTATTTACATAGTCCTTCTCTTTGGAAAGAGTTCTTAGGCCTTGAGTTAGCTGAAACAGAGAAACAGTCATCTGCCGAACGAATACGACATTTAGGCTTGTGTTTATTAGCATTAGGAGGGGGTAAAATCAGCCCCAGCATTCTGCTCAGCAGTCAACTATCTACACTAAGCGAGCCGGATCAGGATAAGCTACAAAGAGCTATTATTGAACAGATTGAGCATATCCCAGTGCCTTGCTTTAAAGAAGTTGTTCTACTCGCTCTTTCTGCTCCTTACACTAGTAGTTTAATAGAAGAGATTCAAGCTCTGCACTTCTTCTACCCCGAGTCAAAGAGCTTAGACTTATGTGCATGCGGACGCGGGAGCGAACTCGGCATTCCTGACGGGGAAGAGTACGAGCCAGTCTTAAACAATCCAGGACGAGGTCCTAATTCAGAGTCTATTTATGACCACGAGGCCGGAGTGGCCGTTAAAGCTTCTACTTTAGATAAGGATATGTTCTCATTTCAGATGCACTTCTTCCGGAGTTGTAAGCGAGTCTCCTTTTGTTTCAACAAACGAGAAGATACGGTAGAGAGTGTTATTAGAGAGATGGAAGATGAAGGCTTAGCTGAAGAAGAACAGGTGGATCTGATCAAAGCCCACATGGAGAATCTCATCGAGAAGATTGAGGAGAAGGAAGAAGAGGAGAAGAAGAAGGAGGAAGAGAGTAAAGAGAAGGAAGAGAAGAAGAAAGAGAAGAAGGAAGAGAAGAAAGAGGAGGAAAAGGAAAAGAAGAAAGAGATCAAAGAGAGCAAAGAGAGTAAAGAGAGTAAAGAGAAGAAAAAGAATGGAAATCGCAGTAAAGAGAGTTCTCCTGAGAATTCAGTGCATTCTTCTGAGGATAGTATTGAGTATCCAACTACTGAATGCAAAGACATCCAGCCGGTCTACGATTTTGCCTTAGAAGTAGCTACGCTGGTTAAGCGGACTAAAAGTACGGCTGAGAGTTGGAACAATTTATTGAAGCGCCAAGACGTACGTACAGTTGGGGATTTGCGTATGTTAGTGGAGGAGGACTGGGAGATGCTTGAACTACCTGTCTTTGCCTCGCGTGCGATGAAGAACGTCTTATTTGGAGAGAGTTATAGGCCATTTAGGGAAAAGATGCTTGGGGTGGATGATAGTTTGAAGGAGTACGAGCATGCTAGCCCGGTTGAGGAGTTGTTAATGGATACGGCGGAAAGGCATGCTCGTCCTGAGCTATTCAGTGACTGGGTACAGAAAGTTAAGTGCCAAGACATTCGGACAGTAGGAGAGTTGAAGTTACTACGGGAGGAAGACTGGGAGCATTTAGAGCTATCGGTCTTTTCCTATCGGGTAATTCGCAATGCTGTCTTTCGTCAAAGTAAGTGCCTGGACCAACGAGTGCTGCGTAAGGAGGACTCTGGGCCGGCCATATAAATAAACGCATATACGGACTTGATTGTTTGGCTGGATAGGTGGTTGTCTTGGTAAAGGGATTGGGTTGTTGTTTGGCTACAAACTGATGGTTACAGATTGGTCTATAAATAGGCGACAAAAAGTGCTAGGTATGAAGCAACTAGGTGAGCTTATGAAGGATAAGGAAAGAGTTTCTAAGCTTATGCGCTTGTTAAGAGCGGAAGGCGGGTCTTTGTTGGTGGACTATACAAAGACACACATTGAAGAGGGTGACATCAAGTCCTGGGAGGAGCGTTTAGAGGGGATGCAGATCGGTGACCGGGTTAAGGAGATGTTTAGTGGGCAGAAGATTAACTATACAGAGGACCGGCCTGTTCTTCATGTTAAGCTGCGTTCTCAGAATGTTATTGCAGCGATGCAGAAAGAGAGTAGCCAGGGACTTGACCCGGAAGAAGAAGCTATTGCTAAAGAGTTGCTCTCTCTTAAGCGAATTGCGGAGTCGTTTACGAATGGGACGATGATGGGTGCTTCAGGGAAGCCGATCAAAAATGTGGTGAACATTGGTATTGGTGGAAGTGATTTGGGCCCAAGACTTCTTACTGCAGCTCTTGCCCCTCTTAGTAATCCAAAAGGATCTCTTTTCCGCTATGTGTCTAATGTTGATGCTCAGGAGATGCACGCCTGTACGGCCGATCTTTCTTTGGAGGAGACAGTCTTTGTGATTGTATCTAAGACATTCACAACTCAGGAAACTCTGGAGAATGCCCGGATTGCTTTGCAGAAAGTTATCGAGGCTCATCCAGGCAAGGCACAACAAGACGTGGTCCGAGCTCATTTCTTAGCAGTTACAGCGGCCAAGCAGAAGGCCACGGCCTTTGGTATCTTAGAGGAGAACATTCTGGACATGTGGGACTTTGTGGGCGGTCGGTACTCGCTCTGGTCTTGTGTCAGTCTTTCCTCCGCGCTAGCTATGGGCTTCCCGGCCTTCTTAGAAATGCTAGCCGGGGCAGCCGCCATGGACAACCACTTCTTGAACACGCCGGTACGAGATAACCTGCCAATGTTTCATGCCATGGTCGAGTGCAAGTACTTCAACGAGTACGGGTTCAATAACAAGTGTGTTGTTCCCTACGACCACTACTTAAAGCTTTTACCAGCCTATCTGCAACAATGCGAGATGGAGTCCAACGGTAAGTCCTGCACCAAAGACGGGTCACTTCTACTCCCGGAAAGGTTCATTTCTTCCGGAGTAGACACCTCCAAGCAAACAGCGCCTATTGTTTGGGGCGGAGTTGGCACCGATGTCCAACACTCCTACTTCCAACTTCTTCACCAAGGAACTATTCGGGTTCTTACCGAGTTCCTTATTCCCGCCAATCCAAAAATCAGCACCACCAGAGCATCATCTGAAGCCAAAAACTCAACCGCACATGATGTCCTGATAGCCAACTGCCTAGCCCAATCCCGAGCTCTAATGCTCGGCCGTGACAACGAAGACAAGAACAAGTATTTCACCGGCAACCGCCCATCCATCACACTTATCTACGACCAACTATCTCCATTCACTCTAGGGCTTCTTATTGCCCTCTATGAGCATAAGATCTTTGTACAAGGCCTTATCTGGAACATCAACTCCTACGACCAATTCGGAGTCGAGCTAGGCAAAGTCCTCGCCAAAGAAATCCTTTCTCAAGTAGAGCAACAAAGATCAAGCCCCGATTTTGATCCATCCACCACCGCCCTCCTACAGCACTACTACTCCCTAAGAAAGAAATAACATCTTACGTTACGCACTCAGTCTTCATTTACATATTCATTTATTTAGTCTACCAATTACATACGACTTAACTTAATCAGCTACTCACAGAACTCACTTAACTTAACTGCTCACATAGTTAATCCAGCTACACATACACTTAGACATATACTTAAAGATCTACTTAAACTAACACATTTACTTAAACAACTACTTAAACTAGCTCATCTATTTATACTTATACACAACTACTTAAACATATACTTATACACAACTACTCATACATAACCCAATTACACATCTATTTATACTTAAACACAACTACTTATACAACTACTTAAGCATAACTACTTATACACAACTCTTACACATAACCCAATACTAACACCCACTTATACTTATATATATATCTTATGAAAATTCACACATAACCAAATTCAAATTCAAACAGAATACAAACCAAACCAAAACCAAACAACAACCAAAGACTAAATCCAACCCAATACTAACCCAAATCCAACCCGTTATTGACCTACTTAACCCCAACCACCCCAAGATTAACCCACTTAATCTCTAAATCGCTAAGTAACTGTCTATTTTCTTTTTATTTTTGTATCCCTGTATATGAAGCTTAGTATTGCCAATCCAGCCAGAACTACTCAAACAGTAGTTGAAGTAGAAAATCACGTTGAAGCCGTGTTATACGAGAAACAGATCGGAGATATTATTGAGGCTGAATTTATTGGACCAGAATGGAAAGGCTTTCTTTTAAAGATCACTGGAGGAGCAGATAAGCAAGGATTCCCAATGAAGCCTGGTGTTCAGAAGCAAGAACGAGTGCGTTTATTGCTTAAGAAGGGCGATGTTGGCTTCCGATGCAACCGAGATGGTTTAAGAAGACGTAAGACAGTCCGAGGATGCATTGTTTCTAAGGAGATTCGAGTGCTTAACTTAGCCGTACTTAAGGAAGGCGAACATGTCTTTGAAGGCTTTAATGACCGAGTAACTCCTTTACCTAAGGGACCTAAAAGAGCAACTAAGATCAGAAAGCTCTTTAACTTAAGCAACGATGTGACTGACTTAGAACCGTACGTAATTGGCCATGAGAAGACTCTTAAGAATGGAGAGACCGTTATTGTCAAACCAAAGATTCAACGGCTTGTTACAGAGAAGAAGAAGGAGAGATGGGCAAGACGAATTACTGAACGTATTGCCAGACAGACCAAGAGTCGGCAGAAGAAGATTGCTTACTTTGCCATGCTTAAGGAGAGAGGAATCACTGTCAGCAAATAAACAATTGAGTTGAGTTAGTATTATGGTGTGTATTAAGTTGGTGTTAAGTTGTGTAGTATAATGGTATGATGATAGTATTATGGTGTGTATTGCGTTGCGTACTATAATAGTATTATGTTGTGTGCTATGATAGTATTATGTTGCGTATTGAGTTGTGTACTATGTGTGTACTACGTTGTGTATTAAGTTGTGAAATTCGTGATATTTAATGGCATTGGGTTAGTTGCGGATCTCGCCTTCTTCAAGGGAGTCGGAGGAGTTGGGTTGGGTTAGTTGGGCTTGGTAGGCTTGTTGTAGGGTTTGGTACTCTTGGTGGAGGTTTATTTGTAGAGATTGGAGGTACTTGGTGAGGTTGGGCTGGTGGGGGAAGTACTGGGGGAGGAGAGAGAAGAACTGAGGGAGGAGAGAGAAGAACTGGGCGGGGTTCTGGTTGAGAAGGACTCCTTTTTCGTAGAAGGCTTGCTTGATGAGTTGGCGGGCTTTGATCCGGTGCTTCTTCTTGGCTTGTTTGATGAGATTGGGGTAAAGCTCAGTGGGTAGATTGGTTTGGGGTGGTGTATTATGGCCTTCGTTGATTAGACTTTCTATTTCTTTAAGTGTGGCTTGGTAGTCGGATTCTTTAACTAGAACTTGATTGATAAAGATGTATCCTGTTTGGGCTAAAACACTTAATAGATCGTTTTCTTGTTCGGATGTAAACCCTGGAATCTTACTTAGATCTTTAAGAGCGGACCAGGCAAAATCTAGTCTGGGAATTATGGCCTGGGCTTGAATAAGTCTTTCGGCCAGGCGAGCAATAGGCACCTCAGGGTGCAACCAATCATTGGTCTTAGTATTGACTAATTGACTGGAGTTGGCTTTCATTCGTTTAGTCGGTTCATCTAAAGAACCTATGCGCTTGCTTACTTCTAACCAGGCCTTAAACTGGTGCATAAAAGGATGGTTGGGCACATAGTACTCTGATTTGCTAATTATAGCCACTATCTTCTGCCAAGTTACTCGATCATCAATCTCTCCTTGATCTAGCCAACAAATTGATTCGCGTTCTCTTATAACTATTGAAGGCACGTCACTTTCTTTGTTTATCTTAAAGTGATTGAGTTGATCTTTACGTTCTGCTTCTCTAGAGTATTCTTCTGGTGATTCCCTTGAATTTGGCAGTCCCAACTCCTGGTCTGCGGAGTAAACCTTAGCCATCTCTAATCTAATCCATTCCTCAGGGACAAGCACCCATCTTTCAAACCCAGTATCCCAGCGAAATACTCGGCCTAGTAAGTCCACATACTCCATGGAAAGATTTTAGCTACTGCCAGCTAACTGATTGGATCAAGTGCCACTTTCTATCTAACAAGCAAATGGTTGGATAGAATTTCCCCTAGATGAATAGATTAGCATAACCAAGGGGTTGGGTAAATGGAACGCAACAGGGCAAAGAACCGTGAAGACCTAAATTACTCAGAAGATTCAGAAAGATCCCGGCCACGCCGCCGGAGCAGCTCTAAGCAACAGTCTCCTAGTGAGTCCGATTATGACTATCCAAGTCTGCCTGACGAACCCAACCGCATGGCATCCTTTAATATCCTTGCTAACTGTGCCGCCAAGGAGCTCAAACTCCTCTCCACCCACAATGCCGACCTGCTGGAAAAAGAGAACGTCGAGTCAGTCGAAGCCACCTACTCCGACCTAGAGGACGAACTCAATGTCGAATTTCCCATGGTCTATGTGGGCGGCAAGAAAGTCTTCAAATGTACTTTCCATGGCTGCAAAAAGGTCTTCCCATCGCTTAGTCGAATGCGCCGGCATTACATTATCCACACAGGCGTTAAACCCTTCAAATGTCTTAACTCTGAATGTCCTAAGTCTTTCTCACGTCGCGACAATATGATCCAGCACTACAAAGGCCATTGTTTGTTCTCCAAGAAATCACAAAGCTCTGACTCCAATGAGTAGTTGGTTAATACACCCTGTGAATAAAGATTCTGGCTAGCACTAAGTTGGCAGTAGGCCATTACTACGTTGATTGAGCACCCAATCCACCACCCAGGATTCAGTCCCATTCAACTTATCCTTGTCCTACCCATCTAAAACTCTATTGGGTTACTATTGCAGCCGCCCTCTAATTGGGTTAGCATTCAATTAGTATTGAGTTAGTATTAGTATCTTATCTAGTATTAGGTTAGTATTTGATTTACTAGACAACCTCAATATTTAACATAAACGTACACCTTTTCTTTTCTTATCTCTTCATTCCAATCCAATACTAAACCCAGCACAATCTAACACAACACAACACAACACAATCCAAATCAACTTAACACAAATCAACTTAACACAATCCAAATCTAACATAATACTATCTATTCTATTTTTAGTTTTAAATTTTACCCCCTTGAAATGGGCAGAGTTAGTACTAAGCTAATTAAGAATGCAGCAAAACAGTTCGTAGAAAAACACTATACAAACTTAACCCTTGATTTCTACCAAAACAGGGATGTCTTAGAAAGTGTATCGATTATTAAGGGAAAGAAGTTGCGCAACAAAATATCTGGATACGCAACTAGACTAATGAAACGTACTAGGTATGGCCGAGTAAAGGGAGTCTCAATTAAGGCGCAAGAAGAGGAGAGAGAAAGAAACGACAACTTTGTTCCTTCTGAGAGTATCATTGATGTGGAGAGATTGGAAGTAGACAATGTTACAATGTCAATGATTAAACATGTTGGCTTAACGGGTAGCTACTTTGTCTCAACTTCAGAGAACAACCAATAAAAGGTAGTAGTGAGTTTAGTTTAGATTAGTATTGAGTTAGGTTGTGTTGGATTGGGTTGTGTTGTGTTAGGTTGGTTTAGTATTGTGTTAGGTTTAGATTGTGTTAGGTTTAGATTAGTATTGAGTTGGTATGGTATTGGATTGAGTTGAGTTGAGTTGGTTAATGTGATACCAACCTAATGAGATACTAACTTAATCTAATGAGATACTAACTTAAGAGGATTGCTTTATTCAAGGAGAGGCGCTGCTTTAAGAGGAACGACTAGACGGAAGTGGGGAGTGGGAGTGTCAAGGCGAATGAAGAAACCAATACGGAGGAATTGCCAGTAGGTATGTGCTGGAGCTTTTGCAGCTTCGGGGGAAATGCGGGCATTGGTGAAGAGTTGAGTCTCTTGGCCACGAATGACTTCTAGAGTGGCAGTTGGGGCATCGGTGGGCAGCCATGGAATGGCGGCGGAATGGGGTCGGGTAGAAGGTCGGACTTGTAAAGGAAGGTCTTCAGAGACAAGTTCGACTGGACCTACTTCCTTAAGCAGGACTGTACTCTGGCGTTGGAGACGGAAGAAGGAAGGATCATTAGGGCCGGCTCGGAAGTCTTTCTGGTCAATAAGCACGGTGCGCTTATCTGGTAGAATTAGATCTAGTGGGTTGAAAATAGCTACGGCTTTAGAAGAATTGTTTAGATCTTCTCGAATAATACTTTCAAAGATATGCGGAGATATTTCACTTGTGCATGTAGTGATGCCTAAAGATTCAACAAAACGACGAATACTTTGGGGTGGCACGCCTCGAGCTCGTAGTCCTTCTAACGTACTGAGTCGTGGATCACTCCAGCCGGTGAATTTACCCTCTTGAATAGCCCGGGTAATGTAACGCTTGCTAAGTAGCGCTCCGGTTAAAGAAAGCCGGGAATACTCCCACTGCACCGGGCGATAGAGATCAAGGGCATCGCAAAGCCAATTATAACTCGTTCGCGAATTAATAAACTCAGTAGTACAGAAAGAGTGGGTAATATCTTCAAATGAGTCGGTGAGACAGTGAGTGAAATCATAAGAAGGATAGATACACCATTGGTCGCCTGTTTTAACATGTGGGTGCTTAACTACTCGGTAGGCAACTAAGTCCCATAGTTGCGGGTTGTCGCTGGACATGTCCATTTTCATACGAAGGACGGCATCGCCTTCTTCATAGTGGCCGTCCTTCATTTTCTGGAACTCAGCTAAGTTCTCGGCAACAGATCGATCACGCCATGGACTGATTACACGCTCTTCCTCCTCTCCGATTTCTTTTACTTGACTAGCTATCTTGCTTGTCATGGTCTCTTTACGGCGTTCTGAGACATCTTTTCGGGAAAGGTGGCAGACATAGGCTTTGCCTCTTTTGATAAGCTCAACAGCACACTCGTACAACCGTGGGAAGTAGTCAGAAGCACAGGTTATGGCATCTGGTGTGTATCCCATCCAGCGCACCATCTCTTCAATCTTCTCGTAGTACTCAGTCTTCTCGGCTTTCGGATTAGTATCGTCATAGCGCAAGGAAATCCAGCCGTTGTAAAAGTCACGGTAGCCAAAGTTAATACTAAGGGCCTTGGCATGGCCAATATGCAAGTGGCCATTGGGCTCGGGTGGGAATCGCACCCGGACTTGGCCTTTAGTACGCTTAATATGCTCTTTTAGAATTTCAGGCGTCTTCTGGTAGTTGGTAAAGGGCGTGTGCATGCTTTGCATTTCACCTTCAAGATACCGGGTCCATTTCCTGTCCTTGGATGTACGCAAGTGCTCAGGAATAGTCACTCTTTGGTAGATTTGGTTGATTGTCCGTGTGGCCGGCATGGGAGCCGTGGCCATTTCCAGTAACTCACTTACTTTCTGCGCATTGAGAGTCTCTTTGGCGACTTCTTTTTCCACTGTAGCTGATAAGGACATGCTTTCAAACAGAGCCATAATCTCACGAGGCGGCACAAATTGCAGGCGAGAGTGATGCTTTAGCTCTTTTAGAACCTTTACTCGCGGCGCACCTGCATTTTCAGCTACAACCTCACTAGCAATGCGAACTAGTTCATCGGTCTTAGGCACATTCTGCTCCATGTACGTCCATAACTCATCTGCACTTGCCTCTGGATACTTCTGCATAACACTTTCGGCATTTAGAATGTCAGTTTCAGTTCTTATCTTTTCGGCTAAAATCAAATTGCTATACCGAGTCGCTGCCGTTCTAGAACTGGCCTTTTCAATTACCTTGTAAAGCAGCTTCTTCTGGCCTGCACTTAGTTGGGCGGGCGAATTAAGGTCGGTTTGAAGTTGCTCAACAATACTTTTGACTCTCTTGTTCATAAGAAGTTCTTTGGCCTTATTTGGCTGAACTCCAAGAATTATTAGAAACTCAGCTTCTGTTTGGGGCGGATTAGTCGATTGCGTCATTAAAATTTAAAATGTTAGGCGCTATTCATGCTTGTTGAAGTAGATCGGGTGGCTATGTGGCGGCGGGGAAAGTTTGGGTGGTTTAGAAGTCCGCCTTCTTATCGTCTAGAAATTGCTTGTGGTCGAGATCGGTCTAATTCAGTCTCTGTGCGTGGACAGGGAGTCACTCGAGTGGGTTTAGTTTGGGAAACAGGGGAGATAAATGGGATGCGACTACCGGAGTTAGTGATAACTTTTTCTAAGGAGGTTGTGCGCTTGCCTTTGGTTTATGGAGTGACATCTCTGCCGGTGGAGACGGCGAAGTATAAGGGCAGTGTAATGGTTCGGCTATGCGAGTTGAGTTGTTTTGGAATGTATGAGCGGGATAGGGTTGCTCGTACTGATTTACAACCGTTCTCACAGGAGATGACTTTTGATTCGGGTGAAACTAGGCGAAGACTGTACAATGGTGAGACTTATACGGTTAATTTGCGGACTATGGAGACGTCAGGTTATGCGCCGATTTTGCAGAATGAATCGGTTAATTTGGCCCATATGGCAGCGAAGCTTGAGGCTTCTGAGCAGAGTGGGCAGAATCTGTCTAGCGAGGAGGCGTCTTATATTCGGAAAGTGCGCCGGCTGCGCAGTTCGCCTTACATGTTCGTTTCTATCTTTTCGTATATTACCTTGGAGACACCGCGGGACTTGATTGTGGAAACGCTTTACAAGGTATATGCTGATCCGCGGCGGCGAAAGCACATGCAGCGGAAGATTTGCATTAACTTTGTGGGTGAGATTGGTGAGGACCACGGGGCTTTGCGCAAGGAAATGTTTGAATTGGCGGCAGCGCGGCTGGTTCAGGATGAGCGTATTTGCTTGGTGGACGGATTGTTTGATTTGACTTCAGATGCGGACTTGGCCCAACACCGACAAACTGAAAAGTCTAATCTTGTGCTGGATGTGCCTGATGCGTCCTTTTATGCCTTTATGGGGTTCTTCTTGGGGTATGTGGTCTTTCAGCAGGTGCAGGTGGTGACTCGATTTTCGCCATTGTTCTGGAAGGCGGTGCTGCAGCAAGAAGCAGGGTATGACGATATTACTGATGCTTCGGTGCGACAGAGCATTGATTGGATGCGGGCCAACAGTGTTAATGAGATGGAGTTTGTGGACCAGCAAGGGCGGGCTGTAACAGATAAGAATAAGGAGAAGTTTATCCAGGAAGTAATTAGCTATGAAACGTATGGCAAGAAGAGCGGGTATGTGGAACTAACTCGGGCTTTTCATGCGCTTGTGACAAATGAGGTGCTGGATTTTACCGCGGATGAGTTGAGTCGGTTGGTTTCAGGGGTGGCTGTTGTGCCGGTTGATTACCTAATGGAGATGGCGATTTACAAGCGATGCAATGCTAATACGCGGGAGGTTGTGTTCTTCTGGAACATTATGAAGGAAGGCACGGACGAGTTCCGGCGGGAGGTGTTACAGTTTATTACGGGCAGTTCAGCGGTGCAGCATGTTAAAGAAGGAGCCAGTGAATGCATTGCTATCGAAAAGGTCAATGCAGAAGGGTTTTTGCCAACGGCCCATGCGTGTTTTAGGCGGCTGGTGCTGTATACGTATCCTACTCAGAAGGACTTGTACCAAAAACTGGTCTATGCCATGAGGGAGAGTGGAGGATTCCATTTTGTCTGATGAGTTGACTTGGGTTAGTATTGGGTGAGACTACGAATTATGTTAATGCTGGAAATAAACACAAACCCTTTGATTTGGATTAAGTTAGGTTCGGTTAGGTTCGGATAAGTTAGGATGGTATTAGGTTTGGATAAGTTGGTATTATGTTCGGATAAGTTGGTATTAGGATGGGTTGGATTGAGATGCTCTTGGGTTGGTTAAGTTGAGGTATCTTATGGTCTGTAAATATGGCCGGGTTAACCAATCTTATCTTATTTCATCTCAATACCTAACCCAATCTTACACACTTAAACTAACCCAATCACACATAACATAACATAACCTAACATAACCCAATGAAACCTTGTGTTTATCAATTGTTTATTAGACATGGAGGGAAGAGACAGCACTAATGGAGTTCCATTGAATATGCGCTGGATGACTATTTCTTCTTGTTTCTTGCTGCTGCCAAGTGTGGTGGCAGAACAGATGTTGAAGCCAAAATTAGAGATCATTGTTTCTTTAATAGGCATGGCGGTTGGACCTTACTTTGCACTGATCCCTGGTAGTTACAGAAATAAGTATGTCTTTGGTAGTTTGCTGGGAATTGTACCAGTCATGCTGATGTATGCGCCTTATGCTAGAGCCTTCTCGCTTGGCACCATTACATCATACTACCGCCTAGTGGCTGATTTGTATGGTGGCGCCTTGTGTGTTAAGACTAAAAAGAAGGATCTTTCCTTGATCTCTAGTTTGGTTTCTGCCTGGATTAGTGTTGGAACCTTCTTTTCCCTGCACTTTTGTCCTACCCTTAGTGCCGCTGTTGGGTCGTGCCCGGCTATGCTAACCTTTGCTATCTTTGGCGCGATTTTGTCCCATATTTACATTATTGAGACACCTGAAGAAATCTTAGAGCGCATCGCTAATGATAGGAACAAAAGCCAGGCATACGAAGACATGTATGCTGCTCTGGCCCATATAAACGGCCCGGGAAAGAAGTCTCAAGATGATCTTCAGAAAGAGTACAAAGAGATCTTGGAAGAAAAGAAGAACGAGAAAGAGAAGCCGGTCCCAGTAAAAGAGAGAGCTCGCGCCATTGGCCTGTCCATTAACATCTCCTTTATCTATATGGCCTTTCAAAAGGCTATGGGAGTTGATGGCAAGTACACTCTCTATCGAGTCTTCCTGGGCGTTATGCAGCTTTTCTCTTGGTCTCTTAAATACACCGAGGGCGCCCATTCCTTTTTCTCAACGGCTCTGCCCGTGCTAGCTCTCTACTTTGTCTGTATTAGCACGAACAGCCACCAAGACATTATTCTAGTGGTTTTAATGCTGCTGGGCATTGAATACGCTCCAGGACAAGTGACCGGGTATAAACTACGGCCACTGGATATTGCTATCAGTCGAAGCATTCAGTGTTTGTGTGCTTTATTGACCTTTTTGGTGGTCACTCAGTACATCATATATTAACCAGGCCCAAACAAACACTATGGGGGCATTGGTCGACATGAGATTTGCCTGTTCAATGGTCTCTTTACCAGTTTGTTCTGTTCTCTTCCAAGGAAGCGTGCATGCCAAATTTCCAGCCCGGGCTGTTAGTTTTGGCCGCGTCAATCTGTACTCGCCCTACACCATTCTCTTTCTGTCCATGTGCATTGTCATGTGTGTCATTCTTATCAACCGAACCAAAAAGATGTACTCCTATCCAGCCCGAAAAGAGATGCTTCTCTTCCTGCGAACCTATCTGGCCACAATTTCTTTAGATCTTGTGCTTTGTTTTGGTATTCGCGGGTTTTCGCTACTTAGTCGGGCCTTTTACGCGGTTGTGGTTAGTTTGCAGCTGGGATGCTTGGCAGCTAGTTTTGTGGCGGCTTTTGGCACTGGGTACGTTTGGATGTTCCCTAAAAAGCTTTCGAGCGAGTGTGCCAACATGTGCCGCCGTAATACTCTTTTTGCCCTGTGTTTTCTAACAGGGATCTTGCTGGTTTGCAATCTAACCTCTTTAGGAGTAGGCGTGTTTGCCATTATCTTTTTGCTGCCGGCGATAATGAGCTTTCTCTTCTCCTTTTCCCAACTAGCTAAGCTTGGCGCTCTGAAAGTTGAAATATGGAACTATGGGTCCATTCTAGTGGTGAATATGTTTATGTTGCTGATTGGTAGCACTCCTCTTGGATTAGGTGCTCTTGTGGTTCTTATCAGTGATAGGTATATTGATGGAATCTTCTTTATGCATTTGCTGGGGTTTCTGACCGTTTTAAAGGTATACAACCTTTGGTGCTTAGATAAAGAGCAGGAAATAGAATGTGTTAATACGGTTAAACAAGGCGGTAAATAAATTTGAATGGCTAAACAACATGTTAAGAGACGAGACAAACGCCGCGCTTTTACAGCCCTAGTGCGATTTGGCCTAGCCACTTTTCCCAACACCTCTAACCCTTTTAGAGCTAGTTTAGACCAGCTAGTTAGTGACTTGCCAATTGATCAAGACTGTAAACGGTTTATTCAGTCAGTTATTGCTACCACTGATATTGATAGTGCCCAGCGTGCCAAAGAAACCGAATGGCTCTGTAATGTTATTTTTAGAGATAAAGGTATTCGCAAACTCAAAACTGCCGCACAAAAGCATTCCCATAGATCTATTCTTCTTTGCTCGCGCTTAATTGGGTCTGAAACTCAAGCCTTTCTTCTTCCTTTGCTGCAGATGGTTCATTATAGCTTGATTAGCTACCATGGCCCAGTACCCGTCTCTCTAGTCTTAGATGCGCTTATTAGGGCTAGAGACCTTACCCATAACAAGATTCTCTCCCGTATTCGGCAAGACCTTCTTCTAGCGACTACTTCTCAGGATATTTGGACTGAAGTAGAAGTTCGAATTGCCCGACTGGCCCAAACCACTCGGACTGCTGAGCCTTCCTTAAACCGCGCAACCCTCCAGGAACTAGCTCGAATTATCACTGCTCATGAAACAGCCGAAGAAATGCTAGGCTACTTGTTTAAGGAGCGAGACAATCCTCTTTTTCTGTCCCTCTATCTGACCGCTCTTAATGAACTCCAACGCCAAGGCGCAGATGTCGCCACCGAGATCGCTAAGATCGCCCCTCTAGCTATCAAACAGAAACAAACCCGGGCCATCCTTCATTCCTTGCTAAACCGGGTCCCTAACTACCCCAGAAGCCTAGAGCGCAATCAACTATTAGCCACCAGCTTATATGACCTATTTACCCAAACCAGCAGCTACCGACTTGTTGGTGCTCTAGCCAGTTTACTTGAATACCTTCCGTCTCCAAGCCAAAATCAGTGTACTACTCGGTTACTACACTATCTAAAATCACAACTTAAAAAATCACCGGACAATCTTCTTACCCCCGAGCTAGCTCATCTCATAACTAACTTGCTATCTGCTAACCTTTCACAGATTCCCAATAGCCCGCAACTCTTCGCTCTATTCAAAACCCTCCTAACTCATCTATTCAACCCTACCACAAACACTGAAACCCATGTCAAAACCGCCTCTCTCCTTACCCACGCCTGCTTACATCCCGCATTATACACCTCTATTATTGACCTAACTGCTTCCTCCTCTAGCCTCCCAGAAGTTGTCCTAGAAGCTTTCATCCAGTCTAATACTTTATCCGAGGCCCTACTATTCACTCAACTCGCTAAGCAATGCCCGTATACTCTCCTCAACCTAACCCGAGTTATCACTCAGCTCTCTTCCAAGAATCAGCCCACGCTTATCAATAACTTACTCGACTGGTCCCTAACTAGCCTCCAATCCTCCCCTAGTGACTACTTGTACTCTCTTCTTAGCACGCTTGCACCTTTGTCTCCTTCCACTACTCAACACAGCATTCTAGCCCAACTTCTTCTTAACCACCCGCAACCTCCACCAACTACTCTTCTATCCGCCATTAACACAATTCTTCAACAAGCTCGTCCAACCCTAACATTCGAGTCCGAATCTCTTCCTCCTCTTCGCACTTTCATGCGGGCTTATCCCAAACTGATCTCTGTTTCCCCCGTTGAGAGTCTTCCTATCCTCTACCAACTAGGCCTCCAGCTGATCCAAATCTTCCCCCAAGCCACTGCACAGTGGCAAGAATCTGGCTTAGCACTTATCAAACGACTGAAGGGCTACGCCAACAACAAAATACCCGCAGAAGCCGTCTTACTAGCGCGTATTGCCAACAAAAGCACCCTCACCTTCTGGCTCGCCCAACTTTGGACCCAAACCAATCCTCTTCCCGTTAAAACCCATCGTACAGCTGTGGTCACGGCCTTTCAACACCTATCAATTATCAACCTACCTGCCACCCTTACCTTTCTTCTTTTCCATTATCCCTACCTCAATCTCGACATCCGGACCCAACCCAAACCAGACCGCACTACATCCCGCACTACCTCTAATAATCCTAATAATACTACTCAACTGCTACCACTTCACCACTTTATTCTCAACTCCATTTGTAAAATCCTCAACCACCACTATCTATCGCACAAGCCTACCCGCAATACCCTTCCCCTCCTGCTACCCTTACTTGATCATCTATTAGCCACCACCTCCCCTAAACTCCGGCAAACTGCTTGTCTACTAGCCAAATCCCTACTTCTTACCAACTGGGGGACTCCTACAGACTACTCCACTGCTGTTCGTCTTCTAAACCGTATTTTCTCTCTAATTACCGACTCTAAATCAGCGTCCACTCTTATCTCTGTTCTCCCGGCATTTGCCACCCGTCTTTCTCTTGATTTTGTTTCCACCTATCTCATTCCAGGCCTACACCACCCTAACAAACAGCTTCGGCGCACATTTAGAACGGCTTTTCAAGCCGTCAGAGCTGGCCACCCTTTCATGCTCTCACCATCCCAGGAACTGCCATATCTTTTATTTTGTGCGAACTAACTGCCCGCTATGCACCACGTCTATCCGCCCGATGAAGACACCTTCCTTTTGGAAGACGCCATTATGAAAGACTTGGCTGCCCATTCTACCCCGCCTAAAATCATTGTTGAAGTCGGTTCAGGCTCTGGTTATATATCCCGTGTACTTGCCCAGCACTTTCCCACCTCTTTTGTTCTGGCTACTGATATTAACCCCTACGCTACTACGCAAACCCAAACCACTCTCCTTCCCTACTCCAATGCAAGCGCTCTCCGCACCAGCATCATTGCCGGGATTAAACCATCCATTGATTTGGCTATTTTCAATCCTCCCTATCTTCCTAGCGAACCCCACCACCTGACTGGTGCCTGGATTGATCGTAGTTGGGCCGGTGGTGTTCATGGCCTCGAAGTAACGCAACAATTTCTCCTCCACACTGCCCACGTCCCCATCAGATACCTGCTTCTCTGTAGCCTCAACAACCCACAACAACTAGCCGATACTCTCTCCACCCAATACCATGTCACCCTTCTTGTCGCTAAAAAGGTCCTTAGTGAAACCTTAGTTGTCCTCAAAATAGAATCTAAGTCGTGATTAGCTGAAACTGATCTAACTAATTTCGCTATGGCTTTATTTGCTGTCCTTTGTTATAATGCTTATTACCAAACTAGAATCGGATATAAGTCTTGCTTCAGTACATACTAATTCAATAAAGTATCTTTATTTCATCTTAGCATTAGATCCCGGCCATTTCACAATCATATATCGTGCTAGGTCTAATCTGGGCTTGTTACAGACCAGGCAGCATTGACTTCTAAGTCATTCTAAAAGTCCTTGACTGATAGCCAAGCAGCCCTGTCCCGAATTATACCACCCAGGCACTTCCTCGGCACTTTACATCTATCCGCCAATCTACTACAATGGGTGTTACCAATCTCGCCACTAGACTTGGATGTTTTTCTGCGCAGTTGCTTTCTAATACTAAGGCAATAAGAATCCATGTCTAGTGCCCTGCTGACCAAACGGCAAGTCTCTATTGAGTTAGTGTTGGGTTTGGTTGGGTTTGGTGTTAAATTGGATTGGGTTTGGTGTTGGGTGGAGTTGAGTTGAGTTTAGTATTGAGTTGAATGAGATGAAAGCCTGCAACTGATTGCCTTTTATAAGTGAGTTGGCTCTGCAATCTTCTTCAGAGTTAGGAATAAGTTTACTACACACCTCTAAACATGAATTCAAACTCGAACTCACATACGAACTCAATCTAGATACGTGGATATTTTAATCGCCGCCCAGAATCACTTGATCGAATTGGACTAATCGTGTTTCTAACACCTAGAACTAGTATTTGGCCCATTAAGCCTATCTAAAAATAACATTTTAGTGCGACAGTAACCTTGGTGCTTTAGCACTCTCCAGAGCTAATCTTACCCCAGGCCATCGCAACTATTACATAATATCTATCAGTGTGTTTATTTGGCAAAGAAACGGTCCAGATATACGCTTTTATAAAGCTTGCCTATCCTAATCTGCACCTTTTTCTCATCTGGCTTCCTCCGGCACTTGCACACCTGTCCCTTCTCTACTCTATCCCCACACCACTCGCACATACAGCTCTGACTTGCCACCATCGATTCCTTGACAGTGTTTTAAACATGCTTTATCTACACTTGTTTCTAGTTTAAGAAGTCAGAGACTGAAGTTTAAGTATTAAGCTAGTACTGAGTTAGTAGATGATCTCAAGAACCATCCGAAGAGATAGTTTCTGATTCCTCTGACTCATTATCAAATTGAGGTCGAGGCCCAAAGGTCGTTGGCGGCATAACCAGTTTATACTCCCCACCAGCTCCAATCATGCGCTTCTCTAACTTCTCTAAGGCTCCTAATAAGACTTTCTCACCCACCTCGCCATCTTCACTCATAATAGAGAAAGAAAAGACCGGTGATGAAACTAAAGCCACGTCAATCTCAGGATAGTCCTTTTCTATACGCACTAGAATATCTCGCACTACTTTAACCCCACTTCCCTGGTTACACTTAGTCTCTACATCAGCTCGTACTTTGATCTTAGGAATACTGAACTTTTGCTTCACTAACTCTTCTACCTCCCCAAGAAAAGCCGTTGTTATAAAATCACTCCTTTCTAATCGATTCTGCAAGAGACTTTCACTACTTAAGACTTCCCGGAAACACTTATATAACGATCCAAACTCCTTTTCGGCCTCCCAACCGAACTCTTCATAAACTTTGTCTAAACTCCGCCCGGTCTTAACGGCTACACTCTGCATAAAGTTATGGGCTATCTTGCCCTTGTAGTACTTCTCAAAAGCAGATAGCTTATCTTCATATTGGGCTCTTTTTTTACTTAAGTCAATGTACCCCTTTTCTTTATCTACCTTTAAGACTAAAAATCCCTCTAATGTGCCAACTTTGATTAGTTTTTGAATATTTCTGGTTCGCTTCTTAGTTAACTCGCTATAAACAATTAAACCTTCAATGTCATTGTACTCGGGAAGAGTTACATATGCTCCGATATCCGTTAGGGACTTGATACGACCGACGACAACTTCTCCTTCTTTTGGATATTGTTCTAAATAGTAGCGATGTGGTTGGTTAGTTTCCATGGGGTATAAAACTAAAAGATATTTAGCCAAACTAGTTCAGGATGTTTACTAAGCGGAACACAAGTTATTTGCAATCATATCAATATAAAAGCCAAGATGGTAGTTTTCTAACTAATTACTGTCCTTATTGGAATTATCTGAAAGAGTATATTCCGGCTAGTGTTTCGCCTAATGCAATTACTTTATTGGGATTTCTAGTGATGGCCGTTCATAGTGTGGTGGTGGCTGTGGCTGATCCGGGTTATGAAGGACGAGTGCGGATTTTACCGGCTATTTCGGGCGTGGCCTTGTTCTTCTACAGTACTATGGATGCGTTGGATGGTGTGCAAGCTCGGCAACGTGGTACGGGCTCTGCTTATGGCCAGTTGTTTGATCACGGGGTTGACTCGATTGTTTGCACTTTGGTGGTTAATTGTGTCTGTTCTGGGGTAGGTCTTCGGTCGAAGAAGGCTGTTTTATTGTCTTTGGTGGCTTGTCAGACGATCTTTTACTGGACGAGTGCTCAAGAGTACTACAAGAAGGTTTTTGTCTTGGGACTGATTGGTCCGACGGAAGTGATTTTGGGGTGCTGTGTTCTCCTGGTTTTATTATCGATCTTTGGTCAGCCAACGGTGATTTTCTTCCAACGAAGTCATCCTCACTTATTGGCACGGATAGCAGTAATTGGAAGTTTGTTGGTGGCCGGACTAGGTACGGCCTACTACGTAACGGATATTTATTGGGGCACTGGATTTTGGCTGAAGCGGGAGCCTGATGCCTTGGGAATGGCTAAGCGGTTGCTGCCTCATGTCTTATTTGTGGGCATGCATTTGGCCATGATATACTCGGCTTTGAACTTAAGGAAAGTAACGGCCAAAGGCTTTTGGTCCTTCTTGGGTACCTGTACCTTGGCTTTCTCTTTATTCACTATCATGACTATTTACTCCCATCAATTGCAGGCGCCTTATATTGAATCGCCCCTTATTCTACCGGCATTGGTCGGACTGAGTACTTTGGCCATATGCATAGCACCGACTAAAGTGGTTAACTCAACCTTATTGGTGCTCTTTATCTTTGCACTTCTTAACTATATCTATCATACTCGAGCGATAACGAAGGAGTCTTTAGATGAGCTCAATATACCATTCTTTAATAACGTCCCTAGAAAGAAAGGCGTCTAATTTGGCCTATATTGGCTTATTAATAAAAGGATACCCAAAAGAGATTTACTATTAGGACTAAATGAATGGAGGCTGCTAATTAGCTCATGTTCCTCTAAAGACCTTTCTTGGTCTCTGACTCGGTCCTGTTTATTCTTGGTAAGATAAGAATTAGAAGCTATAGTCCTTCTTAATTCTAGATATCTCTTTCAAAATAAGAATTATTAAAGAGATTTCAAATCAATAGATTGTGTTGGATTATGTTAATATTGGATTGGGTTGGGTTGGGGTTGAATTAGATGGCGAGAGTTGATCTAGGTGTAGTTCGTGTTGGGTTAGTGTTGGGTTTGTTGTGTTTGTGAATTAGTAAGTGTGATGGCATCTTGGCACTCGGGGGATTGGTAGAGGGACTACTTAATTCGGCCAATCTAAAGATGTTTCTTAATCTGGAATTGCCTAATAAGGAAGTATCTCTAGAGTTTTGCTAAATATTTTTGGATGAAGGAATTTCGGATTCAACTCTTAACCGTTGATAAGCAAAAAGAAGAATTAGTTAGATTTGTCTATCTGCCAAGTACCGGGGCCAATTTGGTTAGCGATGTGCTTGATCAAATAAACAGAGTATACCTTCCTTATTTAGGTATCTCCTCCCATGTAGCCTATCTAGCTGATAGTCGTGGTTATATCTTTGTGGCTACTATGCCAATAGAAAGACTGCGCAGTAAAAAGATGGTTCTGCGTGGATATTTATGTTCGGGGCAATGTCCAAGATGTTCTGGCTCCGGAGAAAAGGCCTCTAAACCACTCAGCCCAGTTTCTCAAAACAAAAGAGAGATACCGATAGGCAAAAAGCAACCCAAGCCATCAACACGTGACGAAGTGAGCGAGGAAGTAAGTGAAGAAGTGAGTGAAGAAGTGAGTGAGGAGGTAACTTTAGTGGCACGCCCGGTCCTACGTGTTTCTGCCCCTGTCTCGGGACGAGCTAAATTATCTATCAAAGATGCCCGCCCCTCTAATTCTAATCTCAATTCAATTTCTAATTCTAACTCTAACTCTAAATTAACACTTGATCACACCACCAACCCAATGTCCATTACTAACACAACTACCAATTCTATATCTCATCCAACTATCAACTCTATATCGCAGCCCAACCCAGCACCTAACTCTACTCCTAAAACTGATTCAACTAATGTCGAGGAAGAGCCTTCCGCCACTACCAACCCACCTATTGCCAATTCAAGTGCTAGTACCGGCTTGGGTTCTAATACGGAAGAGAACGACGGCCCTAATGGGCGCAAGTATCTTCTGAAAAAGGCCTTTAAAACCCTATCTTGTAAGACGATCGGCGCGCCGGCCAACCGATACATCCATTAGGAAGAATGGAAGTAATCAAGATAGTGGGCGTAGATAGGACGTAGATATAATAAATGGCTGGTCTTCTTTTATTTTGATGCTCCATAAGATAGAAGAAAGGCTTCTCTCTTACCATAAGCCGTCTAAAAGAGAAGTCCGCTACATCTGCAGCCGCGTTGTCGATCTTTTGGCTTTAGAGGAGAATATTGTTCCAATTGAAGCTCCCGTGGTGGTTTGTGGGGATATCCACGGGCAATATGATGATCTCTTAACTATCTTTAAGATGCATGGGACTCCACGGAAATGTAAATATGTCTTTTTAGGAGATTACGTTGATCGAGGGCCTAACTCTGTTGAAACCATCACTTTATTACTACTCTACAAAGTCATGTTCCCACAGAACATTGTCCTTCTACGCGGCAACCATGAATCCCGAGAGCTGACTGAGACCTATGGGCTTTATAAAGAAGTTGTCTCGCGATATAATGCCTGTGATGTTTGGAAGCTCCTGTGCGAAACCTTTAACTATTTGCCTCTAGCTTGTCTCGTGGGCAGTCGTATTTTCTGTGTTCATGGTGGAATATCTCCCTTTGCCCTTACGTTTGATAAGATCCTCCGAATCAACCGCTTTGTAGAATTACCATCCAGTGGACCGATGAGCGATATGCTTTGGAGTGATCCTGGGCCGGGTAGTGGCTGCCAGCCTAGTGATCGTGGGGCCGGATACATCTTTGGCGCCGACATAGTTCAGAAGTTCCTTTTTCTTAACGATGTCCAAATTGTCTGTCGATCGCACCAGCTAGTTAATGAAGGCTATCGTTTTGCTTTTCCCAATCGTGAGTTAGTAACCGTTTGGAGTGCTCCTAACTATTGCAATCGTATGGGAAACAAAGCAACAGTGCTTAGAATCGGTAAAAACCTTCGAGTAGATGATGATTGCTTTGTCTTCTTTGAGCAGGCAGTGCGTCCCAACAAAGAGATCGGCTCATTGCCTTATTTCCACTAATTTTTTCGGTCTTGTTGTTATGGTTTCGAAACCCCCCATTAAACGTCATTCTCAAAAACAACCTTATCGTCGCCAACTCTGGCGATCTTGGGGTTTAGCCGCTATCTTTGGGATTTTAATGGCCGGCGGTGGTTTGATCGTATTTAGAAAGCTTGCCGTTGTCTTTGATAGCCCTTTGGACTATGTTATTTCTTTTCCCAGTGAGAAGACGTGGAAGCATAAGCTCTACTTGCGCGAGCCAGTCGCAGAGTTTGTAAAGCGAGATTTAAGTGAGGAGGAGCTAGAACACCACTTTCGGCGCCATTATGTGATTGTTCAGGCCTTGAAGAAGAATGAGCTTGTGGCTAGTGTGTTTTTATTGCCAAAATACTATCAAACAAGCGATACGGCTAACCCAGAGCGATATCCGGTCTTTGAAATCTACAATGTTTATGTTAGTCCTAAGCATCGCGGTAAGCGGCTTTCTACTAAGCACCTGTACACAACCTTTAAGTACTTGCAGACGGTCTACAATGTCGATAACAGTACTTTGGTTGGACTGCACATCTCACCAATAGATACACATATGCCAGTGGCCTATGCTCTTTATCGCAGCTCTGGGTTTACCAATGCGGCCTTTTCTCCCTATGGCCCGCCTTCTTTCCAGCGGCGCTATGAAGATATCAAAACAATTCCTTTGGCAGACTACACGGTTAACCAATTCTTGTTAGCTAAGATTCCGCCCAAGAAACAAAATGACCCACCAGCTGCCAATGGTAATGAGAAGGAAAATGAGAAGGAAAATGACCCGACCGATGGTAGTAATCAACCTGTCGTGGAAGACCGCTTTTTGACTTTCTTTGCTGACTTGGAAACCTTTTACTCGGCCGTAGATAATCCGACTTACACTTCTAGTGAATTCCAGACCTTTGTGAAGAAAGGTGCTAGGCTGCAAAAGAAACTACTATCCGTATTTAAGTACCAACCCCACTAGTCTTGGATTTCTAAGACAGGCGTTTTAATCGGCTCTAAATGAATAAATGGATGTGTGTTTTTGTTTTTGTTTTTGTTTTACTTATCTAATCAAACAGTCACTAAATCTAAAACTAGCTTGTGAAAATTAAATGACAAAAATACCTCTTGCCAATAAGGCACTCATTATGTGCTTTTGGACTAGCTCTATTGTAGTTCTTCTGCTGGTAATTGGCGGTATTGTGCTGCTGGAGTTTAGGGCATGTCAAAAAGACTTTTCCGAGCCAAGTACTGATGATAAATCGTCCTCAGATGCTTCGCATAGAGATATAAGACTATCTGTGGCTCAGCAACGCTTTCGCCATAACCGAATTGGATCCTCGCCACTCTTCAATGCCCGATGTCCGCCCGCCAATCCCAAAGTTATTGGGCCTACATATCGCACCAGAGCTAAGAACTACAATGATTATCTGGACTATAAAAAGCTCCATCTTGACTGCACTCGGAATAACCCAACTTAAACCTGATTTTCACTTATCACTAATCCGAAAACTAAAAAGAAATTCAATGGCAACCATAGTAGAATAAGGATTGATTTTAGTTTGGGTTTTAGTTTTAGTAACAACTTATTAGTTGTTAATACGTTAGTAGTAAGTTACTGTTTAATTTATTGCATCTTATTGGGTTGGTATTGGGTTAATCTTTAGTGTTTGAATTAAACCGGTCGGGTTATGGCGTCGTGGAGATAAGCCAGGGACACTTCTTTACACCCAGGGCAGAGCGCAGTAGGAGTCGGCGGCGGAGCTTTTTGTGGAGGACCTCATAAACATGGTGGGGTTCTTTGGTCAGTCCAGCTAAGACAGCAACTCCACGGGCCATAATCATGTAGGAGCAGTTCTGCAACTCTTTGACCCGGTTGTACATCGATTGAGAAATAAAGGTTTCGCCGGCACTAGCAATACTACAAAGTCGGGCCGCTTCAATAACTGACTTACCGTAAAAATCAAGTCGTTTTGTAACCGGATCATTTTCAATGATACAAGCACCTTTACTCATGCCAACCCGAATTTGCAGGCCGCGATAGATAGGCTTCCTTTTGGCATATATAAGAGGATTGTTTTCAATCGCGATTTCCAGCCAGTTCTTAGTTAGTAGGGCCAGATGTATTTCTGAGCCAAATTCCATAGCACATTGTTCATCGTAAAAGATCATCATAAAGGCATCGCCTTCTGTTTTGACTTCGTATCCATCATACTTGTGCATGAGCTCGCGAATAGTTATGTTGTGGGCTTTTGATACCTCACGCATTCTTATTGGGTCCATCGACCATAGTTTGGTGCTGTTGGCAATATCAGTAAATACCACAACCGGAACTTTCATAAGCTGCGAAGAGAGATTGTACATGGTCAGACTTTCCAGAATCTTAGGAGCCGAGGACTCTGCGTCCTTTTTGAACATTAGAGACTCACTCTTATGCGTGATAGGAATAAGCACACAGGTGGAATTCTTTAACTCATGGGTCAGCAGGAAGGATTTAGCTTCAGTTAAAGAGCTGTTTCTCCGATAGGCCGCAATAAAGTCATTGATTGAAATAGCTTGTAAAATAGACCGATGCATCAGCACAATACACTGATCAGTCCTTTTCTTAGTACCCCAGGCCATTTCAAAGTGTTTGCCCGACTTTAAGTAGACGCCTCGCTCGTTTTGCACAAGGATTATCTCTAGGGACTCAATGCCCATGATTGAAATAAGCGTATCAGTCATTACTACAGCGGCCAGCAGCTCAACCTTATCAGGAAAGACTTCGTGGCGAATATCTCGGAAGAATTGGATCATCTTCTGCTTATAATGCTTCCAGCGAGTATGGATAGTCTCTTCAGTTTCACTGCAGAGCAGTCTTTCTATCTTTAAGATTGCACTTTGCACAGTGCTTTTGATTATCGGGCTTTTTGAAGAGAAATAGATGCACAACTTAGCATTAATCGGCGTCCCGGGATAGTTCGGATAGAGAACTGCCTGAAATTCCTTTTGAATGCAGCGAGCTCTTTCACTAGACCTAATTTCTGCCTTCTCTTTCTTATCACGGTGTTTCTCTTTGGGAATTTTCACCCGACAGTACCGGCAAATACTCTTCTCCCCCACCATGCCCCGCAGGTGCATAAATGAACTCTTCTCATCGCGCTTAATAATCTTGGTTCCTTCTTTCAGCATTCTTTCCTTCTCCTTGCTTGAAATGGATAAGTACTTGTTCCCAGTTATATCCAAGGTTCGGTGCTTAACTTCTGACCCCGGCCGGATCTCGCCAGAAGCCGAGACAGAAGGACCATTCAAGGGGTACATGTCGGGAATAAACCGGAACAAGTTGTAGGATAAAGACAAATAGCGCAAACCACTCAAAGACTCCAGCCCAACTAAACTCTCCAGCATATTAAAGCCAGCAATAAAGCAGACCAGTTCACTCAATCGGTTGAGATTCAAGACTTCCTTAATTTGGTTTCCAGATACATTCAAGTGCCGCAACGTCGGCTGTCGTACCGCCGGGTCCACCCGAACAATCTGGTTATAAGATAAGTTTAAGTAGGTCAAAGGCAGCTCCCATACCCGACTAGGAATTAAGTTTAAGCAGTTATAAGGCAAAGAAATAGAGGTCAGTCCATAAAAGTCCGCCGGGTACCTCTTCTGCTCCACAAAAGGAAAGTCAGTTAAAGAGTTATGGGAGCACAATACTGTTTTTAAATTAGGTGCAAAGATAGATACTTCCACTAGACTATTGTTAATTAACTGTAAGTGTTCTAAGCACATAAACTTACCAACAAACCGTTTTAACTCCACATCAGCAATGCTTAAGCGCTTCAGCCCAGCCAAGCTCCCATGAATGCGTTTAGTCGCCACAATCTCGCGCAAGTACAAAGTCTCCGTATGTGCCCGAAAGTATTTCAAAGGATTGCCCAACAGGTTTATCTCCTGGTATGCATACTTACTATTGAACTCAAGTAAATGATTATTCCGTAAGTTAAGCACCGGAATCAACAAAGGCTCCTCAATAACCGAAATACAGTTATTAGAGGCATCTAACGAAGAAAGGTTCAGCTGGTTTAGCATTGCCGGTAGAACTTCAATGCGGTTATTAGAGATGTTCAAGTGCTTAATATTAGCACTCTTAAACACGACAGCAGGAATGGCAGTCAAACCCATACCGGACATATTCAAGGAAACCCACCGCGGATTCATTAACTCCTCCATCTCTCCTCCCTTACCCCTCCTAGACCCAGCCGGGGCTAGTATTCGCTTTCTTACTAATCCCAACCACTTCAGCACCCAGTAAATACCCAGCCCGATTAAAGCCAAGTCCTGGCCCAATGACCAGAGCACATTCCAAATCAAGCCAGCCGCCACTGTACGTCGTTCAGTTACATCATCAGGAGGAAAATAAGATAGCACGCCATCACTATCTATGTGGTCCGGTAAGCCGCGCACTACCCGTTTAACCACCCGCAATTCAAACCCCGAATTGCGCAATAGTTTCTGTTGCGGCACAATCCGTCCTTCAATTATGTTCAGAAGTGACTGGTTTAACTTCCATTGAATTACCTCTAGCATCGGCCGGGCATCCAAAGGCAGCAATCTACTACCATTTATAGTATCTAAAAGCAGTGATAAGTTCTCCTTCTTCACTCCCACTACATCACTCACCACGGCGTCCAAAATATCCTCAACTGTCGTCTGATAAGACACCCACAGAGTAGCTAGCCGGCCCAGAATCTCCACTCGCAGCAGCCTCCTCCGCACCGGCACCAGCCCATTCACAAAGTCTTTTTCCAGCACCAAGTCCGCCAGTCCAATAGAAGGATGGTGCACCGTATTAATACGCTGTCTTGAAAACCGCATCAACACCATAGCCATGTCCTTCCCTCCTTCCTCCCCCTTCCAGAGCACCGGCAACAGATTCGTCCCCACTCTATCCTCAGCGATATCCTTTACACTCACTTCATTCTCAGCCATCCCCGTCCTTTCTCGATCCAGGCAATCTTTAGCCATACACTCTCGCGCCAACTCCTGCACTAAATCTTCTTCCTGCTTAACACTACCACCACTACTAAAACCGTCCAAAACTTCTAAACTCTCCAAACCAACACTAATTTCACCATCTATACTATCTAAATTATCACCCAAACCACTTATACCATCTAAATCATCACCAAAATCATCTAAACCATCTCCGGCAGCAAATGACACGGCAACTCGAGGCACACGTGCTACCCCATCATCTATTACGTCAGCGGCCCCAGATAAGACTACCCGCATAGTAAAAAAAGTCTTCCCCTATTTATTCTCCTACTCTATTCCCTTCTTCTGCTTATAATCCATAATAGCAGCCTTAATCGCATCTTCAGCCAGCAAAGAACAGTGCAGTTTAACGGGCGGCAAAGACAGCTCTCGAGCAATTTGCACGTTCTTAATACGCAAAGCTTCATCTAATGTCTTCCCTTTAATCATCTCACTAGCTAAACTACTAGAGGCAATTGCCGACCCACATCCAAATGTCTTGATTTTAACGTCCTCAATTCGATCCCCGTCCACTTTGATCTGCAACCGCATAACATCCCCACAAGCCGGTGCTCCCACCAGACCCGTACCTACATTAGACACTGTTTTGGCAAAAGTACCCACATTCCTAGGGTTTGCATAATGTTCCAATACTTTGGCATGATAAGCCCTAGCTATCTCTAACAGTCCCCCACTAAACATGCTCTTCCCCTTTTTATTTATTTTAAGTTTGACCCGTTGATGCCGAATTGTGCCCCAAACGTAGACCGTATTATTGAACAGTTGCTGAAAGTTCGAAATGCCAAATCCACAACTCCTCGGGTTAATTTAACAGAGGCTGAAATTAAGTACCTATGCAACCGAGGACGAGAGGTATTTATGTCGCAGCCAATGCTTTTGGAGATGGAAGCACCAATCAAGATTTGTGGGGATATTCATGGCCAGTATCGCGATCTATTGCGTATCTTTGAATGTGGAGGTTTACCTCCCCAAAGTAATTACTTATTCTTAGGAGACTATGTAGATAGGGGCAAGCAGAGCTTAGAAACGATCTGTTTACTGCTGGCTTATAAGATTAAGTATCCTGACAACTTCTTTATTCTGCGGGGTAACCATGAGTGTGCTAGTATTAATCGGATCTATGGGTTTTATGAGGAGTGCAAGGATAGGTATACTTACAAGATTTGGAAGCGATTTACAGAGACGTTTAATTGTATGCCGGTGGCTGCTTTAGTGGACGGGAAGATCTTCTGTATGCACGGAGGTTTATCTCCGGACTTGCAGTCTTTTAATCAGATTAGAGCGATTCATCGACCGACTGATGTGCCGGATAGTGGTTTACTATGTGATTTATTATGGAGTGATCCGGATGGCGGGGTGGCTAAATGGGGAGAGAATGATCGCGGGATTAGTTTTACGTTTGGGGCGCGGGTAGTGGAGGAGTTCTTGCGGAAGCACGATTTAGACTTAATCTGTCGGGCGCATCAGGTGGTTGAGGATGGGTACGAGTTCTTTGCTGGGAAGCGACTAGTAACGATCTTTTCAGCTCCTAACTACTGTGGCGAGTTTGCTAATTCCGGGGCGATTATGGAGGTGGACAAAGACCTAGTGTGCAGTTTTAGAGTGCTTAAACCCCTGGACGGGTCTGTTTAATAGACATAAGTAAATGCTAGGTTAGTGTTAAGTTTAGTTTAAGTTAAGTTTGAATTGAGTTAGTATTGGGTTGGGTTAAGTTAAGTTGTGTTGAGTTAAGTTAAGTTAAGTTACGGTAAGTTAAGTTAGTTGGTTATTCTGTTAATTAAGTATTGTGAGAATGCCATGTGGTGTGCTGATCTTAGTATTTAATGAATGTTGACATAAACTATCTTAAACTACCCTAAACTACCTTAAACTATCTCAGGTTAAGCGAATAATAGATTAGCATTCGGCTTAAGAGTGATTGGCGGAGGTTTAGGGTCTGGGTGCTTGGGTGCTCAAAGGCTGCATTGGGCTTGGGGCCGTGAATTAAGAACAATAAAGCAAATGCCTTGCGGTGGATAAGTTCTTCTATAAGTAGTGTTAAGTTGGTATTGAGTTGGTTTGGCGGTTAAGATCAAAGAAGAGATGTAAACTAAGTAGTGTTGTTTATTAAGACTTTTTGAAGGGCGCGAGTTGTTTGAGGAGGGACTCTTTCCTTTGGATTTTAGAGATTCCGCCTGGGACTACTTGGCCTTTGGCCATGCGAGCTTCTATGTCTTTGATTTCGTCCAGTTCTTGTGTAAGTTGGGCTATCTTTGCTTCCCGGAGCTTCTCTTTGTTCTTAATGATGTACGCCGGCACCCACTCGCAAGTTGGCTCTTGGTCGGCAGTGCGTAGGGAAGGTGGAACATAGGCAACCTTCTTTTCAATCTTGATCTTCTCTGGAGGAGATTGAATCGTTTGGAACGGCTTGTCTCGGCCTAAAATACGGCAGTCCTTGAGCTCTTGGAAGTCTCTTTCGGCTATTTGGCGAGAGTAGTAGTCAAAGAGGATAGCTTTGTTATCAACTGCCATTCGATTGGTGACCGCTACTAGATAGAAGCGGCCAGAAGGAGACCATTCAATGATTGAGCACCCAACGACTTCATTAGCTGAAATAAAGGCACCAGTGGCAGTTTCAATGATTTCTATGTTTCCGGGAAGGTTGTTCATTCCGGCTAAACACACGATGTTCTCTTGTCGATTAAAGAACAACTTGTTTCTGATCCCTTTTTTGAACTCTTTGATCTTATCAGCCTGGCTGTTAAAAACAGTTAGGTGGCTTGGACTGTTCTTGTAGCAGACGGCAAAGGTTCCTTTCTTTAAAAAGGCTGTATCCATAATAGGTCCTTCAATTGGCACTACCTTATAAACCTCTTTAGCCGGATAAATGTAGTAAAGAACCTTAGTGTCGTAGTAGGTAGTGGATTTGCCCTGCAGCGTACAAGTACAAAGAGCCCGGCCGTTGGGGTACTTGGTATCAACGGCGAAATTGGCCGTTAGGAAGTTACGCACAGTTATTTTCTTGATACTCTGGGAGGTAACCAGGGAAATCACTTCTATTTCACCAGAGTCGGCTCCTACAGCCCAAGCAGCCAGCAAGTAGTCCTTGGCCACGGCAAAAGATAATGGCGCCATGATACCAGTGCTTACTTTGCTTAAATCTGATAGCTTAAGGGCCTTTAAAGCCTTTGGCACTGACTTCTTAATCGGCACCGAAATACCTTCCTTCTTCTGAATTCTAACCCGCTGTGGTGCGTTGGTCGGGTTCTGTGCTTGGTTAGCCGGCGCACTGGTGGAATTTGTGGCAGCTTTGGCTTCTGAAGGAGGAGAATTACTGGTAGCTTTGGTGGTACTCGTAGTGGCAGTGTTGGTAGTAGGCGTACTAGCCTTGGGTAAGGCTGTGTCACTGGGGCACTCTTGCGTATAGACCAGATAGTGGCAGGACAAGTCGCAGTCCCAGACTTTGCTTTCCTGAAAAAGGACCTTCTGCTGGTTAGTTAAGTAGATCTGCTGGTTCTTAGTTAGCACGGCTATGTGGAGAGTGTTTGGCGAGATCAAAATCTTCTTGGCGTTGGCTATAGGTAGAGTGGTGCTCTGGGTAGTCTCAGAGTTATAGACTGTTACACTTGCTTCTGTGCTATACACCACAATCTCCTTATGCGAAACACAAAGCTGGCACGGGACTGGCTGGCACTCGTCATTGAAGGTGTCTAAGAGAAGGCCTTTGTCAGTTAGAGAGAGAACTTTGCATGTTGGGCGGTCCATGGGCAAAAATAATAAAGGGTATTAGTATGCGTTGAGTTAAGTTGGGGTGGGGTGGGGTGTGATTGGGTTGAGTTAAGTTGGGGTGTGATTGGGTTAAGTTGAGGGCTGTTTATGGTATAATAGGTTTGTTGCACCATCCGTCCTAACCTAATACTAGCTTAATATGGAAGTAAATTGCTAAGCGACTGATTTATTAGTAGCTGCGGCCGAAGAGACCAATGCAGGTGCTAGGCTCTTGACATACCGCACAGGGCTCGGTAGGCACGGTCGTGGTAAAGGGAATGCATAGAGATTTGGCTCCCATGGCTGTGACTGTTCCTTGGTCGTCAGTTTCGGTAGTCTGGAGTTTAAGAGTGGCTTCACACTCTACGGCTCCACACCAGGGCATAGTTGCCATTTGCTTCTTTTGAAGAGCAGCTCGGAGATCATCAAGGTTGTTGGCCTGGGTAGTAGCTAAGTCCTTTTTGGTCTTGGCGTTGTAGTACATCGTAGCTTGGATGGCATTGAGCTCGGTAGTAACGGCAGTAGGAAGACCTTCAAGAGGAAGAGTCTTTTTGGTCTTGTCGACTCGCCAGGCAACAACAACTTCTTGTTTCTTAAGGTCTTTTGGTCCCACCTCAATGCGCAGAGGAACTCCCCGGACTTCCCAGTGATTAAACTTATGGCCCGGACTTGTACTGGCTAGATCGACCTTAGTTCGAATACCAATAGCAATTAAGCTCTGTCGAATTGTTTCCACAGTAGTTAGAACGGCCTCTTTGTCCTCCTCAGACGTGCTCTTGGCCAGACCACAGGGAATGACCACTACTTGTATGGGAGCTACCTTAGGAGGTAGAACGACTCCACGATTATCCGAGTGCACTAAGATAGCTACACCAATACTACGCGTACTCAACCCCCATGAATTCTGAAAGACCGGCATAGATACACCGGGATTCTTCGGGTCCTCCACCATTACCCGGAACATTTCTGAGAAATTCGTGCCTAAAGAGTGCGAAGTCGCTGCCTGAATTCCTCGGCCGGTCATTGGCACAAAAGCCTCAATTGTAGTGGTGTAATCCGCGCCGGCAAAGGTTTCCTTCTTGCTCTTTCGTCCTCTGGTTACTGGCACTGCCAGCAGATCTTCGTAGATCCGAGCGTAGAACTCTAGAATTTGAAGGACTTCCTTGTCAGCCTCATCCCGCGTAAAGTGGGCGGTGTGCCCTTCTTGCCATAAGAACTCTCGTCCCCGTACAAACGGCATAGTCTGGGTGGTTTCCCATCGCAGGACGTTACACCACTGATTGACCTTCAATGGCAAGTCGCGGTAGCTCTGAATCCACTTGGCAAAGTATGGATACATAATCGCTTCTGAAGTTGGACGAATGGCCACCGGGTTTTCTAAGACCCGACCGCCACACTCAGTAATCCAGGCTACTTCCGGGGCAAAGTCAGCCAAGTGATCCTTTTCTCTTTCTAGAGCGCTTTTTGATACAAGCATTGGAAAGTACGCCTCTTGCACTTCTAAGCTAGTGATCATCTTGGTGAACTCTTCCTTGATCGTGTTCCAGATAAAGAAGCCATTTGGCCGTAGAACATAACATCCGTTAATGTCATGGTAATCTAAAATTTCGGCTTTCGTAATACACTCTTTGTACCATCTAGGAAAGTCTTCCTCCTGGGTAGCATCAATGGCAAACTTTTGGGTTTTCGACATGGGCTAACTAGGCTTCCATTTACTTATGTCCTTCTTTAAATTTATGCGGGAAGAGAGTCATGGCTTAATCTTTAGTGAATCTGAGGTTATTTTAGATCGCGAGAAACAAGAAGCTCGTATTATTATTACCAACACGTCTAGTGTGGATTATGGCTTTAAAATCAAAGCCACCCATCCAGAGAGTTACAGTGTGCGGCCAAGTACTGGTGTTCTAGAGAAAGGGAAAGAAGTTGAAGTGCTTATTCGGATTCTAGCCGGAGAGGAGCAGATTACTCAGCACAAGTTCTTAATGCAATTCGTAGCGGGACACCGCGGGCTGCTTGAAGAGAACTTGCCGCAACTGTTTGGTCTGCCTGGTATTGAGAAGGTTGAGCGAAGATTTGCAGTGCGCTACCACCAAGAGAGTAAGAAAGAAGAAGTGCATGTGGAAAAGGAAGAGAATATTCTTTTGGTTCTTGCCAGTGTCTTTATTATGTACTATCTTGCCATGCTTTTAAAGAAGATGATCTTTGGAGGTTAAAGATCGGTGCTCGACGCAATGCTTTGTGGTCAGTAGGTCAAATTAAGTAAAAGTACGTATTGGGTTAGTATTTAGTTGTGTTGTGCTGTGTTAGGATAGGATAGGATTATGCCTTATTATATTGTGATGCGTACTGATTGGACTTTGGAATATATTGGGGTTAAATTATGCCATCATAGGAACTGGCAAATCAAAGGCCGAACAAAAGTCAAATGGGATTTTAAGGGGTGAGATGGAGAATCGTATGAATGAGAGCGATAATTCTGAAAAGATCTTTGGTCTGTCAATTGAGCAGTATGCGGCTGGATCTGTGGATGCTCCTGCGACCAATCTACCAAATCACAACCCTATTCCCAATCCCAACTCTGAACGACTTATTGAAGAAGTCTCGCAATCCATTGCTAAAATAGAACAGGACCAGGTTAGTATTGCCCAATCAATTGAAAGTCTTCTGCAAGACCTAGGAGAACGTCTTGGCAAGCATGGAATCAAACTTAACCGGTGCACCCGCCTGGATATTACGGCCCTAGACATAAAGCCAGATCTTGACCGTCTGCGCCAACTGCATGCGGCCAAAGAGAAGAATGCACGTTCTATTTTGCGGCTGCAAGCTGAAACTACCCGACAACACCTCACTGAGTTCTTGAAGCGAGCTGAACTGGCCGCGCACAAACTCCTAGCTTGGCAAGCCGCTGTGGCGACCGAAGCTACCGCCTTGGAGAAAGATCTTTTGGCCCGCAGCAGTATTTATGAAATCCGAGCAGCCGACCATCTTCTGACCAAACAGCAATCTTTCTTAGCAGCTCTGCCCCAAGTGGACAAGATCCTTTCTCTAACCGAACATCTAGTTCTTAATCAATCTCATATTTATCCTAAACAGGACCAAGAAGAACTCGCATACTCTGAAACACTTATCAGACACTCATCCGAGCTAGAAAGAACAACTGAGCATCTATTGGGTCTTTTGAAATAAACGATTTAATTGCCATCTTTGATTGGACCAATTTGACTATATTCGGAAATCATCTGATCTCAATTTTTTCAATGTTAGCTGATCTGAATAGGAACCGCAAAAATGACATAATTGATGCCATAGATAAGAGAGAGTATCTTGAGGCGACCTTTCTCTGTTTGATTGGGTTGATTGATATGGTCGCGGATGTATTGAACTACATGGTAATTCAGCCGGCCTTATATCTCTTCTATCCTCTTTTAGAACGTTTTGCCATCCTACAGTATTTCACACGAACAATTGATGTAATTGAGCATCCAGATGATGCAATGGAAGCCGTACTAACTAAGCCTCGTAATGTATGGTACGATTTCTACTGGTCTTTATCTGACATGCGATCAGACTGGCAGTTTCGCTTGGACGAGAACAGCAAAGGCAGAACAAAGGACCAGATTAACTCCGATCTCCGCCAGATTCAGATAAAAAGGAAGCAAGAACGAGATAATATGCTGAAAGGTAAGCTATCAGCAGCGCAACAATTTAAAGTCCTAATGGAAGAACCAGCGAAGACATTTGACAATCGAGATGATGCTGGAATGAGTTATGGTGATTATGTCTTAAAAGTTATAGATTGGATAGTTGAAAGGATTTCGCAAGTATTGGATAAGCTCACTATTGGCTTAGTGTCTAAAATAGGCAAAGTTGTCTCTTATCTGCTGGGGGCTTTATTTACCCTGGGTGTTTTAATAGTTCGGATTGTCTTCTATTTGATATTACGTCTGCTGGGCATTATTATTGGCCTGCTTCAGAAATTGCCAATTGTGGGCCGGCTCTTCCCACAACAGGTCGGTGCGAGAGAAAGATTGCAGGATGGATTCCGATCAATGTTGTACGACCAAATGCTAGCCTTGCAGCCCTGGCGCACGTCAAAGACTTATCCTGAGCTGCGCAGACGCCAGAAGATGACCAAGCTATCGGCTAAAAAAGTAGGCAGAGCTTACAAACATGCTATCTATGATGGATCTAGGTCATTGTTTGAATTCTACGTACATGTCTGGATTGAAGCGGCAGCCATTGCCACAGGTATGTTTATTAAACTAATTCATGTGGTTGTATCGCATGCTTTAGAGACGTTTTCGCGAATAGAGCTGTTATTAGCAGTAGTCGCCATTGGGACAATTGTACTGGTGCTGTGTTCGACGAGCTGGATGCCCAGCGGGGACCATTCCATAGGATCCTTCGATGCTAATAACTGGCTAATGGTCGATACCACCGCAAAATCCATAGCCGTTATTGGTGCTGGGCTAGTATCGCTTCTATCTCTTATAACTCTTGGCCGCACGGTCTTTAGACGCACTACAGAAACCACCAAAGGCGAGGATGCAACTAAGTTTGCTAATGCCGCGGTCAAGAAACACGAGAACTTCGTTCTAACCCTTGGCAAACTCCTAATCTTCCTCTGTGGCCTGCTAGCTCTCGGTCGGATTCTTAGTGTGGTGACTCTGGGACAGAAGGATGTAATGGAAACAGTTAGATTTGTTTTGTTCTGGATAATAGTGGCTGAGTTGATTAGAGATATGCGCAACCAATTTTCTGGCCTTGGCGTACGAGCTTCACGGCAAAGTCAATGGCTAATTGTCTTGGGTCTAGTGCTTGGCTCGCTGTTTGTAACCGATGTACGGATATTTTTAATCATGCAAGTTGCTGCTTGTACTTTAGCACTTGTTACTGTAATGATTCCTGATTTCCGCCGAAGTAAATCAGGGCCCCAGTCATTTAGACGTGGTAGATGGCCTTACTTCTACTTTTTAATCCGAATAGGACTAATAGTCGCTGTTGGTGTAATACTAGGATTCTCACTCTGGGAAGACTTCTTACGTGTGTTTGTTTATATCAACCGAGGAGTTAACTACCTTCTACATCTGCTTACCAAGCATGATGAGTTCTTCTCGCTCAGGCATTTACTTGGCAAGGCAGCCCCAGTGCCCGCCTAATGCACAACCCAATAAAGAGTTATATCAGGTGCACTGTCACGCTGTCATACAACTAACCGTCGATTATAAATCAGATCATATCTTAATTTAACAAAAAAGATAACTCAACCCAAACCCAACTTAAATTAACCCTATCTAATCGCGTTAAAACCCTAAACAAAACTAACTCAATATATATTTATGTCTTCTTCCAGGTTTCCAGCCGCATTTGCACAGAAATGCACATGGCCATCATTTCTTGGGTCAGTAGTTTAAAGGCATAGGGCATATGCACTGCACTAATGTCCGTACGCGTGCCGCACAGTTGGCAAGAGTAAATACCGCGCGTGCGATTACCAGCACAGAAGATTCCACAGCTATTGCAAATAAAGACTTCAAAACGATCACTGACATCACAAAGCCGTTCTTTTAAGAAAGAAGCAGCTCCATGCGAAATCATACAGTCCCTCTCCATTTCTCCAAATCGCAAACCTCCATCCCGACTTCGTCCTTCAACCGGCTGCCGCGTCAGAATTTGGACGGGACCATGGGCCCGGGCATGAATCTTATCTGCCACCATGTGCTTAAGCCGCTGGTAGTAGGTGGGACCTATAAAGATTTGCGTGCGCAGTTTACGGCCAGTTAAGCCGGAGTACATTACTTCAAACCCTCGCTTTTGGAAACCGTTCCTTTCCAGCTCAGCACCAATCGCCTCCACGCTCTGTCCTTCAAAAGGAGTTGCATTGCCTTCTATACCGGTCATTGCACTAACCTTACCCTGCAAACACTCAACTAAGTGCCCAATGGTCATTCGACTGGGAATAGCATGCGGATTAATGATAATGTCCGGTGTAATACCATCTGCTGTAAAGGGCATATCTTCTGGAGGTAAAACTATACCAATTGTTCCTTTCTGGCCGTGTCGCGAGGCAAACTTATCTCCCATTTGCGGGATACGGGCCGAACGCACTCTAATCCGAGCATATCTATATCCATCTTTAGTTGTTAAAATCACCCGATCTACCACTCCACTTTCAGTGCCTCGCATAACTGTACTTGCATCTCTTAGCCCTTCCGGCGTACTAACTACCTTCCCAATCAGAACATCCTCGCCCGTTACTCGGGTCCCCGGCAAAATCAGCCCATCCGAATCAAGCTTCTCATAATTAGCATTACGCATACGTTGCACAGTTCGTCGCTCAGGCTTAATAAAACACTCCTGCTCCTCCGGCTTAGCCCGGGTTTCCAGATCACTGTACGTACGATAGAAGAAACTCCGGAAAAGCCCACGATCAACTGCCCCGCGGTTCATGACCACACTGTCTTCTTGGTTGTACCCCGTGTAACAAGCAATAGCCACCATGGCATTCTGTCCCGAAGGTAATTCCCGGAAGCGTAAGAAGTCCATACTTTTAGTCGCTACTAAGGGCTTCTGTGGGTAGCAAAGAACATTACTAAGTGAATCCATCCGCATTAAGAAGTTGGTGGCATACACCCCCATAGCTTGTTTTCCCATAGCGCTTTGGTAAGTATTTCTTGGTGACTGGTTATGGTCCGGGAAAGGAACAACTGAAGCACAAACACCTAGCATCATGGCCGGATGGATCTCACAATGCGTATAGGTTATTTCACCGGCTTCCTTATGAATATCCTCTGGACGAACGGCAATCATTGCTGTTTCTTCTTCCTCAACGTCTAAATACTCCACGCACCCTTCCTGAATCAGTTGGGACCACGTATAATCAGTGCTGCCATACTTATCTAAGAACCGCTCAATCACTAGTCCGCCATTTTCAACAATAAAGAGCGGGCGAGCGGCTCGGCCTCCATCTGTGTTGATTCTAATTTCGCGCTCTTGTAAATCTCTAACAATTCCTATCTCTTTTGATATCTCTCCCGTTCTCCGCAAGGTTTTCAAAGTCTTGATCAGAACAGCCGGGGCCCGATGAACGCCTACCCAGGAACCATTAACAAAGACTTTGGTGGCCCCGGCAATAGCCGAAGGACTGACTTCCTCAAGACCTTCCAGACCACACTCTTCCAGTAACTCAACTACCGCTCCAGAACTAACTCCTACGGAAATGTGCGACATTAAGGCTAAGTTCTTAACCAGACCACAAGCCTGGCCTTCCGGTGTCTCGGCTGGACAAACCATCCCCCAATGACTTGAATGCAACTGGCGCGGCTTAGCTAACTTACCATCCCGACCAATTGGTGTATTAACCCGACGCAAATGAGAAAGAGTAGAGATATAGTTGTACCGACTAAGTACTTGGGCTACTCCAGCTCGGGCCTGCATACTTTTAGACTGCTCACCCCAATTTCCTGTAGCTAAAGAGTACCGCAAGCCCTGAGTTAGAGTGGAAGTTCTTAGGCCAATAACCAGGTTTAAGTCGCGATTGCCATCAATGCATCGCTGCATGTGCTTGGCCAGTTCGTTGCACATCTTCTTGAACAGAGTCCGGAAAAGACCAGCAATCAAAGGCCCGGCTAAGTCTAAGCGTTTCCGGCCGTAATGATCACGATCTTCCTGCTCACGACGGCCCATAGCCACCATCAGTAACTTATTAATAGCATACCCAAAAAGATAAGCCTTCTTCGTCTCACAGAACTCCTTAGTACCTACGTGTGGCAAGAACTCTTTCTGGAAGAGAGTCTTGGCAAACTTAATTCGCTTCTCCTTAGAAAACCCAGCCGGTGCAACTCGTTTCCCAATATAGTCCAAGGCTACACCCTGGTCCTGAATAACAAAAGCTTCTTCAATACTCGGTCTAAGCATAGCCAGCATTTCCTTATCATGAAAATCATAACAAATATGCTCAATAATCTCCTTATCAGAAATAAACCCTAAAGCTCTAAATATAACAACCACCGGAATATCTTGTTTAGCATGCGGCAGAAGAGCCCTTAATAAATGGCCTGAACCCCCAGTACTATCTAAAGTCCTTGAAACTAGCCGAATTGCTAAGGGCGAAGCCATCCTATGGCCATGTTCCGGTACTGATCTTATCTCAGCCGTATAAAGATAAGGCGAAGGCGGTGATTTCTTAAAGATATAAACTAAATTAGAGGCCATCCGTTCATGAGCAATCAAGACCTTTTCCGAACCATTAATAATAAAATACCCGCCTTGATCATAAGGACACTCTTCCATCCGGTTAATATCTCTTTCATCAACATTATGGTAGACACAGTAGAGTGATTTTAACATGACAGGAATAGTGCCAATTGGAACACGCTTATACACTCTTACTTCCGGTTCTTCATCGCCTACTTGCTCGGTCTTGGTAATGTCTATGTAAAGGGAAGAGGCATAAGTTAGACTCCTAATCCTTGCGTCATTAGGAAACATAGAAGAAGTTGTACCATCTGCCTCGGTCATTGTTGGGGGTTTACTCAAGTATATTTGGTTGAACTTGATGGTGTACTTCTTAGCTAACGATTCATCGCCACTAGGATTGTGTGCTAATAAAACAATAGTTGAATTCTCATCTACAATCTCCTGCATGGTACTTTGTACAAACTCATTGAATGAATCTAGTTGCTGCCTAACTAAACCCTTTTCTTTAAAGAACGCCCTAACGATTTGCCAACATACGGCTTGGGTTAACCCGGTCATAGCTAAAAAATTATAAAGGCTTATATGGGGGATAAGACGCTTTTTGAGATCTTTCGGACCCCGGCGAGTCCTTTCTCTGTTAGTCAGCTTAAAAATGCATATTATGGCTTAATTAGACGAGTGCATCCTGATAGTCAAATGACAGACCTTCCCAAAAAGGAAAAAGAGGTCTTATCTAGTTTTATCAGTACGGCCTACCAAAAGCTAAAGAATGATTATAGTCGGAGTATTTATGAGTACTCGTTGGCCCATGGGACTAATTTAGTTAAGCGGGACTTTCATAATGTTGGGGATGTGTTTGGACTGAGTAAGGACCTGACTGTGCTTGATTCGATTAAGGATAGACTTGGGTGTGATAAGAAGTTGGTGAGTTTAGAGTTCTTGGACCGGATTCTTTATATGGAAGACCGAATTGCTAATTGCTCCCTTGAGGAACTACCACAAATTCAGCAGGAGATTGAAGCGGCTATCAAGCAGTGCCAAGAGAACAAAACGTCGTTGCAAAGTCTGGTGCACTGGCGATATTACCAAAAGCTCCAAGAAAGCATTGCGGCTCGTACTCTCTTGGAATAACCCAATAGGTTAGTATCTGTGTTCTGTTAAGTGTTCAGTTAAGTATGATTTGGTGCTAGTATAACATGGTCTTAGATAGCGGCCCTACCCTTATAACGACTAATAAACTAGATTAAATTGAGCTAATTTAAGCTGCCGTTTACCTTACTATGTATAACAACTCGTATTCACTTATGTTTATCCAACTCATCTTTATATAACTTATCATTATATTTAACTGATCATAACATAACCTACCAGAAGTAAAGTAAAGTAAAGTAAAGTAAAGTGAGTTTTAATTAAATTATAAACCAAACCCTTCCGAAATATTTCACGAACAGATTGTTTTTATTTTAAGTTTATTTAAGTTTGAATTTGTATATTTAAGTATATCTCTAGTTCGATAGCCAAACAAGTAAATAGTTTAAGTATTTTAATGTACTGTCAATTAGACCCAATTTAGTCCACAACTTGACAGTGTAACTTTGTTTAATTGCATGCAACTAACCAACTCAAACCAACACAACTAACTCAACCAAGTCAATTCAAACACAACCCAACCCAACCTAAACTCAACCCAACTCAACTCAACACAATACCAACTCAACTAAATTCAATTGACTTGAGCTGAACTTTCCAGGATTAAACCACGAGTAAGCACTGTGGCGCAATGGCAGCGCGCTGGGCTCATAACCCAGAGGTTGTAAGTTCGAGCCTTACCGGTGCTACTCCTTTTTTCTTTGTGTTTGTTTTTAGCCCCATGCATATTCTGGTTTCGCTTCCCCTTGATACGCCGGTTGAGGCCGATATTTTACTGGCAAATGTTCGACAAGGTTTAGGGTCCGTTGGTAAGAATTGTGAACTGTTGCCTTTGTTCACTATCGAAGGTGAATCAATTGATTGTCTGTTTGAATGTGAGGAACGGGTAAGCCTTTTGGAAGAGTTAATTCAGGACTGCATTAAGCGCTACTTGGTAACGGGTGCTTCTTTATCAAAAGAGCCTGTTTCGGGTTTAAGTTTACTAGGCAAGACTTTTGACCACTTCTTAAAGTCTTTCCAATGGGACCGTACGGCTTATCCTTTGAGTTTGAAGATGTCCGACTTACTGTTGTTGCTGGAACAGGAGGCAAAAACAGCCGTTGACCTTTTTAGAGAGAAAGATAAGCAGTATACAGAACAGAAGAAGAAGATGGCGGCAGTAAACCGAGTTAGTATTTCTATTTACGATGTGGATATCAACAAGGTAGCTTATGACCAGGAGAAGGAGGAGCAGGCCTCGTCTTCTTTCTTTGACAAGTACTATGTGTGTGTGCGCGATAAGTTTAGGGAGAAGGATGCAGTGGCCTTAGAGAAAGTTGAGGGACTCTTTATCGAGTCGCGACAATTGGTGGCCAAATGTACTGATGGAGAAGTCTATGAAGTATTAGGACAACATACAGCACCTGAGCAGGTGTACAAAGCGATAGAAACGGCTGGGTACTATACAAAGCGGCCGAGTTTAACTCGAGAAGAGTATTTAGCTCAGGTAGCGCAAGAGAAGGATGTAGAGGCCGACTTTTTAAGGGTGGAGGACTCTGTTAGGGCAATGGTGCGTGGTAAGACGCCACGACTCTTTTTGTTATTGGTTCATGTGAAAGTTCTAGCTTTGTATATCGAGTCATTGCTAAGGTTTGGGTTTCCGGGCACGTTTGGGTTCTTTATTGTGGAGGCACCGGCTGTGCAGAAAGTGCTATCTAAATGGAAGCGGGTAGGGAAGGCTTGGAAGTACTCTAAGCGGGTGCAATCAGCGGAAAGTGCCCATTTAGTTGGTGAAAGTGAGCCAATCTATGATTTTGTTTACCGGGTGGTTGATATAAGTGACAAAGACCCAATAAGGGAGGAGAAGAATGAACCATAAGACCTGGCAGGTAATTGGGCAGTTAAAAAACAGTCCAATCGCTGAAAAGGGGCTCGACAATAAATAGAAACTGAAACGATGCTTCATGGATGAAACGCTCGTAGCAACAACGGTCATGGAAACGGCAGTGGCCAACACACGGTCTCGGGCTGAGGAGGAGGATGAACCTTCGTGTCGGATTTGTTATTGCGTGGAAAACCCCGTCGGGTGCTTAAAAGACCTAATAAGCCCGTGTGGGTGCAAGGGAACGGTTAAGTATGTTCATCGCTACTGTTTGCGCATTTGGCGGTTTAAGGGGAAGATGATTAAGGACATTAAGGTGTGTGAGCAGTGCTTTTGTGAGTACCAGGTTGATGATGAGAGGAAAACATCGGTGGGGCTGGTTTCTTTATCAACGGTTGCTGTTCTTCTTTCGATTGTTTTGGCCACAAACATATTTTTGGTTTCGACGGCTGATACGATAACGTTTATTGGGAATGATGTTAACCACCTTTTCTTTGGGCGAAAGATGGCGGAAGGGTCCTTTGGCAGTCGCCCTATTCTGTTGAGCCGAATGGAAGAGGTGCCGGCTAGGCGTAAGGGGGCTTCGTCAGGTTATCGCTTGATTAAGCTCAACCTAGGAAGGAAGAAGCGTTCCCATTTGGTTTGTGATAAGAAGGTAGGGTTGTATACACTGAAGAATGCTCATTTGCTTAATGTGCTTCAGAATGGCGTTTTTTCTTCGATAACGGCGGTGAGTTTACTTTATGCCTTGCTGGTAGAGAATACTTGGATGTTGCTTTTGAACTTGGGATTGGCGCTTTGGCGGATTTTGGCTTTTGGAACTCTGGCTGATTGGGTAGTGTATACGGGAGCCACCGCTTATGTTTACCTGCGCATCTATCGGAGGTTGTACGCCCATATAGATAGCTACTGTATGTATGTCGTTAACTTTTACTAACCCAATACAAACCATCTTGTTTTTGAAATTAATGTGTGCGCTGGATTGGTTAACTGAATAAAAGCAACTAGTATTGAGTTGGTGTTGGGGTGGTGTTGGATTGAGTTGGGTTGTGTTAGTGTTGAGTTAGTATTGCGGATGGTGCGCTAATCTATTTGGTAAGGTTGTTTTTGTCATATTGTTGAGTTTCCCTCTTGAAAGCTGGATTGTCCCATCGCTTTATTTGCTGTGCTTGGGTTAGTATTTGCTGGGCTACTTATCCGCTGTTATACTGGCTGTAAAAGTCCACCCCCCCTTCTGTCTACCGCTTTGATGTTATAGTTCGCCCGAATCAGATCAAATAAGAGCTTCCAACTTTTGGGGTTGGGTGATAAGAAGATAAAAAACACAGTCTCACGCGTCTTCATTTTGGCTGGAATGTCTTCTAGTAAGGGCAAAAAGATATGCAATGAAAGAGGCTTGTCGAGATTTGAGGCATAGTCGGCCCAGTCGATGGTAAGACTAGGAGCCTCTAGAATGCGTAGCAGCAACAACAGCAATTTGATTCTGGCGGATGTATAGTTCATAGATAGCCCTATAAGGTGTAGGGGCGTTGGGCTGGCAATCGCCTTCATAACCTGCAGGTCGTTGTACCATTGGTTGCAGTCTTCCTCGCTGCTGCACTTCAACAGTGAGATAGTTCTAAGAGCATTGCCGGGTATATAACATGGCGCCGTTGTGGGATCCAACTTAAGAATCCAGGACGATTGAGCGGCTGGATTGCTGCACTCTATCCAGGTGTGCTCATTGAGATTGTCTACCAGCAGCAGGTCCTTTAAGCGAGTAATTAGGCCGGAGTTGTCTGGAGCTAGAGCAGTAAAAGATACCTTTTTGTTCCCTTGCTTTTGGATTTTCACTCTCTTTGCTCGATTGGTCTTGCTACAGCCCGGGGTTACACCTAAGTTCGTTCCCGACCTGCTCGCGCTAGCTCGGTTTGACCAGATAAGAGCACAGTAGCACCACGCCCATAAATGCTTTGAACCTAAGCCGTACATGCAAATTTGCTATCTCAAACTCGCATTAAATCACAGTAACACACTAGCTTTTTATCAATTTGTTCCAAAATAAGATTGTTGGATTAAAACGTAGTCATGGCATAGAAAATAAATGTGCTGTTCACATGCGTATCTAACGCCATTTGAGTTTTGCCTTTAAGCCCGCTTGTTCATAACAGACTGTAGTGCCCAATACGAAGTCCATCTTAACTAATGCATACTCTATTAAAGACATTCCTTGAGATAAGTGGCGTCTTTTATTGAGTAAATAAGAATGCGAGTGTGAGGATGACGTCATATCGATTTGTAGCGTAGATATGCAAAACTAAATTGGTTAAAGCATCCTGGTTATATTAAAGTTACGTGTTAGTAGTAATATCAATTGATATCTATTGGTGAGTGGCTTACCATTAATCAGGTTGATCGTGTTGGTATTGTGTTGGTATTGCGTTAGTATTGGTAGTGGTCGTATGACAGCACTACACAGCCCCTGGGCAGGTAGCAGAATAAGTCATACTCATAGTGCTCCAGCTAGCCAGTAAATCTGCTCGTGGCAGAAACTTAGCAACAGCCAACTCTCTAAATTCTAAATCTAAATAGAACTAGTTAATGACAGAAATGTAAGATTTGGTGCTGCTCAAAAATCAAAACGATCGACCAGCCTGGCAAAATGCGCATGTAATCTATAAGAATGCATTTTGTATTATCTACCTAGTTAATGTATTTTAAACGATTGTGCTTATATATATCTTTGGGGCTTTGTGCCCTTGCCTTAACGGTTGTGGGGAGCAGTCTTGATAATAGTGATGGGACTCAAGAACAACTAGAATCCGCGAATATCATCCATGACTTTACCCTTACATCCTGCCTATATAATGAGGTGTTAGGTTCGACCTTCCAACCGACTGCCCAAGAAATGGGGCAGAAGCTAACCCGAGCCATTCGTGTGCGTATCCATGGCGGCAACTACTTTGTATCATTTAATGCCGAATGCGAAAATGCCGATGCACCAGCCCAGTCCAGTGACCAACTCAGTCAAATCAACCAGCCAGTCAATCATAAGAGCTCTGCCTTGGCTCTGGAGATCTTTCGGCCGGAGTACTGGCAATGCTCCTATAATCTCCAGCGGCTACTGAAGATTACCAAAATCGAAGTCTGTATCCTAAGGATTCGGTCCCCACGTCTATCTGTTTACAACCTAGAAGTCTTCTGGGCGGCCATAAAGCATCTTTTGGTCTGTACAACTGCCTATGTCATCTGGGTCGATCCGCTTGTCCAACCGAAAGAGGTTGTGGGCCTAGAATTACTCGAACTATCTCCAGCACAACAACTGTGCCTGCGTCTGAAAGCGTGGATTAATATACATCTTACGGGGTGCTCTGACTTTCTGTACGACATTGTCCTAAGAATCAACGGATTCGTGCCTTTTCTAACGCTGTCACTGATTAAGCCAAAAATGAGCCAGATGATTGACATAGAGCAGCTAAATCTGTTTCATGGATATACCATAGAATTAGTGGGTTGGACCATTATCAATGGCCAAATACCCAGGCTATCACATAGACGTTACTGCCGCAAATTAACGCTAATCAATTGCAATTGGGAAAGCAGCCCGATCCGGCCACCAACTAGCCAATTCGAGCGCAGTATATTCCAGACTCTTATTAAGCACATTAACATAGATCTCGAAATAGATCTTGTGCCGCTAATCGCACTCTGTGCTCAATTGAGCGGGTCAACTCCCCAAATTTGCATTAATCAGTTGATTATATGGGGCGTGCCGTCCGAGCTTGACAAACTGCGTACCATGATTCCTCATGTTAAGACCATTATGACTCGATTGCTAGTTAATTCGCTTCAACTTATTTGCGGCCCTGCTACAGCCCCAACCCAATCTCGACCAAGTCCCCAGATGTTTACGGATCCTTTGCCAGTCACTGAAGAAGATAATGTTGAGAAGCTAAAGCAGATTCTTCTAATACTACGCTTTATTATACCATTGGATATATATAATGTGAGCATGCGGACTAGGAACAACCGGCTTTGGGACCACGATAAGCTCTGGATAAGGCTACTCATTGGATCCGGATTGGTTTTCAATTCCATTATGTTTGCTAAGGACATAGACCTTATGTGGAGGAGAATAAGCAGCCCTTATGATTATAATTGGGAGGTGCAAATTACGAGCTCAAGCGAGCTGCGCGCCCTAAAGACTCTTTTGTTAGATCTACATAACCTTCATGCAAGCCACGCGAACCCTTTGCCCTGCATTCGACATATCAATATTTTCCTATCTAATGTCTCTTGTTCCGAGGTTATAAATGGCTTACAGCCCCTTAGGTTGCTACACAATGCCATAGACATTGATATGCTCATGCTCAATAGAATTTCAGACAAAAACGTCGGGCCATCTCCAAGCACACTCGCCATAGATGTTCCTGTGCAACAGGTTAATTTCCTGGATTGTTCATGTGCCGTAATTAACCAACTCTTTGACCACATCCGCTTGTTGCATACTTATTCCCGATTCAGCATTGGGTCGACTAACAAAGATTCCTCCTATATGAACTTGGTGGAAAGGTATATAAACAAGTGGGCCGCATTTAGCACCAACTTGTTTCGCCCTGCCCGGCCGCCTCTTTGTCTACAATTCGCTGATTATGTGCTACGAACTACTTATTTCCGCACACAACCATTCTGTCAACCCGATGACAACGCTCTTCCCATCTACCTGGCTGCTAACCAGCCCCTGCCGCTTGTTATTCACTATTCCTTTGCGGATTTACGCCTGCTGCTCACCCAGCTGGAAACTCCCTGCTCTTCGCAAACCCCACAATATATATCACGACAAAACGATTATCGGCGGCTAACTAGCCTAATATTGATCAAGAAACTAACTATTCAGCTTCATCCAGCAGACTATCTCACCCTCGCTAAAGACGGTCCGCGCCCCAGCGGCCTACACACAACCGCCCGGTTTGTTCAGAAACTGTCTGCCGTCAGGTGTTTGCTACTAGTCGATCCTACCAATGTTCGTCCTTATTCAGCCTTATCAACCGCACAAGATTCCATTATTCCACCTGATCCAAAAGAGTGTTGCTCCGAGCCGGGAAATGTTGGCCGGATCTTAAAATGGGTCGACTATCGCATCTGCGTCTATGCCATATTTTCGCTTGAAATTAAAGTATCCGTACTACACCTTGACCCAGTAATAGCGCACCAACCTGAGCGCAGAAAATATAGAACTATAGTGGGGAGAAATGATATCATCAAAGCCATTATGATTGCTTCTTATAACCCAAAATATATCTATACTGTTAATCCGCCCATTTCCTTCTACTTTGCCAATACTTCCATATGGGAAAATGATGACGTTGACCCAAATATAACAGTGGCTCCCCCGGCCTGTTTAACTCATCGCGAGATTTATTGGCACCCCGGATCTGATAACGTCCAGGTAAATGCTACAGCCCAGGACGTATATAAAACAACAGCGACCCGGTTTGGCTCTGCCAGGTGTAATACTAATATATCCTTAGGCGCGCCGGAACAAGAATTAGATTCATGTTGGCTGCTATTCAATGGATGCGTAGTTGTTTGTGGCCACTGCGCATCTCCCCCTTGTATCCCGAACTCCACCGCAGAAAGCACCGCCGAAAGCTCTCCTTCCGCGGTTGATAATTCGGACTTTTCACTTTCTAACGGGAATCTCTGCCCTGTCTTTATGGAACTCAACTCCTACCCCCTCATCTACGCCCTGGAAACCGTCCCCTTCACCAAACTAATCCTACAACTATACAGAAGTCTAACCCCAGTTGATCAACGAAGTATTCTACCACACTGCCACTCGATTCATCCCACTAACCCAACTTGATCGACTGACGTGAAATCAACTCAACCCATTCTCAGCAGATTATAACAATAAACCATCGGCCAAACAAACCACGTACAATACTAACCTTATTGTTGTTCATCACTAGCACCAAACCGTCCAAGCACTCTTTTATATTCCTAAAAACCCAAATCAACTCCAACATAACTTCAATTCTGAACACTACTAGTCTTTATTTTGGTTTAGTTTAGCTATGGTCTCATGTAGTCCATTCAACACCAATGCCTATGCCAAGACCCCTCAACACACCCTAACACAACAGAACACACCCTAACACAACCTAATTCTAGACTAAGACATCTGTGCATAATTCGTGGTCTTTGCACCGCTCACTTCGTAGGGCAACCTCGCGAATTGATGCCATTTCGCGATGGGCAGCTTCATTCATCTCCGCCAACAGCCGATCCTTCATCTCTTCCAAACAGGTGCCAGCAATCTCAATCGGATCTCTTGTCTTATGGTCCTCGACCTCTTCGTGCCGGCGATAACCAGTAAAAGCATCCGTCATTGAGTGTCCATTGTACCGATAAGTAGTATACTCCAGTAAAATCGGGCCATGGGCTAGCGCATACTCCCGAGCATACTTGAAAGCTCCAGCCACCTCCCGAATGTCAATCCCACTCGCCCGAATCCCCGGCATAAATGAGAACCGGTTGTAAAAGCTCGTGCTAGCACTAGCCCGGCAGACCGGAGTGCCCATTCCGTACTCATTGTTCTCACAAACAAACACCACCGGCAACTTCCACAGCGCCGCCATATTCATAGTTTCATAAACCTGCCCCTGATTAGCTGCTCCATCACCAAAGCACACCACACTAACATGCTTGCATTCATTTATCTCCCATGCCTTCATCGTCCAGCTCCCAACCGGACATAAATCGTCTTTAGTCAAACATTCCGGCTTCCCTAGCAAACTCCGATACTTCTCAGCAAAAGCCAAGCCTGCCCCCAAAGGCACCTGAGCCCCCACTATCCCATGCCCACCAAAGAACCGCTTCCCATACAAATGCATCGACCCTCCTTTCCCCCGTGCACATCCTTCTACACTTCCTAATTGTTCGCAGATAATCTCCTTTGGATCCATCCCCGCCACTAAAGCCAACCCATGGCAGCGATAGCTAGTAATCAGCTTATCCTCCGGATCTAAGTGCAAGGATATCCCCACCGGAATAGCTTCCTGCCCAATTCCTAAGTGACAAAACCCTCGCACTTTCTTCTCTTTATACAGCTCCGCTAAGACAGTTTCCAAATGACGAATCCGAAACATTTCTAAGCATGCACTCTCCCCAACTGTTCTATCAAGAACGTACTCTTCCGGCCCTGTTTTTAATCCATGCAGATCATATCCCATACAAACAAAAGCAATTAGACCTTTATTTACCTATTTATCCAAAGCACTATCTCTTAGGACAGGAGACCCACTACTTATAAGTCAAGGTCTGTGCTAAGAAAGAAAAGCCCCAACCAAAAGTCCGAGCTGTCATTGTGTCCCGCCAAGTTGGCAACCGAACACCTCCCTTCTGCTTGCCACGTTTCTCCTTCTGCTTTTCCTTCTTAGTCGCCCGATGACTTCCAGACCTAGATGCGAAAGTATAAACGATATCCAGAATCAGCCAAACACCTAAACTTACTAGAGCAACCAAGAGAGCCGAAGGCATAAAGGAGAAAAGAGCAAGACTCTTCTCCTTTCTTCGCCTATACTGGAACATAAACTCAGGCGGAGCATCATTAAGCACCCAGTCATAAGCCTCCTTAAGCTCTGGATCCGTTAGAATTTGGTATCCCGTGGAAATCAAAGTCCGAGCTAAGTTATAGTTAATCTCCTTTCCTAACGGACTTCCTCCACTCTTCTTCTGCAAATAACACTCCTTAAGTAAAGCCGTTTGCCGCTTCCGTAAAGTGTCTTTAGATACTCCATTACCAACACCAAACAAGTTATAGATCATATGGTACTTACCAGTGCTCTGCAACAGATCAATATATTCTGCTACCTTATCAATAGTTTTGTTATTTGGTACTGCTTGACCAAAACTCGCTAAACAACTCAAGATAACCACTAAACCACCTATCATTTGGGTTATAAACATAAAAAATTATCTACGCTCCCCTCTGCTTATATTCGCAATGACGTCATCATCAGCCAAAGTTCGTCTTATTGAAGACAAGATGACAAACTCAATCGAACTACAAATAACGGATGAAGACCATACCTTAGGCAATGCACTGACTGCTGAATTACAAGCCATACCCGGGGTAGTCTTTGCTGCGTACAAAATACCCCATCCACTTCAGAACATTCTTAAGCTCAAAGTTTCGCTGAGTGAAACAGCTGAAGACCGCCCATTAGAACTAGTTAAGCAAGCCCTAAGCAATCTAGTTGCCCAATGCGACTCCCTTGAGGCTTCTTTATCCCTTCACCAGCAAGCATGGAATTAGGTAGAGTTAAGTTGGTGATGTAGTGTTTAGTATTGGTGATGTAGTGTTTAGTATTGGTGAGGCAATGTTTAGTATTGGTGATGTAATGGTGTTGGCGAGGTGGAATTGGTCAAGTTAAGATTAGATTAGATTTAATTAAGTTGGAATAAAATTAAGACATACTTAGATTAGGTTAGATTAAGTTGAGTTCAGTTGGTTTGGTATTGAGTTAGTATTGGGTTGAGTTAATGTGTCACTAGCACATATATAGAATATGACACTACGCAACTACTTTGCTTGCCAGTAAATACCAATCCAAATACCATGCTAACTCTTCCAAATACCAAAGACCAACACAACCTAACATAACTTAACCAAACCATATCACATCACACCTCTCCTAACATAACCATATCACACTCTAACCAAACCTCTCCCAACATAACATAACATAACCAAACCACATCACACTCCAACCAAATCAAACCTCACTAAACCAAACCACATCAAACCAAATCACACCTCATCCAATCCAACACTCCAACCAAATCAAACACAACACAATGCAATACTAGATAGAATGTAGAGGTTATTTATTTTGAGTCTAGGACGGGAATGGCTCGGCCTTGGCGGATGTTGCCCGCACCAATAAGCCGCCAATGACCGCGCAGTTTGCGAGAGATACTAACACTAGCACCTACCTCAGCACAAATAGGGTTGGCCAGAATAAAGGAAATAGCTCCCTTCTCTTTAGCTATAGTCACTTGGGCCCGACTAGAGCAACTACCTACATTAACCAAGATTTGCTCTTTAACGGCCAAGGGCTTAGCCAATAAAGGTGATTCGGCCGTTAGTTTATCAAAAAACCGATAAGTAATAGTCATTTCCTTATAAACCTCCGGAAGAGTGCCCGGCCGACCTAAAACCTGGCCAACCAACTTATCACCCCGACAAAAGAAAGGATCTAATTCCGTACCAATCCCAACTAAACCCCCAGGCACAGCCACTTCCAACCGCGTACTCTCAGCAAACAAAGAAAGAACCTTAGTAGTCACCGGACGACAGGAAAGTCGACCATCTACCTTCTCTAAAATCCCCGGTCTAATCTCCAGCAAATCTCCAGCCGCAATATACCCTTTGGTCAAACACCCACCAATAACACCCCCTTGATAATTACTCGGCTTACAACCCGGCTTATTAATATCAAAAGATCTAATAACTTGCACAGTCGGCGGCGTAGTATAGTCCCGCACCGGCACCGGAATGTAATTGACAATAAAGTCTAAAATAGCATCTAAATTACAGCCAATTTGGGCCGAAGTCGGGATAATAGGCGAATTACGAGCCGAAGAGTCCCGAATGAACTCTTTAATCTGATCATGACTTTCTAAAGCTTGTTCTCTAGTCAACAAGTCTACTTTGTTCTGCAGAACAATAACCCGCTCTAATTCCACTACATCAATTGCATTTAAGTGCTCAATAGTTTGGGGTTGCGGACAAGGTTCATTAGCAGCCACAATAAGAATAGCTGCATCCATAACTGCGGCACCAGTTAGCATAGTATCCATAAGCACTTCGTGACCCGGACAATCAACAAAAGAGACATGACGAGTCAAAGTAATAGTACCCGTACAGTTCTTAGTCCGACAAGTCTTAGGAGGCTTTTGGTTACTAGCCGTAGATAGATAACATTCCGGCCGTTGACACAATCCACCTAAACATTGATAAATTTTCGCATTGGCATATCCAAGCTTGATTGTTATGTTTCGCTCCAATTCACTCTTAAATCGCACTGTTTTAACCCCACTAATAGCCCTTACTATAGTAGACTTCCCATGCGCCACATGACCAATCATTCCGATGTTTATTGTTGCTTGGTTTTGCATGATTGCCGGGTTGAGTGACGAAAGTTCGATTCCTTTGATAGTAGTTAGTTGCGGTGCTGACGTTGTTTCCATCGAAAATATTAAAAAGTTAGTCTCTTAAAGCCTCTCCTCTGGTAGAAGGAGTTGTAGGGCTGTTTTGAAGGAGAAGAGAGAGATATAGGTAGCGATTAAGAGGGGTTGGGATGGATTATGGTCTGTGGTGGCCGGGGAAGGGTTAGGATGAGGTATTGAGGAGGGATTAGCCGGTGGAACAAGTTGGCCCAGGACTAGAACTTCTCGTTTGATAAGAGAGGCTTTGTTGTACTTACGTTTTAGGGATACAGCTAGGTTAGTTAAGAGATGAGGGGGTAGTTCTTGTAGGGAGAGAAGACCTTCTCCGGAGATATCAGAGATAGCATAAGTAGTAGGAGAGATGCGGTGTTGGACTTGGACACGAAAGAGGCCCGTATTGAGTTGAGTTTGGTTAGTGTGGGGTTGAGTTAAGTTGGTGTTGTGTTGGGGTAGGTTGGGATTGAGTTGTGTTTGGTTAGTGTTATGTAAGAGTGGGTTAATGTTATGTAAGGGTAAGTTGGTATTGAGTTGAGTTGAGTTAGTATTGGTTGGAGTAGTTCGAATTGGTTGGTTTTGCTTTTGGCTTAGTTGTTGGTTGAGTATTTGGGAGGGCATGGGATTGGATAGTATTGAGTTAGTATTAGTGGATAGTATTGGGTTAGTATTAGTGGGTAGTTCTTGGCCAGAAGAAGTAAGTGGCCGACTCCATAAGAAACGTATAGAGTAAGTATTATAAGTAGATAATTCACTAGTATTACTAATGCTAGCGTAAGTATCTCCATCCATTTTTATTTCTTTCCCTCACTCCCTTGATGTTATGCCGGATAGTTTCCGCCACGCTTAAGTCCTTTTCAAGAGCCGCAACTGAATATACAACAAGACTACTCTCAATGAACACTACAACAGCCTACACTATTTTAGATATACCAGAGCCAGCTACATCCATTCAAATCAAGAAAAGAGCGCAAGAACTCCTACGACTTAACCGCCAAGGCCCATCTTCCTACCTCAACCAGCGCATCCAGCAGGCCCAAGACCGACTCCTACTGGACTCCAACTAAACCATATAGGGTTAGTATTGTGTTGGGTGTGGTGTTAGGTGGTGTTAGGTGTGGTGTGGGTGGTGTTTTTTATTAGATTAGATTAAGTGTCTGTTTTAGATTACCTTTTAGATTAGAATAAGTTAAGTTTGTGATAGTATCATCTAAATACCATCTAAATACCATTTAAATACCTCTAAGCTAAGCTAATCTAAATATAATTTAATCTAACATAAGTCAACCAACTCAATACCAACTCAACCCAAACCAACTCAATACCACCTCAACCCAAACCAACTCAATACTAACTCAACTAGTTAAGAATTAAATGTTTAGTGATACCCGCTTCAAAGTCTTCACGAGTGTTCACTTCTTTGATTTCAAAATAATTGATCATAATAGTTAAAACAGCCCCTACATAGATAATATTTGAATCGGGCAACATATTATGCGGCATCATCCGCTGAAAATAAACCGGAAATTCCACTAAGTGGTACCCTTTTTGAATTTCTAACTCTTCCCCATTCACTTCCCCACCTAATGCAAAGACTCCCCTTTCCTGTAAAGCCCCCATCATTTGCTCTACCAGCCCATTCTCACCACGTAAATGCAAAGAAGATGTCACTCCTCTAAACCCCGCCGAATGAAGTAATTCCATCACTAAATCTACTCCCTCCTCCCAACTCACTCGTTTCGTTACTGAACTAGTATACACTAAACTAGACCGATTAACTAAATCGACTGAACACCAAATCTCACCCGATCCACCATACTCTAAACTTACCATAGCTACATTCTGTACGCCCAAAGCCAAAGATGCAGCTACAGAAGCATACATCACTGAAATAGACTCTATCTTTGACTTAGCAAAGAAAGTCCGAGTCAGTTTATGAATCTCTTTCCGGTCCATATTACTAGGTATCAAGACAAACAAATGTACTTTTCCAACTAAATACTCGTCCAATCTCTCTAAATCCACCATTACTACCGAAACTCCAGTTGAAAAGATCTTATAGGTGCGTTCCCCGCTTATCTCAATAATAAGTACTTCTGGTTCCATAGATTAATAACAAATAAAAGGAAAAAAATTTAAGGAGTATCGTATGGCAACTGACTCTCAAAAGAATAATGATGATCAACGAGATAGTGCGAAGGATAGAGATTTATCTAAGAATGAAGTAAATGAAGGTAGACCGACTGAATCTTCATCTGAACCATCTGAAACTCATCAAAAGACCAGTTCTAATCAGAATAAGGCAAGTCAAGATAGTGCAAGTAGTGGTGAAAGTGAAGATGACGTCATCAGTGACCCGGGTAGTGGAGATAGCCAAACAGGCAATCAACAACCGCCACAAGGTTATCAGCAGCAACCTCCTCAGGGTTATCAGCAGCAACCATCGCAGGGTTATCAGCAACCACCTCATGGCTACCAGCAACCACCGCAAGGTTATCAACAACCTCCTCATGGCTATCAGCAACCTCCTCATGGCTATCCACCACAAGGCTACCAACAACCTCCCTACCCAAATCAACAACCTCCTCATGGCTATCAACAACAACGACCGCCCTATCCAAATCAATATGGCTATCCACCCCGTCCCACTCAACAACCACCCTATCCCACTCAACAACGACCACCCTACCCTAACCAGGTAGCTAAAGGTGGTAAGTCCGGATCAATGTTTAACCTTAATACTATTGCTGCTTTATTGTTTATTGGTTGTACTTTAGTAACTCTCTTTTTGGCTATCAAATCAAAACTTGGATCTGGTGATGATATTACTCAGGGAACTCTTTCTCAAGCCGAGTACAAGAAAATGATTGATAAGTTTGCTTCTGATTTCGGTAAAGTAACTCCTCATGATTGTCAAGATACGAAATACTTCGGTCTGAATGATGAGTTTGATGGATTAGTTCAGTATGCAATGCCTGCTATCTTACGTGAAGAGACTAACCTTTCTGATAACAATACGCGTAAGAATGTGTTGCTTTATGGATTGCCAGGAACAGGTAAGACTTTCTTTGCTAAAAAGCTCTTGATGATGTTAGCTGTTAATATTAAGGCGCATAAGTTACGTACTGAATTAAGGCGGTATACATTGGACGTAGATACTTTACTGAAGAATCGGACGGCTTTAGATGAGTTATATGACTGTAACGATACGATTGAGATGTATACGGTTAATGCGGGTGAGTTTTTAGAGAAGCACGTGGGAGAGACTGAAACTAAGACAAAGAAGTTCTTCCAGTTTCTTAATACGCGGCAACAAGACATTCCTATCTTGATTTTTATTGATGAAGCTGAAAGTTTACTGGTTAAACGAACTAGTGCAACGGAAGGGGCTGGATCTGTTTATAATAACGTAGTAGTTAGTTGGCTTACTTGGCTAGATGGTGTTATTAAGGATAAGTCAAGAAGAGTTATTGTAGTAGGAGCTACTAATTATAAGTCGAGAATTGATGCGGCTATTAAGCGTCGTTTTGGAGTGATGATTGGTATTCCTTTGCCTTTACCGATGGAACGGGAGACTGTATTAAAAGAACGGTTATTGATGTACTTATCGGACAATCAGCCGAAGGCTTTACAGAGTTTAGTAGCTCAATCTGAAGGTCTTTCTTTGAGTAGGATTGTTTTGCTTTGTGAGCAGATTAGAGATAAGATGGCAAAGGAAAGAATTCCACCTTCTTTAGCCTATGCTTTGGACCTCTTTAAAGTAACGCGAGAGCAGATTAAGCGGGAAGAGGCTAAGCAAGAGGCCGATCGGAAGAAAGCAAACCGAGATAAGGAAGAGGATAAAGATGCTCCACAAGGTTTGGAATCAAATATTGGGTACAAATCTAGTGAGAGAAGTCCGAATTTGCTGGTTATCAATAAGTTAGAACTGGATCAGATTGAAGATCAGAGTGAGAAGGCTGAACATGTGGATTTAAAAAACATTGGGGTTGAGAACATGTTGCTAACCCACCGACCGTCTCTTCAGAACACGAAGATCTTTGAGATGCGAGCCGTTCGATCACCTACCTTCCAACGTGCTGTAGAAGTTCTGCCTTCAAGTCAGGAACAGAAACAGAGGAGAAGTAGAGAAGATATGACCTGGGGTGAATCGATTCGAGATGTGCTTGGTCGGGCGGTGGTTTGGTTTATGCCGGCCCAAAACCCAAGGATATAACCTAAGTAACAATAAAGTGTACCATTGGGTGAATTCTGTAACATATTTATAACTAGAGGCGGGGATCGTAATGGATAATTATGGGGGAGAGACGGATTCGGCGGGTAATGTGGAGAGTAAGGAGAGTTTGCCGTTAGTTCTTTCTTCAGCTGGTGTGGTGGCTAATCGGGTGAGATTAACTCCGGTAGTTACACCGTTGAGTCGGGCCCGGCGGGAGTCGGTGGTTGTTAAGAAGTGGCGGCGGCAATTGGCGGCGGTTGTAATTGTATTGGCGGGATTGTCCGTTTATTTGGGCGGTCGTTATTGGTTTAGTGGCTTGGGAGCGGCGGAGAAGGCGTTGGGGTGTGGAGTTATTGCGGGGGTAGTGACTTTATTATGGTCTTTACGGGTAGTGCCTTTGTATGCTACTTCTTTGGGCGTACTGCCGGTGGTGGTTGTATCGGGGATGTTAAGTCCGGAACAGTCTGTTTTCTGGGGAATGGGTGAGAGTTTGGTGTGCTTGGGACGTATTTGTGTTTCTAAGGTGGTGGTGCTTTTGTTGGGTAGTTGTCTTCTTTCAACGTACTTTCAGGCTAATGGTGGGAGTGCTTTGGTGGTGCCTTACTTATTGGGTGGACATAGTCGGATGGGTGCGTTATTAAGGTGTATGGGGTTGAGTTTAGTGCTTTCTTCGGTGATGTCTAATGTGACGGCTCCTATTATTATTACTTCTATCTTGCAGAGTGCGGTGGATAATGGGTGTGGTGATGTGCCGGCGGGGATTATTATGAGTATTGCTTTGGGATCAAATATTGGTGGTATGCTTTTGCCGATTAGTAGTCCTCAATCGGTGCTTGGGTTTGCGGCGATGAATATTGGCTGGATGGAATGGTTGGGATTTTCGGTGCCTTGTGTGCTGGGAGCCTTTGTTTTTGTTTTTGCCCTTATCTTCTTCTTCTTTCCTTTTAAGGCAATGCCGATGGCATTGATAGGTGCTGATCTTTCGCGGTCTAGTCGGATTAAGTTGGTGCTAGTCTCTTTGGGATCGGTGCTTTGCTGGTCCCTCTCCTCTTCTTTACCTTTTCCCCTTCTGGTTGCCGCTCTGCCGGCCTTGGGCCTCTCTTTCGCTCCTGGTGCGTCTCGGGTTCTCAATCACCGCACCCTAGAAATCCTCTCTATTGCTATTGCTGGGACGGCCTTGGGTGAAGGCATAGAAAAGACCGGACTACTTAACCAGGCTTCCCAAGCACTTATTGCTTCTAATAAGAGTCGGTCCCTTCTCTTTGCCGTAGTTGTTCTCTCACTATTTATGCTCCTTGTTTCTTGCCTGGTCTGTCATACAGTTAGTGCAGTAGTTCTCTTGCCGATCTTCCAAAATATCGGCCATCTTCTGCATCGCGAACGGTTAATCCTTGGAGTCACGGCCCTTGCCTGCTCGGGAGGTATGGCTCTACCAACTAGTGGCTTCCCTAATATCCTAGCTAGTAGTTTTATTGCAGCATCCGGTCGAAGAGTCTTATCTACTTATCAATTTATTGTTTTTGGCTCAATCGGCACTTTATTCTGCTGGCTAATTATTGTTACAGTTGGCGTATCAGCAATGATACTAATGGGCTTCTAAAATTTTAGCTATGCAAGTCCAACCGTTCGATGAGAAAGAGATTAAACATTCTTTTCTTGAAACAAGTACGTTTGACGTCATGTTTCCCCGCCATAGAGAGAAGTACATTCGTGAAGTTGAAGAGTATATTAAGAAAGCCCTTCATCGGAAGAAGCTAGAAGTGAGTATTGACTACCAAGAACTAGTCTTATCAGTAGCAACGACTAATTTAACAAGAGATCCGTATGTTATATTTCAAGGCCGAGATTTACTTAAACTTGTTGCTCGAGGTGTACCTTTAGATAAGGCTATTAAAGTTTTTGAAGATGGTATAACTTGTGATATTATCTCACTTAACTATCAAGTCCGTAACAAAGCTACTTTTGTCAAACGTCGTGAAAGACTGATCGGTCCGCATGGTAATACAATTAAATCACTTGAGCTACTAACTGGATGTGCACTCTTTCCCTATGGTAATACTTTAGCGGCAATTGGTGAGCATCAGTCCCTTAAAGAAGTCCGTCGGGTCGCTTTAAAGTGTATGGAGAATGTGCATCCTATCTATGAAATTAAGCGGTTGATGGTGAAAAGAGAGCTGGCTAAGGACCCTCTGCTTAAGAATGAGAACTGGGAGAGGTACCTCCCACAGTACAAAAAGACACACTCTAAGAAACGTAAGTCTGCCACAAACTCCGAGCAGTCCAAGTCTAAATCCAAGTCTAAGTCCAGCACAGACTCTCTCCTTCCCGAACCAGAGCGCAAGAAGAAGGACATCCAACTAGAAACAGGCGAGTACTTCACCAAGAAGAAATAAACACACAACTAGGGTATCTTATCTTAATTAGACCACTCTTAACTTACTATAATCTTTATACCACCTCAATAGCACCCCAATATAATAGTTGAAAAGCGATCTTTATTCGTTCTGGTTGGGATGTAATAATAGTAGATTTTGTGGTATTTGTACTTCTTTGCCCTTATAATCCACCAGCCAGATATTTCTGCCCGCATTGCATAGTATAGTTCCTGTCCTTGATAAAGAAAAGCTAGAATCGGTCGGCTGGTTATTGTGGGTGTTGTTACTGTATTCTTTGGCGACCAAAACCTTATCGCCGGGAGAGAACTTCTTTGGTTTGTTACGGGCCTTGCCGCTTTGGCTCATTGTATGTAAGTATCTTTGCTGATGCTTGGCATTTACTCTCTCCTCTACTGGAGTTGCCACGAAGGGGACAATCTTTATAGTTGGATGTTCTACTGGTTTATTCCATTCCAGTACAGGGTCAACAAGTGAGTCTCCTTCTAGCTCGCAACGGTACATTCGCTCGACTTCTTGGTCATAGACCTTTTGGTGCTCTTCCGGTAGGATTGGACGAGGTTCAGATGCCGGGTAGCCATAAACTACATCAAGGGGTGCTTTGTTGATAGCTCGATGCCATCGGCGATTGTAGGCTCTAACAATGTCACCCAAATTATCAATCCAACGGGTGGGCTTATCATGCGGCGCATTCTTGAACAGACTCCGAGATAGAGTTTGATTGGCTCGCTCCACTTGGCCCAAAGTACGCAAGTCCGACCGGCCGTATCTGTGCTCAATGTCCAAACGCTTCATAAAAGACGCAACTTCATCATTGACAAACTCGGGGTCATTACCGCTTTGTATTATCCATGGAGGAGGAATCATAGAAAAGTAACGATCTAAGATCTCGATAATGGCCTTACCAGTTTTGTGCTTCATTTCCATAGCCATTAGATGCTTAGAACAAATATCCAGAATTATCAAAATCCATCCATAGCCGTCGTTGGACTCCATGCAATAGCGCATATCAATACAGTCAACTTGCATGTGCTTTAATGGATACTTGCACGTAGCATGCTGCATCGGAGGATCTTTCTTGCATATAGAGCAATTGCTCGCTATATCTCGAATAGTTTGTCGGCTGAAGCCCATATAATGATTTCGAAGGGTTTGATACAGCTTTTCTGAAGCTAGATGGCCATCTTTACCATGGCCTGCTATAAAGATCTTCTCTAGTCTTTCAATATCATCATCGCCAATTACTTCCAGCAGATGTGCTCCTGTTGCATCTTTCTCCAGGTTATCGTAGTATAGCTTGTTTTCACGAAGCAGAAACAAGTCTGCTTTCTTTTGGAATCGATGCCACTGGAGTTCTGATAGTCCTGGTGGCGGGCTATATGATCCTCGTAAGTATTTGGTTATTTCTGCGATTTCATCCATATTCAATGTAAGTGTTGGCTTTTGCATTCAATCAAGTTCGAAATCTGAACGTCGAAATATTTTAAGCATATCCACCATCAATTTGTTTAGATTAGCACTTGAATTCATAGTTGGGTTAGTATTAGGTTGATATTAGATTGGGTTGGTATTTAGGCAGTGCCCATGGATAGATAAACTGTCCACAAAATGGCATCCATTTGCCAATGCACGCTCTAATAAAGATATCCCTTGAAACGGGTGGTGTTTTTTCTTAGATAAAGTGGTTGAATTGAGATAGAATGACTCCATATCGAAATGTAAATCAGATATGTAAAATAAAATGATTAAAGCATCTTGATCCTATTAAGGTTGTGTTAGTATTGGGGTTTGTGGGGTTGTGGGTAGTGTAGTGGGTAGCTTTACCCGTGATAAAGTTGCTTATCTGAAAGAAGAGTAGTGGTTATACGTCGGCAACTTCAACTTTGGAGCTTCAGAAATTCAATATGTAACTCAACTTAATGTGTAACTCAATCTAATATGTAACTTAACTTAATGCGTAACTCAATCTAATTTAATACGTAACTCAACTTAATATGTAACTCAATCTAATGCGTAACTTAACTTAATATGTAACTCAATCTAATAAGCACCTCACCAAATCCAATGCGTAACTTAACTTAGCACAATACCAACACAATACCAAATCTAATATACGACTTACCAAATTCAATATCAACCTCTTTATTAGAAGAAATAGGAGGGCCGGGAGATGTTAATTCCGTTCTCCTTAAGCGTATTTTCAACATCTGCTAGAGTTAAGGTTAATTTCTTCTCCTTCGGCGTCTTTTTCTCCTTAAGAGAAGCTCGTTGTGCTATCTTATGGTACTGGTAAGCACACGTGGCTACATCGGTAATGAGCTTTTGTGCTACTAAAGAGACAAGTTTCTTCAACTTTGGGTCTTCTGAAGCTAATCCGGCCTTGGTAAAGCAGAAATCCAAGACAACTTCTGGGATTAGCGGTACAAATGACTCTAGGCCTTCGTTGATCCGGTTGAATGTACTGTCTTCCATAATTAAAGAAAAACTAGGAGGGTGTTACTCTTTGCCCGGCTAAAGGAGCTAAAGATCCTTGCATCTCAATAGGTTCGCCCCAGCGCTGGACGGTTTCTTTCTTCTTCTCCCAGATAGCAGTTTCTTCATGTAATTGTTTAGTGACTTCGTCTAGGCCAATTTGGAGGATCATAATAAAGGTAGAGTATTCTAAATTTTATGGCAGTTCAACAACGTGAAAGAGATCTCTTCGATGAAGAGTCGGTTGATATAGAGAATGTTTGTAATTACGTGCCTATTTCTGAGCTAACTAAGGAAGGAGTCTCGCAGGCTGACATTAACAAGTTGATTGAGGCGGGGTACAATACGGTCGACGCAATCGCATACGCCCCTAAGAAGAATCTCTTGATGATTAAAGGCTTCTCAGAGACTAAGGTTGATAAGCTGGTTAAGGAGGCCCATAAGATGATTCCGCTTAAGTTTGAGACGGCGGCTGCTATTCATGAGAAACGGTCGCAAATGTTTATGTTGACCACGGGGTCAAGTGAATTGGATAAGCTACTTTGTGGTGGAATTGAAGCTTGCAGTATTACGGAACTGTTTGGGGAATTCCGAACGGGTAAGACTCAAATATGCCATATGCTATCTGTGTCGTGCCAACTACCAGTGGCTGATGGAGGAATTGGTGGTAAGTGCATTTATATCGATACGGAAGGAACTTTCCGACCCGATCGTGTCATTGGTATTGCTAACCGATTTGGCCTCGATCCAGGGACTGTCTTGCAGAACATAGTCTGTGCTAAGGCACATAGTACGGATGAGTTGGACGAGTTGCTAATTAAGGCGACAGCCTTGCTCTCTCAGGACAACTATAAACTCTTAATTGTGGACTCGCCTATGTGCTTGTACCGAACGGACTTCTCGGGCCGAGGTGAGTTAGCTACTCGGCAGATTGCCTTGGGCCGCTTCTTACGCTCCCTGCACAAATTAGCTGACATCTACACGATTCCAGTTGTGATTACCAACCAGGTCTCGGCCAAAGTGGATGGAGCTGCGGCTATGTTTGGTGGTGATACTAAAATGCCAATTGGAGGGCACATTATGGCGCACTCCAGTACGACTCGGCTCTATTTAAGAAAGGGTCGTGGAGAGACTCGGATTTGCAAGGTCTATGACTCGCCTTCCATTCCAGAGTCGGAAGCCATGTTCGCTATATCCGATGGTGGTATCATTGATGCCTCTGAGTAATAAACTGAACTAGGTTATTTGGGCTCGCATAGAGTTATGTTATGTTAGGTTGAGTTGAGTTGAGTTGAGTTAATGATAAGTTGAGTTAAGTTAAGTTGAGTTGAGTTGAGTTAAGTTAAGTGGATAGAATGTTATTAGTTGAGTTAAGTTTAGTTAGTAGATGGTTATCAGTTAAGCTAAAGATAAGTTAAAGATAAGTCAACTTAATAGAATGTTGTTAGTTGACTTAAGTTGACTTAAATTAATGATAACTTGAGGTAATGATAAGATTAACTATTTTAAGTAAGTCAAAACTAAAATGAAAGTGGAAAGCCATAACTAAACTAAAATAATAAGGGTCTAATTTAGACTTTATTTGCTAGGTTAATTTAGGTCGTAATAAGTAGAAATACGGCGTTGATTTGGAGTTAAGTAAAATAGCTACTAAATAGATAGTGAGTGCTTAGACGAGTAGAATGCCGTTCACACACCCGTCGTTTTCTGGGTTGTTAGTTATTTGGGCATACTTTCCCCAAATAATCCGTCCGGATTCTGAAACCATACCGAGTGCACTTGTATTCACCTCAATGATAGTACCTTTAGTCAATAAACCAAGCGTAGTCATAAGTTGGGAGTTAGGGTTCTTTTTTACACCCATAATAGGTAGTAGGAAAGTAGCCTTCATCTCAGGGTGCGTGATATTAGCTGATTTCATTCGAAGTCCAGTAGGACGAATGAACCGCTCAAACTTAGGGGGTTTACGGGTAAATCCGTCACCAACAAAGCACGGCTTAGTAACAACTCGCTTCCATTGGTTTTGCTTACGCTTACCGGTCTTCATGACTTTAAAGGCTTCTGCCTCCGATACACCTCGGACTTGAGGCAGAGGCACTACGTGCTTGCCAGCTTTGTTCTGTCTTTGCTCCTTGAGTTGCGTTGTGATGGCTTGGATAGCTGCCTGCTTCTCCCGGTCAAGTAAATAAGCTGGGATAGCTCCTTCTGCTGCGACGTTTTGAGCCACCTTCTTTTCCTTGCGCTCAGCTTGAAGTTTCTCCTTCTTCAGTTGAATCTTCTCTTTGCGACGTTTTTCATGGAAGATCTTGGCCTTCATACCAAAGAGTTCTTTAGAGAGTTTGGAAAGGCGTTTGGCTGATCTTAGTTCTCGTTTTTCCTTTCTGATTTCGTAGTCTTCTCTGCGGCCGTAAGTTTTAACGGCTTCTTCAACGTAATTGTGTTGAGGCATTGCAAATTGCAGAAAAAGATGGAATATAGAAGATTGTACTTTGGGGCGGATGCGGTAGTGGATGATGAGTTGTTAGATCGGTTTTATAACTCGATGGTGCATAAGTTAGATAGTGAAGAGATCAGTCTTAAGGAGATTGAGGAAGATCTTATAGTAGATAGCTGCTATTTAGAGAGCCATTTGGTAGAGTTAAATAAGGATGGCTTGGACCACTTAAGGTGTGCTTTATCACGGATTCTTTGGGAAAGACGAGGGGTTATACAACGGACTTTTATTAAGATTACTGGGTTTGCGGATCCTTTACCGTTTACGGCTTTAAGGCATGCATTGGTGGGAAAGGTCTTTTCATTAGCAGGTGTGGTGGCTCGAATTGAGAATGCTAAGCCAGAGGCCGTGGCGGTGGTTTTTGCCTGTAGTAAGTGTGGAGAAAAGATAGAGACTTTTCTTAAGTCGGGTGGGGTGTATGAGAAGCCAGCTCGGTGTGTAGATGGATGTCGGTCCAAGTCGTTTGTATTATTGAAGGACTCCTTGCAGAACACCTTTTCGGACTTTCAAAGAGTGCGCCTGCACGAGATATGTTTAGATGAAGGGACCAAACGGAAAGCAGGAACAATCCAATGTATTTTAACCCGGTCTCTAATCAATACGTTATTGCCTGGTGATGCCATTCATTTAGTAGGGGTAGGCATAGCGGAAGAGAGCGCACCCGACAAGTATATTATTGCCGTCGCAGCTAACAACTATACCTTTTTGAAACCGCGCGATAATTTACAAGAAGCTTCTAACTTCCCAGAAGCCGTGATTGCTGAGCTAAAAGGTCTAGCCAACACACACTCCAATATACTAGAACTTCTCTCAGATTCTTTATTCCGCGAGATTGTTGGTCATCAGTCAGTTAAGGAAGGAATTCTTCTTTCCTTAGTAGGCGGAGCGGCTCATAAGAGTCTTAATAAGCGCAAGGAAATACACACACTAATAGTCGGGGACCCAGGAATGGGCAAAAGTAAGTTGTTACGCATGGCAGCTGGTATTCTGCCGCGGAGTAATTATGTTTGTAGTACGACTAGCACTCCTGGGGGTTTAGGGGTTTCTATTCATTCTCAGCCGGGCGGTGAATACTCTTTGGAAGCAGGTGCCTTAGTCCTAAGTGATTTGGGCCACTGTTTTGTTGATGAGCTTGACAAACTGGACACACCTGAAGTCTTGCTTGAAGCGATGGAGCAGGCTAGCATTAGTATTGCCAAGGCAGGGATGGTTTGTACTATGCCTTGCCGAGCCGGTGTCTTAGCTGCAGCCAATCCAATTCTAGGTAAGTATGCTGAAGACCGATCGGTAGCTGCCAATCTTTCCTCCTTTGCCGAAGCTTTTCTCTCTCGGTTTGACCTTGTCTTCCTGCTTATTGATACGAACACCCAAATCGACCAACAAATCACTAGGCATTTCTTCCAAGCAGAAGACAACCAAACCCAGCCGACTATTCCCGAAGATCTAGCCAAGCAGTACCTTCAGTACGCCCGTGAGCATATTCAGCCCATTCTTTCCTCGAGTGCCAAGTCTCTACTGATGCACTTCTACCAAGAGATTAAGACCACGGGCACGTACGAAGGCAAAACCATTCCTCATGGAGTCACACCCCGAACAGTTGAAACTCTTATGCGCGTAGCCGAAGCCCGGGCCAAGCTCTCCCTCCGTGTTATTGCCACCAAAGCCGATATGGAGTACGCCATCAGTATATCCACCATGCGGCCCCATACCCCCACAACCACCAACCGTAAGTCCAACAGCTCATCTCTTCTTCCTCTGCTTACTACTTTACCCCAACCCTTTACGTACCGCCAAATTCACCAGGCCGCCCAACCACTCAACCTTTCATCTGTCAAAATAGACCAACTCATTGCCGCTCTTAATGATACCGGCCTCATTCTCAAAACAGGTCCACAGCACTACATTATACCAGCTAACACCAACCCCTAACATATCACTACCAACCCAACCCAACGTAACCTAATACCAACCCAACCAACATAGTAATAAATCAAATCAAGTCAAACCAATATCAACCTAATCCAACCTAACCCAGTACTAATCTAATCTTAAATCAACACAATAAAATCCAATTTGAGCCCAACTCAATATCACCCAACCTAACTCAACCCAATACCAGTATAATTCACCTTTATTTTAGCAAAACCCAATACTAACCCAACTCATAGTATAGTTGACTTTTTCAAACAAAGAAATGTCTGAATTGCCCTATTACTGCCATGTCTGCGAGATAATAGTCCGGATTGGAGACCAAATAGAGTGTCCTCAATGCAAACAATCCTTCTTAGAGGTATACTCACCCGATGACGAACTAGAAGCACCACCCCGCGCCCAACCTTTCATGCAAGCCATCTACAACTTCTTTGACTCCCGTTCACGCCGATCCCGTCAGCGCAGCATTGCTTCCGACCGCCGCAACTATGCCATCGGCCCCGAAATCAACGACATTATCACCCGGTTCATGGAGGAGAAGCAGATCAAAGAAAACCCAGCCACCGACCAACAAAGAACCCATCTCCAAAAAGCCGAGCCACCAAACAATGAAGCCTGCATGATTTGTCTCAACGATTTCCAACCCCAAGAAAAAGGCATCCAATTCCCATGCGAGCACATCTTCCACCAACCCTGTACCGAAGCCTGGCTCAAACTCCAAGCCGAGTGCCCCATTTGTAGAGAGTCCCTCTAACTACCAATACTAACACCACCAACCAACACCAACCACCACCAACACTACCCCATTTAAACCAAACCCAATAAAGAACAACAACGGACCATCAACTTAGCCCAATCTAATCTAAATTTACATCTAGTGCCACACCACATCACTAACTCAACTCAATCCTATACCAATTCAAACTCAACTCATCTAAAACTTAACTTAATACTAATTTACTATCTAAACATTATCTGATTCAAACATACCACATCATCAACCAAACACAACTAAACTAAACTTAACTTAACTCAAACTCAACTAACCCAACTAACCCAATCCTAACACAACCCAATACCAATCCTAACCCAAACTCAACTTAATACTAATTTACTATCTAATCCAAACTCAATCCAAACTCAAACTTAACTCAAACTCAACCTAACACAACTCAATACAACACCAAATTATACCAGATTAAAACCAACTCAATATCCAATCATACTAACTCAAAATACAAACGTAATCCATCCTATCTCAACCCAATCAAACCCTAGAATACCCCCCGCTTAAATATTTGTTTTTTGTGTTGGGTATGGAAGAAGCTATCAGAAGTGTAGAGGAAAAAGAAGGAATCCGAGTGACCTGGAATGTCTTTCCCAATACAAAGGCTGAAAGTCAGAAAAACATGATTCCTTTGGCCTTCTTGTACCGACCAATGCACGGATATCAAGATAGAAGTTTATTACAAGTGAATTATGGCGCAGTTAGGTGTGCTAGAGGTGAGTGCGGTGGAGTACTTAATCCCTACTCAGCAGTTGATTTTGGCACAAGACATTGGAATTGTCTATTTTGCGGTCGTATGAACATGTTACCCCCACATTATCGTGATATTACTCCCGACAATCTTCCCTATGAACTATTCAGTGGCAACACTTCTGTTTACTACCGATCAACCAAACTACCAACCTATAGTCGTACTTACTGGTTTGTAATTGATGCCTGCAGTTTTGATGAAGAACGACATTTACTTCTTAAGGAAGGACTCTTAACTACTTTAGATCTTATTGCCGAGACGGACTTTATTGGTGTAATTAGGTACAGTGCTAATATTGAAGTATTTGGGCTTGATTCAACTGAGGTGGCTAAGATTCATGTTTTCCCGGCGGTTAATTATACTCCGGCTATTCTACAGAAGGCTTTAAGTACGGGTCAAGTTCAGTCTGGATCACCACTTAGTAAGTTTGCCCGGCGTAAGAGTGAGTGTCTTACTTACTTAGAGAATCTCTTTAAGAACTTGCCCATTAATGCCTTCCCAGTACCGACAGTGGAACGGCCTAAGCGTTGTACGGGTAGTGCTGTTTTACTGGCTAGTTCTCTAGTGCAAAGTACCTGTGTAGATGGGACGGGACACATTATGCTGTTTACCCAAGGTCCTTGTACTTTTGGTCCTGGAGCTATTACTACACTCAGTTTAAAGGATCCTTTGCGTAGTACAGGTACAGGGATTGGCATGCTTTTTGCTAAAGAGTCTATCTATGAAGGTATTGCCCAGGCTTTAGGTCGAAAAGGCCATGTTATTGACATTGTGGCAGCGGGTATTGATGATTTTGGCTTCTCCGAGATGAGAAGTTTAGCTGAAAAGACGGGAGGTATTACTGTATTTGCCCGGGACTTCAATCCTTACATCTATAAGGAATCCATTAGAAGAATCTTTGCTAAAGCCCCCCAGTCTCCTGAGGTGGAAGAAGATCTACAATCTAATCCAGCAGTGACTAATTCTAGTCCAGGGACAAGTACTACACCTCCACAAGTACGAGTATTTGATGCACGGACGACCGTTAAGATTTCGAAGGGATTTGAAGTTAAATCGGTGCTAGGTCATGGGATTGTACAACCGGCTGAGAAGAAGGGCAGTCCTTTGGTTTGGCGGCAAGGTTCAGTGTTTAAACAGTCTTCATTAGTATTGGTATGTGAGCATATGGAAGATGCCCCGGCCGGTGCTCCTGTTTATGTTCAGATTAGTACTAAGTTTGTAGATTCAACGGGTGAGTGCCATGAACGAGTAACAACTATGGCTCGTTCCTTTGTGGATGCCACTAACTTACCGCAACTAGTAGCTGGGTTTGACCAGGAAGCAGCTACTGTGTTTAAGGCTAAGGAATTATGTGTGAATGCAGATGGTGGTGATGGCATTGATGTAATTAGGCAGGCAGATAGGTGTTTGATTAGGTTTATGCAACGTTTTTGTGTTTTTGATCGGGATGTACCTTCATCACTGAAGACTCCACCAACGATTGCTTTTCTACCGGAATTTATCTTCTTCTTACGACGACTACCGGCCTTGCATACGGATGGATTGAGTTTTGATGAAGTGGCGTACCAACGGAACATTCTCTTAGGAGAAGACTCTACAGCTTCTATGTGCATTATTAGGCCGCCACTAGTCTCATACCATTATACCGGGGAAAGAACTCCGGTTGAGTTGGACTCTAAATCATTAAAGCCGGATGTAGCCTTACTAGTGGATACGTTCTATGACGTAGTGATCTGGCAAGGGGAGAACATTGTGGCCTGGATTGATGCGGGGATAAAAGACGATCCGGAGTACTGGTACTTCAAGGAAATGTTGGAGAACATTGAAAAGGAGGCTAAGGCTATTGTACAGGACCGACTTCCAGTTCCGAAACTAACCATTTGTAACCAGTACGGCTCGCAGGAAAGAATTCTGCTTTGCAAAGTCAATCCGTCCTCTTCTGTAGCGAACAGTGCCGTTGGGGAGGGACAGACTATTGTAACTGAGGACATAGACTTTTCTAGGTTCTATGAATACCTGATAAAGCTTATAGTGAGCAGCTAATAAGCAGCAATAAAGCACTAATTTGCCATAAGATTAAGTTAAGTTAGTTTTGTGTTACTCTAATGTGGCCATACAACCATCACCAACTCAATCCTAACTCAAGATGACGTCATCTTATTCCAACCCTAACCAATACATACTCAATAAATGGCATTAATACCTATCTCAAGGAATGTCTTTAATTTGGGTTAGTATTAGGTTAGTATTAGTTAAGTATTGGGTTGTGTTAAGTTAGTACTAGGTTGGGTTAAGTTGAGTTAAGTTGGTATTGGGTTAGTATTAGGTTGAGTTAAGTTATGTTAAGTTAAGCATTAGGATAGTATTAGGCACTACAGTTAAGTTGGATTGAGCTAAGTTAAGTTGAGTTAGATAGGGAGATGATATTTTGACAGGAACTAGTTGGAAGTAGAAGAAATCGAATCTATATCTATTCTAATTAAAGTAGAGAGTAATAGGAGTATGAATGAATTGAATTGGTGGCTAGTAAGGCATGCTGGAATAGATAACCCGGATGTCTATTCAAATAGATAAACCAAACCTGAACAAAACCAGACTGTTTTATTGATTGATGAGGCTTAGTGAGTAGTTGTGTTTTGTTTGCTTACGGTGGGATTTGGATTTGGGGTTTCGGCATCTTCGGCAGTTTCGGCGGCGATGTTGTTGTATAAAAGTGCCTTGTTCTGGTAGTAACGGAATTTCTCCTTGTAGTATGCAGCTAGATTGGCAACCCGTTCATCAATGATGGCCTGGCACTCGTTAGTAATGGGATGCGTGTGGTAGTAGGATAGGCCGGCGGAATTAAGTTTTACAACTTTGGATTCCAGGTGCTTTAGAACTTCAGCCTGTTGTCGGGTTAGATTTTGATAGACATCGTTAATTTGGGGACTTTCTTTTAGGGCCGCATCAAGATAGAACTGCCTGTCAACACCTTTGGAAGTGATAGTAGTGATGTCATTGGTCGTCAAGTATTTGTAGTAGATTTCGACCAAATCCATGTCGACCTCAACGTTATCGTCATTAGTTACCGAAAAGGAAAAGGTGGGAATGTCTCCAGTTGTGCCGGCCCCGTCCAATAGAGGTAGCTTAGATACGACTTGGCAACCAGAAGTACTTATGATGTTCTGGTTGACCAGTTCGTTTAGCTCAGCTAACAAGGCCACCAAAGCAGTCCTTTCTATCAGAGTCATCACAGCCATTTGCTTAGTGGCTACCTCCAACTCGGCCATAGTCTTAGTGTCATTAGGATCAACCGCATCCCGTCGTTTCTTAATTGATGCCTCGAATGTCTGGTACTTGCGCTTATAAGCAGCAATCATAATGTTCAGCCGCGTACTATAGATTAAGGGAATACCTTGAAAGACTGCACCCATACAGAACTCTCGTTTCTCCACGGCCTTTTCCGCACAGGCCAGGCGCAGCCATTCATAGGCCGACCAATAAAAGGAAGCTTCGGAATATGCCGAAATAGATAAAGACTTAGTCACCTCTGACACCACCTCCGCAGGCAAGTACCGAGCCAGATTTTCCAGTTCCGGACAAAGCACACCCTGCGCTGAATTCCAGCTATTACAAGCCGGCGGGAAAACCATCTGCTGGTACGTTGAAGGTTCCAACACCTTAGAACTACACGCCGCCTGAACAAGCTCAGACGATATCCTTGGCATAGATCGCGCCAATTTATCACAAGCAGCATTCTCAGCCTCAACATCATTCGGATTATTACTTTTCGTTCCAATTAAACCACGCAAGGCCTTTCCATTTGTAACAGATAAAATCCCGCGTCCCCACATTTTATCTCCCAAACCTCTTCTTTTTTCGACAATATGGTTGATAGTGGCATAATTTTCTGATACAGAACGACTAGGATCATCAGTGATTTCCGTAGTGAAGCACAGAATCCTTCTTTCCGTCGCATTCGGTCTTGACGCGCCACTAAGATGATTATCCGGGTACAAAAACTGGTCGCACGCATTAGTCGACCGGCCAATATTCGACACACCTCCAGCCTCAGTCTCTCCCACTTGTCTATTCACCACCAACCAAAGACCAAGAATAACCTTACCTATCCAACCCAAAACTTGCATGTTCATACAAACTCTTACCAATAAATATCCTAAGATCATCTTTATCTAAATCATTATTTACCTGCATTGCGCCAAGGCCCACTCTTACACCTAAACTGAGTAACCAACATAAGATGGTCCGAAGGATAGTGCGGAGTAGGCAACCCAACAATCTTAGATAAGTACTCCTCATCAATCGGCCCTAAAGAGCACACCGGCTGCAACCGATCGTTGTGCCAAATATAATCAATCGTACCAATAAAACCAGGCGTAAAGTTAGTAAAGCCCATATTTACAAATGAATAACTGTCCTGCAAGCCCAGCTGGTGGGAATATCCCTGACTACTGTATGGCTCATAGGCCAGTCCTAATAAATCACGGTTGTTCGGTCGCATCTCCCCAGAAGTCACCAATTCGTGCAAAGCCGAAGAAGGCAGCGAATTAAAGTCACCACAAATCACTAACTCAGCTCCCGGGTACCTTTTCATCACCGCTTCCACCTCCTTCAACAACATAATACCTTGCAACGTCTTTACATCCGGAAATTCCGGGTCCCAATGAATATGTGCATTCGCTACTACCATAAGTTTACCTCCTTCTCTTTCCAGCACAACCACCAGTGCAATATTATCACGGCACAGTACGCGATTAGCAATATGCTCATGCTCAGCAATATGCTTCTGGGAGAAGAGTTGCGATAAGAGAATACACTTCTGTTCTACTAGTTGAAAGAACATACTTTTCCAAAAGATAGCACATCCATCCACCGCCCGTTTATCATACTCAGACATAGTTCTAGCTCTTGTCTTCTGGTAAAAGACCGAATCATAATCACCACGTATCTTCAATTGCTCCCGAAAGAACTCCAAATAACTAGCCGTATCCATCTCCTGAATACAAATAATATCAGCACTGTACGAAGCCAGTTCCTGTAAAATATTAGTCTTCCTTGTCTCCCACTGCAAGGCCCAACTAGGCACATAGGCAAACATCTGATTATTAGTATAAGTAGGACAAAGAATATTATAAGTAGCTACAGTAATAATATCATTATACCCAGGTGATGTACTTTCCTGACCATTAAATATCCATTCTCTTTCCCAGTAAGGAAAACTCAAAGCCACATTATCACGACAGTATCTAACTACACCCAAACCACCTGAAGTATGATAAACAGCCGCAATCTGACCCACTAAAGGATTATCGTCCAAATCCAACCGTTCCATTTGGTAGAGCATGCCAAATTCTTGTGGGACAGAAGAGAGTAAGTTCCCATTCAATTTCAACTCCCTTAAAGTATACAAACGCCCTAATTCTTTAGGTACTTTCTTTATCCGGTTATGAGACAAGTCTAAATGTGCTAAAGAAGTCAGTCGACTTATTTCCACTGGAATATCAGTGATTGAATTACCCGATAGAACTAGTGTAGTTAAGCCTTCCCAAAGCAAAATACGTGGGGACAACATCTTTAAGCCCTGTCCAGCCAAATCTAACCCAACCACTTCATCCATAACCTTCTCTCCCCCCGGCTTTCTACACACTAATGGCTTACTAAAGATACGATTAGCCCGGCTTGCAAAGCACCCAGGTCTTTTAACACCAGTATATTCCTCTTCCATACTCTGTAAATAAAAGACAAAATATATACAGCCGTTGCTTCCTTCTTCTCTTCTCTTCTTTCTTCTTTCGTCCTATCTTAATCTCTGCACTAACTCTTCAACCAGCCCAGCCCAAGCCATCCCACTCCACCCTAAGCCAACCCACTACTATACTACCTGCAGCCATCCCCGCCCTATCAATTAAGTTAGTCTTAGGTTGGATTGGGTTGAGTTGGGTTAGTTTGGATTGGGTTAAGTTGGGTTGAGTTGGTTTAGTAGACACTATTGCCTTACACCAACTCAACTCAAACGCCACTTAATACTATCTTATTACATTCATTCATTAAATCCATCTTAAACCAACTAAATACTAATCCAATCCAATTTATTAGACCACTTCATTGGGTTAGTATTGGGTTGGGTTGGGTTAATTTAGTTTAGTAGCACTATACCATACGTTATCTAAACTTAACACATCTAAATATCATTATAGCATACGTTATCTAAATGCCAACTTAAACTCAACTAAATACCATTATAACTAAATCAACTCAACACATCTAAATACTAAACCAAACTCAAACCAATACTAAACTAAACCAAACCAAACTCAATCTAAACCAACTCAATCTAAACCAAACCAAACTCAATATAATCTAAACTTAAATGATACTAATCCAATTTAATAGTAGTTGGCTTGGAAAGTCGCCTTCTTGGCAAAGAGCGATTCAAAGACCAAAGCCATAGGCTCAAACCGATGAGCATGCTCCTTTTGGCTCTTAATATCTAAGATGATCTTCTCCACCCGAGAACCATCCTCTCTAACTAAGGACCGCCGATCAACAATATGAAAAGGAGCCGCCAAATCAGCAGCCACACTTTCTTGATAATCAGCATAAGTAGGACCAGTTCGGAAGCACTTCTCGCCCTTCTTAAGCCCACTATCAACTCTAGCTCTAATCAAGAAAACAGTCCCTCCTAATACTTCCTCTAATCGTTCCGTAGCCGCACCAAGCCCCCGTTTTAACTCACTATAAACTCCACCCGGCAGAGTTACAACTGTTACTAAGACACTATCCTTACTAAATGAATCAACTTTAACCAACCCTAAATCTTCACTAAATGTTTCCGGACTAGTCAAGAGACCTTTTAAAATACTTAAAACTGTTTCAGTAGCTGAATTAGACTGTTCAGTTAGCTTAGTATGAGTCATGACAGGGTCTAAAAAATAAAAGAAATAAAAGGAAGATTAAACTTAACTAGATAGTCTATTTAGTAGATATATTTAGAAAGTCTTAGGAAGGATTTGGGTTAGTATTGGGTTGAATTGGGTTGAGTTGGGGTGGAAGAAGGATAGTAAAGAGGTGTTTAGAGATAGAGACGCTATCTTTATTTTAATTTTAGCACCCCTGTCTTTAAGAATGGCAAAGTCAAAGAATCATACTAATGAGAACCAAAACAGAAAAGCACATCGTAATGGAATCAAAAAGCCTAAAGATTGGCAAAAGTTACCTATTAGAGGAATGCCTAAGGATGCACGTTTAGCCCTTCATGAGGAGCAAAAGGCTCTTCATCCAGTTTCTAAGAAGAAGTTGATGACCTTTGAAGAGCGAATGGCCCAAGAGAATGCTGATCCGGCTGTTCACAGGAGAAGACTCATTAAGAAGATGGGGATTAGGCGTATGGCCCTACGTGGCATTTACTTGAACTAATAAATGGGGTTTAAGATTTAGATAAGTTTTGATTAAGTTGGTGTTGAGTTGTGTTAAGATAAGATTAGATTAAGTTGTGTTGTGTTTTGTTAGATTGAGTTGTATTTTGTTAAGATTAAGCTGGTATTTGGTTATGATCTGGCTAGATTATGATAGTACTTTGTTATGATTTGGTTGAGTTAGATTATGATAGCATCTTGTTACTTTGTGTGAGTAGTTAGTGTAGAGTAAGTTGATGTGTTTAGTAAGTTGGTGTTTAGTAAGTTGATGTCTGAATACGTTATGGAGTATTAAAAGTGCAAGGACGCCAAACTTAGCCTCTCTAAGAAACAATCTTAAACTGAATTGAATTAGTATTATGTGAGTATTAAGTTAGGATTGAATTATGTTTGATGTAGTGCTTAATACTTAAACTAATCCCAACTCAACACAACACAACACAACTCAACACAACATAATACTTAAACTAATACGTACTCTATTAAAGGCATTGCTTGAGCTAAGTGCGGTTACTATTTATTGGATAAATAAGTGTGTGTGTGATGACGTCATATTAAGTTGGTATAAGATTGAGTATTAGTTTAGTACTAAGTAGTGTATACTAAGTACTAGGTAGTGAGTGGCTTACCAGTAATCATTGTGATTATGTCAGCAGTCGTATGAGAGTGCTACAATTGATTAATCTGATATTTGGGTAGGGTTATCTAAATAGCCCATTTAGACTTTTGCTACTCTATCATAAATAAGTAAGTAAATAGACTATGTGTATTGGTAAGTTAAACTGATTAAATAAATGTCTAATGGAGTAGTAACTAACTGGATAGGTAAATAGGTACTGGGTTAGGTCGGATGGATATAATGGGTGAGTGAGTTGGAGTGGATTGAGTGGATTGGATGGGAAAAAGGCGGGAAAATAGGACATATAAGGGAGAGTTTAGCGGGAGGTAATGGGAGTGCCGGGGTTGTTGCCACTGTTGAAGGAGCATTTAGAACAAGTGGATATGAGTGAGATAAAAGGATGTAGAGTAGGAGTAGATGCTTATTCTTGGTTGTATAAGGCAGTATCGACTTATGCCGTGGATGTGTACTTGGCTCCGACGGGGGAAGAAGCCTTGAGTAAGTGTATAGGTTTGTGTTTACGGAAATGTGAGGCTTTACAAAAAGAAGGGGTTCAGTTGTACTTTGTGTTTGATGGGGAAGAGCATCCAATGAAGAGTATGACGGCTCAGAAACGGCGGGAGAAGAAGGAAGAAGCCCGGGAGAAAATTGAAGTGCTGCTACGACGAGGACGGAAAGAGGAGGCTTACCGCTTAATGAGTAGATCTTTAAAGGTGGATAAAGTGATGGCCGGTCGGTTTATGGATGCTTTGGCAGAACGGGATATACCTTATATTAGGGCGCCTTATGAAGCAGATCCACAATTAGCTTACTTGGAACGGGAAGGTTTAGTGGACTATATAATGACGGAAGATAGTGACTTGGTGGTTTATGGGGCCAAACGGATCTTGTTTAAATTGAATGAAAGTATGATTGCGGTGTTGTATGATCGGGAAAGAGTGCTTAAAGTAGGCGGGGAGTCAGTGCGCTGCTTACTGACTCATATTAAAGAGATAGTGGCCTTATCTGGTTGTGATTATACAGAGGGAATTAGGAATGTTGGACTGATTACGGCCCATCGGCTTATGATGGTGCATAAAAGTGCCCGGGGGTGTATTGAGTTCTTGGCCCGTAAGAGTATTGAAGTGATGAATCATTGGGAAGTCTGCCAGCGCGTGGTGTGTACTTTTAAAATGCATGTAGTGATTGATCCTCGTTCTGGCGAGCGGCGGTATTTTGAAGAGACGGAGGGAGAAGAGTTCGGTACTGAGGAGGGTTTAGGAGATTTATCCTTTGTGGGCAGCTTAGTTGAATCTTCTGTTTCTTCACAGACTTCCGTTGAAAGTGATGGGGTGGAGTTGGTTGAAGAAGTTAGAACGAGGGTTACTGTTAAATTAAGTAGTAGTAGTTGAAATAAGTTAAGATAAGATTGAATAAATATAAGGAAAGCTTAGGTAGTAGCTGGCTTGGAAGGAGTAAATTTGGGTTTGACTTGGTGCAGACTGTAAAGTAGCTGGAGATCATTGGGAGTTTGGCACTTGTTGATGTTAGTGGCTAAAATAAAGAGGGGTGTGCGTTTGAGAAAGGGAAGATCGGAGGCAATGATAAGATTAGCTTTCTTTCTGAGAGCACTTAAGACCTTACTTGGAGTTAAGCTGGGAATATGGAGAAAATCCAAAACTGGAGTGATAGTGATAGCGATATTGATAGATAGGTAGGCTTGGACGAGTTTGGCTAGTTTGGCCTCGTGCTTTTTCATGATAGCCACTAGAACTTTGGCATTACTGACTAGAGTGAGTAGTCCCAGTGATGAAGAAGGAATTTCACAGATATTAGTCCATTTGTGTCTTAGGGCGTTCAAGTTTGGGTCAGTAACAGCTAGTTTAAAACTGCCACTAATAATATAGAAGGAAAAGCGGGAGTTAGCTGGTATACTGGGCTGGGGAGTGGTTTTAGAAATACCTGCGAATTTAGGCGGAGTAGTGCTAGGCTGGGGTGAGGTGGTGTTAGTATTAGGTTGGTCTGAGGTTAGGATGGTATTGGGTTGGTCTGAGGTGGGGTTGGTAGTAGGTGGTGGTGAAGTGGGTGTAGATGAGTTAGATGTAGATGAGTTGGGTGTAGATGAGTTGGGTGTAGATGAGTTGGGAGATTTAGTAGTAGATTGAGTGGTAGTAGGCGGTGGTGAGGTGGGTGTAGGGGTGGTTATGGGAGTTACTTGGGAGGAGGTATTAATGAGAGGAGTGGTTAAGTAGCTGGGTAGGACGGATTGGGTGAAGGGAAGAACGCCTTTGCGTAGGGATGAAGTGCCAATGATGGAAGGGGGTGCCATAGTATTGAAAGAAGAGGAAGAAGAAGAGTTATGGCGGCTGGAGTAGTCAAGATCGTGCAGGAATGAGTTGTCTAGTAGGTCATTGGGAAGTGAGATAGAAGGTAGAGGTCGTGGTGGCAGGGGTATAGATGAGTTGGTTGATGGGGTTGGAATTGGAGTGGCAGCTGAGGATAAGAGAGAGTTGGAAGAAGATTGGGTGTTGTTTTGTTTCAGATCAGCAATTTCTTGTAAAGCAGCGAGTTTATCCTGGAGGGCAGTTGCTAAATCCAGGTGTAGCTCTTGAATTTGCTGGGCTTGTGAATTAATAGTCTGTTCGGATTTGGACCTTTGTTTTTCTAGGCGGGATAGAAGTTGGTCCTGAAGGACTTCTCGGTCTTTCTGGGCGGCTAAAAGCTTATCTTGAGCCGATTTAGTGTATTCAATAAATTGGGTTTGAAGATCAATGAACGCTTGTTGGTGTTTAGAAGCACTCTTTTGGGCTTTAAGTGCCCGTTTTTCAGCCTTAGCCAGTAGCTGTACTAGTTCATTAACAGTAGCTATGGCTTGGGTTGTAACTGCTTGGCAGTTAGGATGAGTATCCGATTTAGCTAATTCAGCCGCCTGTTGTTGTAAGGGGGCCGAGAAGTATTTAAGTCGCTCTTGCATTAAATTGGGTGAAGTTGAGTTGCGTATTGGATTGGGTGGAGTTGAGTTAGGTATTGGATTGGGTGGAGTTGAGGTGAATGAAGTTGAGTTGCGTATTGGATTGGGCGGAGTTGATGTGAATGAAGTTGAGGTGTATGGAGTTGAGGTGAATGAAGTTGAGTTGCGTATTGGATTGGGCGGAGTTGATGTGAA